ATCAGTTCAGAGTACCCACCCTTTTTGGAGTCCCTGGGACGAGTGCTAGATAGTGCTCCATCAGGGGACTCCATTGTCCTTCTGGGGGACTTCAATGCTCACGTGGGCAATGACAGCTTGACCTGGAGGGGTGTGATTGGGAGGAACGGCCCACCTGATCAGAACTCGAGCGGTGTTTTGTTATTGGACTTCTGTGCAAGCCGCAGTTTGGCCATAACGAACACCATGTTCGAACATAAGGATGCCCACCGGTACACTTGGTACCAGGGCAGCCTAGGTCACAGGTCGATGATAGATTTTGTAGTCGTATCATCTGACCTGCGACCGTATGTTTTGGACACCCGAGTGAAGAGAGGGGCGGAGCTGTCAACTGATCACCACCTGGTGGTGAGTTGGATCAGATGGCAAGGGAACATGCCGCGTAGACCTGGCAGACCCAAACGCATAGTGAGGGTCTGCTGGGAACGCCTGGCAGAAGAACCTGTCAAGACGGTCTTCAACTCCCACCTCCGGCAGAGCTTTGACCACGTCCCGAGAGCAGTGGGGGACATTGAGTCCGAGTGGGCCTTGTTCCACTCTGCGATTGTCGAGGCGGCTGTTGCTAGCTGTGGTCGTAAGGTGGCCGGTGCCAGTCGTGGTGGCAACCCCCGTACCCGCTGGTGGACACCAGAGGTTCGGGGAGCCGTCAGGCTGAAGAAGGAGGCCTACAGGGCGTGGCTGGTCTGTGGGTCTCCGGAGGCAGCAGACAGGTACCGGATAGCCAAGCGGGGTGCAGCAGTGGCAGTTGCCGAGGCAAAATCTCGGGCGTGGGAGGAGTTTGGTGAGGCCATGGAGAAAGACTATCGATCGGCTCCAAAGAGGTTCTGGCAAACTGTCCGGCGCCTCAGGAGAGGAAGGCAGCAACTCGCTCACACTGTTTACAGTGGGGATGGGGAGCTGCTGACGTCAACTGAGGCTATAGTCGGACGGTGGAAGGAATACTTTGAGGAGCTCCTCAATCCCACCAATGCGCATTCCGAGGAGGAACCAGAGCTGGGAGGCCTGGGGATGGACTGTCCGATCTCGGGGGCAGAAGTTGCTGAGGTAGTCAAACAACTACACAGCGGCGGAGCCCCGGGGGCGGATGAGGTTCGTCCGGGGTATCTCAAGGCTATGGATGTTGTAGGGCTGTCATGGTTGACACGTCTCTACAACATTGCGTGGTCATCGGGGGCAGTTCCTAGGGAGTGGCAGACCGGGGTGGTGGTCCCCATCTTTAAGAAGGGTGACCTGAGGGTGTGTTCCAACTATAGGGGGATCACACTCCTCAGCCTCCCTGGAAAGGTCTACTCCAAGGTACTGGAGAGGAGGGTCCGATCGATAGTTGAATCTCAGATAGAGGAGGAGCAATGTGGTTTTCGTCCTGGCCGTGGAACTGTGGACCAGCTCTATACCCTTGCAAGGGTGATGGAGGGGGCATGGGAGTTTGCCCAACCAATCCACATGTGCTTTGTGGATTTGGAGAAGGCTTATGACCGTGTCCCCAGGGGCACCCTGTGGGGGACGCTCCAGGAGTATGGGGTGGGTGGCTTTCTGTTAAGGGCCATTCAGTCCCTTTACCAGAGGAGCGTGAGTTTGGTCCGCATAGCCGGTAGTAAGTCGGACCTGTTCCCAGTGAGGGTTGGACTCCGCCAGGGCTGCCCTTTGTCACCGGTTCTGTTCATCATATTTATGGACAGAATTTCTAGACGCAGCCGTGGTGTGGAGTGTGTCGAGTTTGGTGGCAGGAGAATCTCGTCTCTGCTTTTTGCGGATGATGTGGTCCTCCTAGCTTCATCCAGCTCTGACCTTCAGCTCTTGCTGGGTAGGTTCGCGGCCGAATGTGAAGCGGCTGGGATGAGGATCAGCACCTCCAAATCTGAGACCATGGTTCTCGACCGGAAAAGGGTGGCTTGCCACCTCCGGGTCGGGGGAGAGGTCCTACCTCAAGTGGAGGAGTTTAAGTATCTCGGGGTCTTGTTCACGAGTGAGGGTAGGAGGGATCGGGAGATCGACAGGCGGATTGGTTCGGCGTCTGCAGTGATGCGGACGCTGAGCCGATCTGTCGTGGGGAAGAGGGAGCTGAGCCAGAAAGCCAGGCTCTCGATTTACCGGTCGATCTACGTCCCAATCCTCACCTATGGTCATGAGCTTTGGGTAATGACCGAAAGAACGAGATCGCGGATACAAGCGGCCGAAATGAGTTTCCTCCGTAGGGTGGCCGGGCTCAGCCTTAGAGATAGGGTGAGGAGCTCGGACATTCGGGAGGGACTCGGAGTAGAACCGCTGCTCCTCCGGATCGAAAGGAGCCAGTTGAGGTGGTTTGGGCATCTGGCCAGGATGCCTCCTGGACGCCTCCCTGGGGAGGTGTTTCGGGCATGTCCTGCCGGCAGAAGGCCCCCGGGTCGACCCAGGACACGTTGGAGAAGTTACATCTCCAATCTGGTCTGGGAACGCCTTGGGGTCCTGCCGGAGGAGCTGGTGGACAAGGCCGGGGAGAGGACGGCCTGGAGCTCCCTAGTTGGGATGCTGCCCCCGCGACCCGGACCCGGATAAGCGGAGGAAGACGAGACGAGAGACGAGACGAGATTATATATTCGATAGAAGTTCATATGCCAACGAGCCTGGTCTATATTTAATCCAAAGATTAATGTTTAATTTAAGATAATTAAATTTAATAGCAAAAGTTTATTTATTTAATCAGAAGTTTAAAGGAATCTTTGCTTGTTCAATAACCAGAAATATATACACCATTCTGTGTTTCATTTCAAAGAAGAGTCAAGTTTTTAAATTTAAGAATTTATTACTAACACTTTTAAAAAATGACAATTTTTAATAGACAATTTGATATTAAAACTTGTTTAAAAAGCAAACCTGTGACTGGATGGAAGCTAAAATGAAATGCGAGGTTTTGGATGTGTGAATGAATCTCAGAAGGTTTCTTTCAGCGAGAGAAGCGTTCTGGGTGGAAAGTTGGTTTTGCAGCTAACTGATGTTACTTAGAGAAAACAGCATCGGACGCCATCTGTCGAAAGTGTCTACCTCACCCAGTATCAGGAGACCCTCTTCTGGATCCGAGATGTCAGGTGGAGATGGTTTCCTCCGGGCACGAGGTTGGTAGAAGGACCTTAGTGCGACCAAATCGGTCCTGAGACGTCTCCGTGGGTCACTCGACTGGTGAAACTATTTGTGTCTCAGCATCAATAACTCTGAAGGAGTTTTGCGTCAGCTGGTTACAGTTGCGTTTATTCGAAGCAAGTCTATCGGCGTGACAGAATGCTTAGTAGAGACTTGGGCGGCCGTCCCTCTTCTCCTGGGATGGTTCAAGAACTGGCTTTCAGCTGCGGGAGACTTAGTTTTAACAAAACCTCCGAACACGCCCTCTCAGCGTCGGAAAGCTTGATGTTATGAGTAAAGACATGTGAGGTGTTTTAACTTTACCCTGGATACCCTCTGCGTGAGGTGGTTAACGTGCAAGATGACCTTCTGGTTTCCTGAACACACATTACTTAATTGTTATTATTACCCAAAGCATAATAAGTCATTTCAGTAATTAAAATACATTTATACTGAACCAAGAGATTATTTATGATGATTGTAATAAACCGTAATAAAGTCAAAGAGTTTAATAAAATTATTTAAAATTACTATGTTGAAATCTTGAAGTGTCCTTCATCTTGGGACGGAACAGCAGCAGATAAATATGGTGTTTCAATTCAATTCAATCAATTGTCACAAATTAGAGGCCATTCATGATGCTACAGGAGCCAAGTGGTTCCTGCTGGTTTCTGCAGTGTCATGTTTGTGTTTAAGTACGGAGTCTGGATCAGAATGTCTCCCTGCTCTGGGTGGGTGGGGGGGGTGGGGGTCCGGACCAGGACCAGAACTGGGACCAGACTGATAGGGACATTTCTGTGGATCCTCTGGACCAGAGCCTGGCATCGTCTCTTTATGATGTCGGCTGAGCCCACATCCCTGCTGACCCCCTCAGGGCTGACGTTTAGTTTTGGCTCTGCTCTCTGAAGCAGCTTTTGGTTTCTCACAGAATAATAAGAATAAAACATCGACATTTGTAATAAACACACAGATTTAAGTGTTCTTGTAGCTCAGTAATCAGCTGGTTTTTTGTAATTATTAACCTCAGAATGGCTCTCTGGACCCTGATCTTCTTCAGGAGGGAATTCTTTATTTTAACATTTAGCTTTTGATTTAGAAACTCTGAGAATTTATGCTCCTCTTTGTAATTCTTCTGTCTCGTTGCCAGTTCTTGATGCAGAGTTCTTGCAGGTACTTGAAGTCCTTGAAGGTGTTTGAATACATTCTTAAGACCCTTTATTAGACATGGGACTAGAAAAGACTTGGCGTACTTAGAAAATCCTGAATGTTATGTAGTCCTAAGTGAAGAATCCCTGTTTGTAGAAACTGGGGATTTTTTTCATAAACACCCAGAACTGTTAGTTTTAGTTTTCTGAAGTCTTTTAGGTTTTCCTCGGCCATCTTTATCCCTGCTCGCCATGTTTGTTTTTTAGACATCTCTGTGTCTCTAAGGCTGCAGCTGATGGAGTCACATGACCCATTAACCAAAGAACGTTGATCTAAATGAGCTTTAGTCACCCACAGCCGGTGGCCAGAGGAACATCTTCACCTTTGACTCTGAAACAAGAACTGATCTGGGGCGTCCGCCCTGGGACTGGGAGGTCCGAGTTCAGGTCCCAGTCGGGTCAAACTAAAGACCTTAACAATGAGACCCATATGAAGGAGCGGGGTGGTTCAGGAGCACGGCCACAGCTGCAGCTCGCCGCTCCCCATGGGGATGGGTCAAATGCAGACATGAATTTCACCAGCGTGTGATGACTTCATGAGACTTTAACTTTAAAATAATCAATTCCTTCGATATCTTTACATAAATCACGTCCAGGTTCATGTCTCCGTGCTTGTGGCTCAGCTCGTTGATGTCCTACTTTGCTTATTTTCTCTTCCAGCTGAGGAAGTGGAGCGTTTGGCCTCGATGCGCTCCGATTCGCTGGTACCAGGAACCCACACGCCTCCCATCCGCCGCCGCAGCAAGTTTGCCACTTTAGGACGTCTGTTTAAACCCTGGAAATGGAGGAAGAAGAAGAGTGAGAAGTTCAAGCAGACGTCTGCTGGTGAGAGCACCAACACCAGAACCTCTCAGTTAGGACCTTTGACCCCTAAACCGAACAAACCCCACTAAAACCACAAGTCCCAGAATGCAGATGGGCAGGTGGCTTGACATTGAGAAACACCCCAAGTCTCTGACGACGCCATATTAGATGCCATGTTTCCTTCTAATAATAATAATACATTTTATTTAAAAGCGCCTTTCAAAACACCCAAGGTCACTTGGCAGAAAATATGTTCAGAAAATACATTAAAACAGCAATAAAACCACAATAAAACGCAAAGAAGAAAAAACAAAGAGAGAAACAGTTCAATAAAATCAGAGGTCGTAGGCAGATTTAAACGTGTGTTCTGAGTCTGGTTTTGAAAAGGGTAAAACTGTTGATGTTCCTGATGTCTGGGGGAAGTGAGTTCCAGAGACGGGGAGCAGAGTAGGGCTGCAACAAACGATTATTTGGATAATCGATTAATCGGATGGGGTCTCGACACGATTAATCGATTAATCGGATTACATAGGGACATTTTTAAAAACTGCTAGGGAAACGTTATTTTTCTCCTTCCCTCACTTTATTAAACACAACATTATTAGAAAACAGTTCAATAGCAGAAAAACAACATGCCATCACCTAAATTGTCTTATAAGGTGTATAGACAGAGACCCTAAGCTACACCTATCTGTGACCTAAAATGCTTAGTCAAAGTTAAACAGCTTAAAGAGCAAGTCAACCCCTACCAGAGTCTAATTCCACTCCCACTTCATGTTTGAAAAATGCAACACATGCTGTTGCCTGGCAGACCGAGAGGGCGGAGCCGCTAACAAATACACACACACTCAGGCTCACGACAGCATTGTGACATCATAATGTACCAGTTTACATCATAGCATACTTCTTAGCCAATAGCGGTGGCAGATTTAAATTAAAATACAGTGCAGAGTTTTTACCTGACAACGGCACAACACTGCCAGTTTTAGGCAGAATATTTAAATTTTAACTAAGATGCACTGAAGTGCCAAATTATTGATGACACGTGTCTGCAGCACGATTAGACACTCGTTTATTTAGTTTATCAGCAAAAAAAAGTTTATTTGGGGGTGACTTGCTCTTTAAGGGCAATTCTCATCTGTTTTGTTTGATCTCATCTGTAGACATTTATTATAATTGGGGATGTCAAACAACTAATTTTTAAATGTAATTAAACATAGGCTGTGAATTAATCAAAATTAATCACTATTTCCAAAAATGACTGAAAAATACCAAATAAAACAAAAGTAAATGAATGCCATCCTCCATGTGATGATGCCCTGGGCAACTGCCATAAAGTCACATCAAGAAATGCTGCTGATCATTCCAATGATCCCAAATAGACTCACATTAGGTCACATGAAAGCAACTGAACCCAAAAATATATTAACCAGTATATAACTGCACTCTCACACAACACGCCTGCAGCAACAGTTAGGACTCTCCCTTTTAAAAGCGTTTTCGCTTCTGAGGACATAGTGGTTGTGAAGCCACATGCTAGTAGTCTGGCCCCGGTGTGATCAACCAGTTTCTGCGGGAATGTGACGGCGGAACCGGTTCGCAGCTGTGCGACCACCCCCCCCCCCCTTTTTTTTTTACGAGCTTAGGGCATGTCTAGCCTGTGTAATAATCCGGGGCTTGGGTGAATCATTTTTGAAAAGTTTTTAACTTACCCGGACACCGAGCTCTCTCCCTCCTCGCTGATGATTCTGACATGCTTGCGTTTAAGACGCTGCATCATCACCGTAGTATCCCTGTGCCATGCTGAGTCTGACCTACAAACGTTGGATGTCTTCACCTGATTTAACTGAAAATGCTCCCAAACTTTAGAAGTTTTTACTTTTTTTGGGTCTCGCTGCTTCTGCCATGTTCCTCTTACAAACACCTGCCGGCTCTCCACCGGTCTGCGCGCAACGGCGGGCGGGAGGGGAGGGGGCTTTTGGAAGAGTTGCGCAACACAACGAATCGATGACGCAATTCGTTGCCAACGCTTTTAGTAATTGATTTTCATCGAATTTATCGATTCGTTGTTGCAGCCCTAGAGCAGAGCGGCTGAAAGCTCTGCTCCCCATGGTAGTGAGACGGACAGAAGGAACAGCAAGATGGATGGAGGAAGAAGATCTAAGAGAACAGGAGGGGGTTTTAGTACTCATAAGGTCTGAGATATATGGAGGAGAGAGGTTATGGATGGCTTTGAAGGGATGGAGGAGAATTTTGAAGATGGATCTGAATTTAACTGGGAGCCAGTGAAGCTGCTGGAGAACCGGGGTGATGTGGTGAAAGGAAGGGGTTCTGGTGATAATACGGGTTGCTGAATTCTGGACCACTTGCAGTTTATGAAGGAGTTTGTTGGGGAGACCATAAAGAAGTGAATTGCAATAAATGAGACAGGAGGTGACGAGGCTGTGGACGAGAATGGCGGCAGTGTGAGGGGTAAGGGAGAGGTGGAGATGGTTTATGGATCGAAGATGGAAGTATGCTGACCGGATTATGTTATTAATGTGAGCTTGAAAAGGAAGTGAGCTGTCGAGGTGACACCCAGACTCTTGACCTGAGGGGAGGGGGAGACTATGGCGCTGTCAAGGAAAAGCTGTCATGGAAGCCCGTGAGGATAAAATGCATTTACTGATTTGTAACAAACGGTTACAAAACTTTCAGCATTAATAAACGTTGTTTTACACGTTTACCTCTTCACTCGTTGCCAGTGATGAAAGGGAATCTGATGTGCTCGTTATTTTGCTGGATGTTGCACTCCCGGGGATTTTGACCCTAATGGCCATCCATTGGTACGGTCTTAGTTGAACACAAAAGTAATGCTTGTAATGTAAGTAATGCAGTGTCCAGCTCAGATGTTCAGATGGGAATCTTTTCTTTAGCAATTTAGCTACATCTGCGATGTGCGTAGAATAAAGTGTCAGTTCGTCTGCATGCGTCGGGGTAATTCTTTCTACTCTTTCTCGTCAAAATAAACGGTCAAAAACGGGAACTATCTGGTCAACACAAGCCCTGATTCTAACTGTTCTGTTTTCTTGTGAAAATAGATCAAATTAAACTTGATAAACACCAGAGCCAGGCGCACTGCGCCGTTGTCTCCGTCGCTGTAAATGAAGGGAAAACAAATTGATCGGATCCTTTTCTGACCTTCCCCACCTACAAAGTTTAATTACAACAATCAAACGTGACAGAGCCTGGATTTGTATTCTGAACAGTCTAAACATGTTTTAAAAAGAAACGTATGACAAAAGTGGCACCTGCTCAGTAAAACCACCAACAGGGTGAAAAATATCAAAATATTGTCGGCAGAGACGGGCTACAACTTCTGGATCCATTTTATATAAATCGTTTTATTGATTATTGTCTTATGAAAGATAGCTTTGACGTACGCGAGCGACTGGTACCGGCTGCTGTCACCTGTTGTGAGCAGCTCTCTGCTGTCTGAGGGTAGGCCCCGCCCACAACGCCGCGGCTGCTGTGGCTCCCAGTGTTTTCTTTACTGTGGAAAACGGGTGATAATGGCTCTTTGATGGGAACAGGTTGCCGACCCCTGGTTTAAGTGTTTCAAATTTTTTTTATGAATTCGATTACAAATAAAGGCGCCCGGCCCGCATCCGAGGTAATTGCACAGTCGTTGGCCCGAAGCCCGGCCCGAGGGCCGTCAGGCCGGGCCGACCCGAGGGCCTAGGGCTTCAGTGCAGGGCTCTAGCAACACTCTCTCTCCTCAGCATCGTGTTATCACACGCCTGTATGCTCCAGAGCAGCAGACTAACTCAGCCCCTGCTTCAGTTAATCGACGCATCTGATCAGCGGCCCCCGGCTGATACTTAACCATGTGATTATTAGGATTTGTATTTTACACATGAATAGGTCAACAGAGATATATAAAACTCATTTAGAAGCTTTTCGCCACAACACACGTTAGTTATTTCCTTTTGTTCGGTCATCTGACTAAAAGCTGCTAATTACAGCGTTAATCAGAGACACAAACGCATCAGCTGTGAGAGGCCATAATTACCTAACTAACTTTAAATAGAGATGGTTAGCTTTAATAAGGGGGGACTGCTCCCCTCTGTGTGACTGTTTGGTACTTTTACAATACGCATGTCGATTTGTAGATTGTCGGCAGAAAGAAAGTTCAAAACTCTCGAGTGGACGGAAGCATTGATTCAAAGAAAAACTAATGTGACCAAAAGTTTTAAAATGGTATATGATATAGCGCCTTCTAGAGTCCTAGAACCCCCCAAGGTGCTTTACAACACAGTCATTTACTTTGGCGGTGATGAGCTACATTGTAGCCACAGCTGTCCTGGGGCACACTAACAGAGGTGGGGCTGCTGAACACAGGCACCACCGGTCCCTCTGACCACCACTAGCGGGTGAGGTTGCCGAGTCTGCAGCGAGCTAATGAAAGCAGCACCAGCATTTGTAAATCAACACTGGCAGGCACAAAGCTCCAGAGTTGTTTAAAGAACCAAAGTCAGTAAACAGGAGCTACCTAGAAGTTTTTTCTTGGACTTCTAAAGCCTGGTTTATGCTTCTCCGTCATCTCCGCAAGGGACAGACACGCACGGATTGACGGAAGCGTTTTGCTCTCATACGTCTCCGTCTCCTGGGGAGCGTTGCAAAGCAATTGCCCGGCAGGACAGCAGAGGGCGTAGCGCTGTTCTGTGGTATCCTGTCATGTATCGGTCCAGGATAGTGTGTTTATATTGTGTTTTTTGTGTATATAAGAGACTTTAAACACGGACATATTTGTCTCTCATTCTCCCACCTCTTCATGCGCTCCCCACCTCTAAACCCACGTTTCCTGTCATTTCCATCCACAAATAAAACGCTTGCTGCGCATCTTTTCACTCCTCCAGTCACGGGAGAATTAAACGTTCATATTTTTAGAGTTTTTTCGCGAGGTATTCTTCAAGCTTCTCCGTGTCTACCGCTAGTTATCCTTGGCTCTCTTTGCAATGGTGGCGCTGTAAACAACAGCGGCGTCCTGACCAATCACAAGCTTGCGTAATCCGTCTCGTTCGACGGATGTTTAAAAAAGTGGGCTCGACTCCGTACGTACTTGCGTGCCTGCCGGAGCCCTACGCAAGTACGGATAATGGCGTTGCGTGTCTCCGCACTGACGCAGACGGAGAAGCATAAATCAGGCTTAAGAAGCAACAGCATCTTTTTGTTTTACTCTGATATTGGGTCAAGCAGGCGAGGGGCTAACATTGAGCTAACAATGGTAACGGTGAAATAGAAGCATTCAATCACCAACAACTCACTATTACAGTATGTGTGAAGTGAATGGTGGGTCAACGGTGGCGTTCCTTTAATTCCTTTAATGAGTCGTTCTAAACTAACAGTTAAAGTCCCATTAGTCATCATCACACGCTGGTGAAATTACATCATCACATGTGACCCATCCCTGTGGGGAGCGGTGAGCTGCAGCTGTGGCTGCGCTCAGGAATGATAAATGACCCGCGCTTGGATAGCGCCTCTCAGAGTAGGGACTCCAAAGCGCTTTACAACACAACCAGTCATTCATCCATTCACACACACATTCACACACTGATGGTGATGAGCTACGATGTAGCCACAGCTGCCCTGGGGCACACTGACAGAGGCGAGGCTGCCGAGCACTGGTGCCACCGGTCCCTCCGACCACCACCAGCAGGCGAGGTGGGTTAAGTGTCTTGCCCAAGGACACAACAACAGAATTCTCTGTCCAGAGCTGGGATCAAACCTGCAACCTTCTGATTACTGGACAACCCGCTCAACCTGTTGAGCTACTGCTGCCCCAACTAGGAACTAGTTGGTGGTTTAACAGCAAGCTAACAGTAAAACGGCAAACAACCACACTTCCTCTAACGCTGGAGACATACTACCATGATAAGTGTAGTAAGCGCACCCTACTGTAAAACACCCAAGAGTACTAACACCAGATATAACAATGTATTTATCTATAGGGTTGGGTATCGTTTGATTTTGAACGATTCCAATTCCAATTCCTTGTTTCAATTCCGGTTCCTATCGATTCCCGACTCCGATTCTTTCAACACATGACACGCTTTATATGGGCCAGCTAACCACAGGTCCTACTAGATGAAATAATCTTAACTTCAACATGAATTTTAACTCTATGAACAACAAAATCACCTTCATTTAGACAAAAACATGTTTTGGAGACAAAAAGAAAGAGACTTGCAGCACAACCAGTGTGTTTGTTTCTGACCACAACCAAAGTCTGGAAGCAGCCTCTGGGATGAGAGGCTAAATGTCTCCAACATATCCAGAAGTCCAGCTGTTTTCAGCTAAAACTCTCAGGATGATCACGTCCAGGATGACTGAGAACTACACCTCCATGCTGCAGCAGCGTTCAGTCACAACAGGAAGTGAAACTTAAACCTAGCTGCTGTCAGTAACAAGCTAACAGATTTAAACTTTAAAACTCTCAAAAGAAATAGTTCAGAAAGAAAATAAAATGTTTACAGCTTTGTGTGTGATTTATTATTTATTATTATAATTGTTGATTGTGGCAGAAGCTGGTGTGGTCCACCACAGAGAAAGCTGCTCTATTGTTCAGCCTTCTGACGCTCGCCAGCGATGAGCGGCTGCGTCTGACTGCTGACGCTCCGTGTGTGTTTTTATTTCTGCAGTGAGACAAACTCACCTCACACCGTCCAGAGTTTGTTCTTTAAAGCTTCTATTAAATCCACCGTGTTGACGTATTTAACAAGTTTCCTCTACGCTGCACGAGTTAAAGTTTACATCACGGAGTTTGTTTATATCTGGGTGGGGGGAGGGGGGACTCGGTGCTGCACACAGACAGCTGGTGTGATCAGCTCTGAAAAGCGTTGATCACAATTTGCAGATCACGTTCATTTTTCACGGAGATCGGCCGCAGATTCCTCTTCCGGTCGGCATACTAGGAATCGAAATAAAAAACTTTGAACGATTCCAGGAAAAACTAACAATTGGAATTGGTTCCAATCGATGCTCGATGCCCAACCCTATTTATCTACTTACTTAGTGTGTATGACTCGTCTTCGCTCGTCGTATATAATCTTCTGTTGCTGGTCCATAACTGGCAACAGTCGTGAAACTCACAGAACGGGAGTGATAGTCACCATTTGTTTATAAAAATGGGCTGCAGTACCCAAACTTCACCACTGGATGGCATTCTTACATGTAGCACATTTAAATATTTACAGAAACTTTATAAAGATGCATTTTCTAACAACTTGAGGTTCAAGAGACAAAATTAAAGTCATGCAGCTAAAAGTATCTTCGTCACCTGAACGAGCACCAGCTTGATCATAAAATCTGAACTATATTAACCGTTTACAGGTGCTTTAAATGTGTTTGTTATCCTGCAGCCTCTTGTAATTATTTCATTTTTCAGTGCTGGAGAGGAAAATGTCGACTCGGCAGAGCAGAGAGGAGCTGATCAAGAGGGGACTCCTGAAGGAGGTTTATGAGAAAGGTAAACATGTCAGCAAAAATGTGTTTAAAAACATGGAATTATGGTTATTTTATACAGGAAAAAAACAGAAATAAATGACTTACGTCCTTTTAAATATCAACAGTGTACGTTTACTAATCCACTTATTTCTCATGAAGCAGTCTGGATGGATTTTATTTAGTTATTCAGCATTTTTGGTTTATTTTTGTTTTTTCACCTGAATATCGATTTAGTTTTTTAAGATTTTAATCAGAAGACGGTTCTTTCATTTTTAAACATGTTAATTTTAGAAAGTATTCTTTTCTTTTGATTTGAAGCCCTGAAAGGTTTTTATTTATAATAAAAAACACAAGTCGGATTTCAACACACTTAGAAAACGACATAAAATAAAAATCTGCTGTTTTTAATGGTGTTATGTTAAATAAAAACATCTCTGTCTGTAGACGGCACCTCCTCGCCGGCCCTCGTGGAGGAGGTGAAGATGGAGAGCGGCCGCTCCCCGGAGCTCGGCGCCGACCCGTCGGAGCCCGATGGTGCTGAGCGGATGGAAGGGGCGGCAGCCGCTGTAGGTACGCAGCAGAGCCCGGGTCTCGTTACTGGATTCTGTCTTTTACTCATCCTGACCTCCAGCTGCCTTTGTCTCTTTTGTCCTCAGGATTGAATGAGTTTGAAATGTCAAGTGATGGCACCTGTCAACAAGAGCACGCTCAGAAATCAGGTCAGGCTCCGCCCACAATGACGTCCACAGTTTATCCAGGTGACGGCACAGACTCCACCTTCTCCAGACCTCCTACGATACACAAACAACCGCCCGCTCTGCCGCCCAAACCTTTCAGCCGACTACCCAATCCCATCACAGGTGAGCTCATCCTCGTGCACGCACCTGATGGAGTCTGACTGCGTTCTCCCCTCTTCACCCCTCCCTTTCTCCACGTAGACGGCGGCCCCGTGAAGTTACCGTGTCTGTCTGTTAAGTTATCTCCTCCTCTACCTCCAAAGAAGATCATGATCTCAGTACCTGCAGGGAGCATGGAGTCTCCTTCCATAGCCTTCCAGAGGTGCCCCGCCCCCTCAAGCCACGCCCACGTGGGCGGGCACCCGCTGCCGTACGGGGCACTGAACGTCCCGCTTCACCCGCCCAGCCGAATCATAGAGGAGCTCAACAAGACCCTGGCGCTCACCATGCAAAGGTTTGAGAGGTGAGGATGACGAGTCCCTCAAAAAAAAAAACTGACAAAGAAGAAAGAACTTCCACTGTTTGACCTTTGACTTTTCTCACTCACCCACAGCTCCATGATGTACGCCGTTCCCACGATGATGATCGAGTGTGACGACGACAAAGAAAACGTCCCTAACGAGGCGGATTACGAGGAGCTGCCGGGCATGTACAAGGACGAGGAAGAGGAGGACGATGAGGAGGAGGAGGAGGAAGATGATGATGAAGAAGAGGAGGAGGAGGAGGAGGATGATGAAGAAGATGAGGAGGAGGATGATACCCTTCTGACAAGTAAGCTGCTCCTTTCTAATAAAGGGGTGAATGGCCACTGGCAGGTTTTTCATCGACATTGTTTTTGGATTCATGTCCTGCAGAAAATTCCTCCTGAAATCAGAGTTTTGTCTCCAAAATGATCACACATACACTAAATGCAGCTTTAAAAGTTAGAAGCTGCAGTGTTTCACTGCTGATCTGAAACTAAAGTCGATAAACGCACCATCAGTGATGGGGGGGGGGGGTAAAAACATCACTGTTGGGTACCAGCCCACCGAATCAAAGTTGGAGCTCCTCTTATTGAATAGGATAGATCTGCAAAGACTGTAAACTTGTACTTCATCTGAAGGTACGCTGGCCATGAAGGTTCTACAGCGAGACTCTCTGGCCATCAAGCTCAGTAACCGGCCATCAAAGAGGGAGCTGGAGGAGAAGAACATCCTGCAGATGCAGTCAGACCAGGAGCGACTCGAATCCCGACAGCAAACAGCCACGAAACTCACCAGGTCAGCCTCCAATTCACCACACACACACACACACACACACACACACACACACACACACACACACACACACACACACACACAGCTGTTATGGCGATTCTAAAGAAGAAGCAAGGTTTTGTAACACAAACATGGTCATGGAACACTCGCCCCACCCTTGGGTATCCTCCCAGAGGCTCGTGCTGGAACCAGAAACCCGTGATGCTGGATGAAACGAGATAGCGCTAAACACCAGTCCCTGCTTTCTAGGTCCAGACATCTTTTGTTCTCCGTGACTTCAGATGGTGTTTTACTTTTTGGGACTCTGGTAGTTTGTCCTAAAGTTGAAGTGGTAGCAGCCGGCTGTTTCTCCTCCCTTTGATGTTGATGAGCATAGAACCTCTCACGCCAGTGGTGTTCTGGTGCTAAATGCATGAATGTTTAATGAGTTCAGGAGCCAGGGAAGTGCGGTGGTACGGTGAGACAGACAACTGGAGGGTCCAGTGGTTGCTTTTGCTCCGAAACGTCTTATTGGTGGAGGTTTTTTAGACCAGTGTTTCCCAATCCTGGTCCTCAAGGCACACTGTCCTGCATGTTTTCTATGTTGCCCTTTCAAACACCAGTGTTTCACTACTGCCATGCACCTGACTTACATGAATGAGTGATTAACAGGCATCTGCAGCACTTGATGTCCTCCTGAGGAGCCAGTGTAAACCAGGTGTGCTGAAGCAGAAATATGGAAAACCTGTAGGACAGTGTGCCCTGAGGACCAGGATTGGGAAACACTTTTTTAGACGAATGTGAGCGAACCACTTTAAGAATTTGTTTCCATTTTTAAATCATCACAATATATTTGTAGCTATAACATTGGTTATGTGTTATAACCCCAGATTCTATTGGGATAGCATAGCCTTTTATTTTACACCTACTGGATAATCCCTTACTTCCTTATCCAATCATTGAAGAGCTTTTCATGTACGCCCGCCTAAGGCGGATCTTGACCTGACCCTATGAAAGAGGTCAAGGACCATAACTTGTCTCTATAAGGCTTGAAGAACCCTCATAGATCCAGTGGGGCCATGTTGCTTAAAGAGCAAGTCACCCCCAAATCAACTTTTTTTTTGCTGATAAACAATACACGTATATGAGAGTCTAATTGTGCCGTAGACACGTGTTGTCAATAATTTGGGACTTTAGTGCATCTTAATTACAATTTAAATTATCTACTGTGAGTGTTGCGCCCTCCTCAGGTAAAAACTCTGCACTGCATCACTATTGGCTAAGAGGTACCCTATGATGTAAGCTGGTACCATATGATGTCACAATGCCATTTATCAATATGCACACTTGTCCGAACTTGTGTACTCACGTCCTTGTGAAACGTCATCAACGATGGCCCAAGGGCTGTTCCAATCCTAAGTACGCATAATGGGAAGTTCGCTCAAAGTTCCTGGATATGTTCTTGGTCCGCCCAATATATCAAGGATGCTTCAATGCATCCTTCTGCGGACTTGGAACAGCAAAGTTTCCCATAATGCATTACGTCGCAAACCATTTAACTCTGAATGTCAGAGGAAAATGCTAATAACCAGTGTTTCTCTTACATAGGCGGCTTAAATCCCACCGCCACACCTACAAGATACCAAGTTTTATTGATTTTTTTTTTTTTTTGCGCCCTTTCCCGAAGAAGCAGCAGGAACTACTGTGTTGTTGCTTGTGATCACAGCCGGCAGACAGCAAGGAGGAGGAGGCAGGGCAGGGTGGTTACAGCTAGTGATGAGCGTACGGATAAAGCATTTTTGACGAATACGAGCATGAAACGAGTAAAACTTGTAAATATCAGTAATCATGCTGAAGGAAAATCCTCATTGGGTAACTGACTGTCTTCACGCTCTGTGATTGGCCAGTCACATTGAGTGCCCGCCCCTCCCTACACACAAAACTCTGCAGCCGGGAGCTCAGTCAGCTCGGCCCAGGCATCCATGCACACACACAGACGGTAACAGATCTCTCTGTGTTTGCTTCAGTGTTACTCACGTTTCTTCAGTACTCCCTAGGTTTTGTTCAGCTCGCCTCTTTTTCGGTTCAATATTTAAAGTTACTTTTTTCGTAACATACGTGGTGCATTTGACAAGACAGAGCTGAAAACGGCTCATGCATGCGTCGGTCACTGCCTCCGCTCCGGTCGGGTTTTTTAAAATTATTTTAACTCTCTCTCTCTCTCTCTCTCTCTCTCTCTCTCTCTCTCTCTCTCTCTCTCTCTCTCTCTCTCTCTCTCTCTCTCTCTCTCTCTCTCTCTCCCTCTCTCTCTCACACACACACCTTAATCAACATTGTTTTGTTTAACTGTGTGTGGGGGAAAATGCCAAAAACGTTAGGAAAAAATCAGTTTAATCAAATTAAAATAAAATAAAAAGTTGTGTCTGGTTCTAGTATTTCATATTTCCTAGTTCCTACTGCATGACAGATGTATTAATTCATGAACCTAAATATTAATGTTCTGATTTTACTGAAAACATGTTCTGTAATACTTTTACTATTGTGATCAAAAGTATTTAATCTCAGTTCTGAGGCTGCTCTGTAAATGGTTTTCAAATAAACAATAGTTTATAAATAAACAACTTCTGATCAATCCATATCAATTTGAGATTTAAAATAATGTTTTGATGTAAACCACACCCACTCATTTCCAAATAATAAATAAGAGGTGCATTCATCTGTGTATCTCCTTTGATCGGCATTGGTGATGTTTTCAGCACCACAACAATGAAGCAAAGAAACAGATTCCTGAGTTTATGTTAGTAATTTTATTTATTAGATGCATCTGACCTGTTCTACTTTTCTCTGAAATGAGACCAAATCACTGCTTCTATGGGTCGTCTCCTCTCTGCACTAGAAAAATTTACTTTATTATAATGTTCACTGTAATGCATCTTGATGTTCTTAACAAATAAATTAAATCAAAAATATTGGTCAGTAATGCCAAATATGTAAATTTGTGTTTTAGTCATTTTTATACTGGCTTAAAAATACTTCATTAAGTCTACTAAGCAGGGGTGTAGAACGTGTTTAATAGGGCCAGCCCAGTAATGATCTTGGACCAAAATAAAGGGGGAAGACAGTCAAATAAAGGGGGGCAGAAGGAGATGTTTTTCCAGACGCCAAGAAAAATTAAATGCCAAATCCCCCTGCAAAGTGTGTCACTGAGAGTTTAAAACAGAAATTATTCTTGTGCAAATATTGGTGTACTCACCTTTAATACTAGTTATTAAAATGCAGCAGTCGCTGGATTGGTGCAGTTCAAAGTGGAGTGCATCAAATAAAACAATATTAACATAAAGGTGAGACGTGTCATAATTTCATCCCTTTAAGTGATCGGGAGCCAGTGAAGAGCTTGTAAGACTGGAGTCATGTGATCCCTGCGCCTCCTACCTGTCAGCAAGCGAGCTGCCGCATTCTGAGCCACCTGCAAGCGGTGAATTGACGACTGCTCCAGTCCACGATATAGAGAGTTACAGTAGTCGAGTCTCGACATGATTAGCAGGTGTATAACCTTTACAAAGTCTTTGAGTCGTAAATAGGGCTTGACTTTACTAAGAACACGCAAATGAAAGAATACACTCTGGACAACAGAACGTATCTGTTTATCAAGTTTAAAATGGCCATCAATGAAAAAACCCAGATTTCTTGCCTGAGACACGCAGAAGGATTCTAAAGGGCCAAATACACTGTTTACCCCGTGCAACAGCCCAGGGTCCCCAAAAACAACAATAACCGTCTTTTTGTCATTTAAAGTGAGAAGGTTCAATTGTAGCCAGTTTTTAACATCTTTTAGACTATTCAGTAATTTGTCAAACGATGGCCTTCAAGAATGTAAATAGTGCTGTGTGCATTTCAGGTTTACCCTTCATGGTCCCTAAAAATGCTAATTAGCGAACCCAATAGCAAAATAAAAGCAGCGTAATCTCTGTTCTGATGAAAAATAAACTTTTTTTATTCATTATAATGCAGGAAATGCTAGTATTGTATTAGTTTTGAAGAAAACGGGCCAAATATAATACAAATAATAAATTTTGTTGTTATTTAAGGAACAAACTAGATTTTTATTTTTATATCAGGTCATTTTATTTATTTTTTTACCATAGCAAGAAGCTGCGCTTGCTGCCAGGACAAGTATGGTACGGAGTACGGTTCTGTTCCAAATGCCGTCCTCGTCCTCCCGTACTCGGTAGAACAGACTTTCTGGTGTCCTCGCCAAGAACATGCTTGTCTAGTACACAAGAACGCACTAGTGTCCTTGAGTATTGAGAATTGGCCTGTGTGTGTGTGTATTTGTTAGTGGCTCCGCCCTCTCGGTCTACCAGGTAACAGCATTTGTTGCATTTTTCAAAAAGGAGGTGGGAGTGGAGTAAGACTCTGGGTGGCTTGCTCTTTAAAAGTTATGCTATACTCATAGAATCTGGTGTTGCAATACATAACCAACGTTCTATGTCGTATAGCTCCGCCTTTTAAAGAGAAATTCAACCCCTACCAGAGTATTAGGTATACGACATAGAACTATATGTTAGAACGTTGTTAAGAAACATGAATAAAAATGTTACAGGTCATTTATTTTCCAAATTTGCTATTGCTGTCGTGGTACAGAGACAGCAGAGCCAGAAGGCGAAACTCTCGATTTGCCAGTCGATCTACGTTCCTACCCTCACTTATGGTCATGAGCTTTGGGTAGTGACCGAAAGAACAAGATCACGGATACAAGTGGCCGAAATTAGTTTCCTTCGCAGGGTGAGAAGCTCGGTCATCCCAGAGGGGCTCGAAGTAGACCCGCTGCTTCTCCACATTGAAAGGAGCCAGTTGAGGTGGCTCGGGCATCTGATTTGGATGCCTCCTGGACGCCTCCCTGGTGAGGTTTTCCTGGCAAGTCCAACCAGAAGGAGATCCAAAGACAGACCCAGGACACGTTGGAGGGACTATGTCTCTCGCATGGCCAGGGAACGCCTTGGGATCCCCCTGGAAGAGCTGGCCCAAGTGGCTGAGGAGAAGGTAGTCTGGGCATGTCCCTGCTTAGCATGCTGCCCCAGCGACCCAAAAAAAGTCTTCACCTGGATTTAACGAAGCAAACAGGTAGGAGCCTTCTATTGGATAGTTACTGTATGGGCGATCATCTTTTAACAAGTGATTTAACCCAACTGGTCCAATGAGCTGCTTCTCATTTCTTAACCCTCCCACTGTCCTAATGGGTGTGACCCCGCGAGGAAAGTTGACCATTGAGCAGGGTTGATGGTTTATCCCTTGAGGTCCACATGGCAGGAGTGAGGAGTGAGCACCACCTCACCCTTGCCACATGGACCTCAAGGGATAAACCATCAACCCTGCTCAATGGTCAACTTTCCTCGCGGGGTCACACCCATTAGGACAGTGGGAGGGTTAAACAACCATGTGGAAAGACAAATCTGGTGGTTGTGGAAAAGACGTTAGTCTGTGGGAAGGGTCAGATCATCGGCATCAAGCAGTGAAAACGTCTAAGGAGATGCAGAAATGACTAAAACTGGGTTGAGAACTGTCCAACACTTTATTACAAACTGGTCTAACGAGTCCAGATGGACCCTGTTCTAGAGAGATGATGCATCGGGGTAAGAAGAGTCGAGACACAAAGTTGCAAGAAACGATGCAGATTTCTAGCAGGAGACACGCTGAGGTGGTACTTGTGGATCACGCGGGGCGTGACCTTACTACAAGCCATTTGTTGCTGCTTTGCAGTTTCCGGTCATCATCACCGTCTAAGCAGGGCGGCACCGGAGTTACAAAGGTAGCGAGAGGTGATCTGTATGTAGCACAAAAACTCATTGGAGGACCCGTTAGTGATGTGGAACATTCTCCTCAATCTGTGGCTTTTTGTTCAACTCCAAAAAGAGGAGACCAGAAAAGGCTGCAGTTCATGGAACAAACCAGATCAGGATCAACCTGCAAAACGTCAAAGTCGTTGCTCTTTTGTGTAACGTCAGAATTTCTTCTGGTTTTATTTCATCTTATTCTCATCGTCAGCTGTTAGTTTTAAAGGTGCTGAATGCAGCCTCATAGAATCGTTCAGCTCATCCGTCCGAAGGAGTGAAACATCGTCCTGGAGAGTCTGAAGCAAGTGCATCAAAACATCAAAATACCAAATTATACCAAAATAAACTCTCTTCTCCTCAGGCGGTTGAGTCAGAGGCCAACAGCAGAGGAGCTGGAACAAAGAAACATCCTGAAACGTAAGTGGCCGTGGGTACCGCCGTGGAAACAACACAAATCCTGTTACCCTGAAAAACGACTGCGGTTTCTCTGCTCTTCCCTGCAGCTCGGAACGATCTGGAGGAGCTGGAGGAGAAGAGGGAAATCAAAAGACATTTGTCCAAAAAGGTAAGACACCTGGCAATGTGTCTTCTCTCCAAGAAGAAACAGCAACCATGGCGGGTAACCTCTTTGTTGTGTCGTCTTGTTGAAAAGAAGTTTTTGTTTTTGAGCTTGTTTTACGTTTGTCAGAAAACAAAACTGAGTTTTGTTAATCTGAAACATCGATTCAAATTCATGTTCCTCTCTATTTGATGCAATCTTAGCCTGGTTTTAGCTAGCTTTAGCTTGGATGTTCTATATGTTAAACTTTGTGTTTTGGGTTGTGTGAAGACACAGAGTGCTGAGAGGAACTTATCCAAGGCTGGTCTCCTATACGGTGTACATCTGAGGACATCCTAAGGTCTCAGGAAAAAATTAACAATGAGATCCTGAGACATCAGACGTGAAGACCTCAAACATTTTAGTCAAAAACTCAGACTTCTGAATAAACTACGGCAGAACAAAAGATCTCACGTACAAATTAGAATGTCATGGCAAAGTTGACTTCCCCTCATACCAAAGGGACAAACAGATTAACAGACCATTTGAACAACAACAACATAGATTAAACAAACAACATAAATTTACATATGAGGAAGAGAAGGAAGGTAGCTTCAGATCCACAGACACGAAAATAACCAGATTAACAAAAGGTACTCGTCTCGCAACATTCTTTTTTTTTTTCATTTGTTTCATTTTTATTTTTATTTGAACATGAGACAACAAAAGTATAACAATAAAATCAATAAACATTTGAACATAAAAAAATACCAGAAAAGAAAGAAAAGTCTTTGTCCAAAGGGAGCTGGAAGAAGCTAAAGCTTACGTAGCCCCGCCTCTTTACCACACTACAGCACCCTCAGGTATATAAGGTACCTGCTTAATGTTCATCTAGGAATTTTACATCTGTTGCTGCTTCAAAAATCACAATATTAAAAGTAGTTATATTAATAAGACAAGTTATATGTGTGTTTTCCATAATAATATTAATAATAATAGTCAATAATATCACACTATCACCATTATTTTTCCAAATAACTAATTATTAGGGGTGCACTGATCTATTGGCCTTGATCTCGGTTTTTTTTTTCAAGATCAGTGATCGGCCAAAAACTGCAATCGATGCACCCCTAGTTAACGTTAAAGTAAGTCATTGCTATAGAATAACTTTTGGGGACAAATGTGTCAAAACAGGTGCAAAAGTTTTGTTTTCAAAATTATAAAACTGAAAGTCTAAAGGAACAAATATTGTTTTGTAGTTCAAATAGCATTGCTAAGTATGTTCATTTATATTTGAGAACACTACCTCATGTCCAGTAGAAACTGGTGGAGTATTCATATTGGTTCTCTCAACAAAAGGAAACTGAAACATTGACGTGAGCTGCTTTTAGTTAAGACCAAATCGGTATGGACAAAAATCGGTATCGGCAAGTCAGGTTTTCTCAAGATCGGTGATCGGGCAAAAACTGTAATCGGTGCATCCATCCATCCATTTTCTTCCACTTACCCAGAGTTGTGTCGCGGGGAAGCAGCCTAAGTCGAGAGGCCCAGACTTCCCTCTCCCCAGCCACTTGGGCCAGCTCTTCTGGGGCAATCCCAAGGTGTTCCCTGGCCAGGTGAGAGACATAGTCCCTCCACCGTGTCCTGGGTCTACCTTTAGGCCTCCTCCCGATTGGACGTGCCCGCAAAACCTCACCAGGGAGGCGTCCAGGAGGCATCTTGACCAGATGCCCGAGCCACCTCAACGGGCTCCTCTCGATGTGGAGGAGCAGCGGGTCTACTCCGAGCCCCTCCTGGATGACTGAGCTTCAGATCATACTTCTGGTTGGGAACAAGATGGCGCCTGTGCTTGGCTTAGTCGCGGTCACCGGCCACTTTTTCAAACTTTTCTCCACTAATCTCCTCTTTTCCACCTTGCTCTTGTCTGCGATCCTCTTCAGCAGTGTCCCTGCTACCATCTCCTATGATCGCCAGACTCTTTTGTCCTTCCATTCATTCACAATCGCCCAAGATGCACCGAGGACTTACCTTCATGTTTGTTTACCTGAGCGGCGCATTGGCCCGAAGCCAAATGATTCCTACCTGGACACCTCCAGCGATGTTTATCCGGTCCCGGGAAAACGTCGGAGGAAAAGAGGTAAACGAGCAGGAATCCAGGTGAGAATAAGACTTCTCTTAAAGCGTGGTTTATCTAGTAAACTTCAGCGTGATCTTCTAGCTTCCATTCCTTTGTTTGGCAACTTGAGCGCCACTTCCGCATTCCCGCCAGGCCGCGTTGCGGCGCAGCTTCTCCGTCCAAGTTTTTTAAGGTCTGTTTATCCTCATTCCTCAGTGGTTTCTCCTCCTGTTCCCTCCATAAGTGGTTTTTATAAACACCGTGGATCTAACCCTGCTAATTTACATCCACTAACTCCAGCTGTTTCTGTAGTTTCTGATTCCTCCTCCTCACTCCGCATGGCTCTATTAAATACCCGCTCTGTTAACAACAAGTCCTTCCTGCTCAATGATCTAATTCTGTCTAAAAACCTGGATTTTCTGTTTCTGACTGAAGTTTGGCAGCATGTCATATTTTTCGGCATGAAGACTCACACGATGGCGACGAAGATTATATTCTTTCAGCACTGCAACGTGCTGTGAACTCACCAAACACACAGCTTTTCCGTTCACTTCCATGAAAAAATAGGTGGGGGTCCATTTTTCTTGGAACAACCTGCACTCTGTGTCCACTTTTCTCCTTTTTGACAGAGACATCTTGGGCTGAAGCACAAAATGTAGATACCGGATTAGATATCAGGGGCAAAACAAAGTAGCTCGTCAGAACACCTGTTGCACTTGGTTGACGTACTTGCTCTGGCTGAGGATAAACGGCTTGCTTGCTTAACACAATGCCTATTACACCATCTAGTGAACGTATTGGGAACAGCAGGTTTTTTATTGAAAAATTGGAGTTTATTTTCACTCTACATTGTGAATTATGAGAATAAAGTTTATACAACCATCTCGCGGGCCAGACTTAACAAATTTGCGGGCCGAATCCGGCCCGCGGGCCGCATATTTGACACCCCTGATTTCGATGGTTGAACAGATACAGATAGTGGTGTACTCGCTCATCTCTACTTTTAGAGCACTTCCTGCTTCCTGCTGACCAGCTGTATGGAGATGCAGATTTCACACAGAGCCAAAGCTACCAGTACCTGGTTTAAGGATCGTGGTATCCCTGCAAACTGGCCTGACCTTAACCCCAAAGAAAATCTATGGAGTATTGTGAAGTGATTTACCTTTATGTAAATTTAAAAACCTAACTGTAACTTGTCATTTATAACAGTAGCAAAAGTAAAAAGAACAAGAAGTGATTAAATCTATTTTGTCTCTTAATTTGTCTCATTTGACGTTTTTTTTTTTTGTCCGAGATTATATAGTTTTACATCCTGCTGCTCCAGCAGGGGGCGCTAATTCAGATGCTAAAACAGATCGGGTTTCCTTGGCGTTTCCTGCTGGATAGGTGCTCGCTGCCTTGTGCTTTGTTTGGCATTAAACAGCTAAAATATGTCCACATGGCTCTTCAGTGTCACTCAGTCAATTCTCCGTCTCTTCTTCGATCTTGAATTTGATTTGATTTAAAGGAAGACATTGCATATTTATGCACAGTAAAATAACTGTAAATATGCCAGATTATAGCTTTAGGCTGATTTCCATCTGCAGTTCATTTCATCAGTGATGTCACACCTGTTTCCTAATCTAAAAGGCTCCAGCTTCACAACCTAGCCGTTAGCGCGTCTAGCTGCTATTGGGCAAATTTGGCCACATGATTCATTCAATGCAGAGCAAGTCTTATTATCATTGGCTGTTCGTCTGATATTCAAGGTTTACATCTACCTGTTCTTACCTTTGAAGACACGTATTACTATTGTTTTATCGTTCCGCTCTGGTTGTGATAAAGGTTTTTTGTTTTAATGGCCGTATCTATCATCTAGGCTAAGTTGAGGCTAATAAACAGACAAATGCAGCCCTCTATCTGCTGCTGAACAAAGTCCTTTATTAGCTTTACGACACACGCTAACCTGCAGGACATCTCGTTGGAGCTGTTAAATCTGTAGCTGGCGTTTTATTTATTTAAGGTTTGATTCTTCTGCTGAAATGTCATTGTTAGAAGATCTGATCTTCTTCTGGCTCCTCCAGCTTAGCCAGAGGCCTACGGTCGAGGAGCTGAGGGAGGCGAAGATCCTCATCCGCTTCAGCGACTACGTGGAGGTCGCGGAGGCTCAGGATTATGACAGGAGAGCCGACAAACCGTGGACCCGGCTGACAGCCGCCGATAAGGTCCGTTTAACGTGAACCACAAACAAGATGGCGTCTGACGACTTCTGATCTGAATATTTCTGGTTTGGGTTTTGTTTTTGTTCAGGCCGCCATTAGAAAAGAGCTGAATGAGTTCAAAAGCACAGAGATGGAGGTGCACGAGTCTAGCCGTCACCTGACCAGGTACGTGAACTCCACTTTAACCTTTAGAGAGGTCTGGGAAGCACAAGTAGCCACCAGGCCAAGACGGACTTCTCATCAGTCTGAGTTTTGCTCCGTCAGCCTCGACGCGCCCGTGCGCCATCAGTCAGTTTAAGGACATAGGTACAAGTAGCCGAGCGTGAAAACTTCCTCTTAGACTTTGAATTCAGGTGACCTCCGAGAGCCTCAGGAACCCCTCCTTCACGGGAGGTGCTGAGGAGCAAATTGCTTTGAACGGTGAAAATAAGGTGGATGTTTAAGATCTGATATTTAATCCGTAACTCGAGGATGAAGATGGGACTGTTGTGCTGCGTAAAGTCTTCATTTCATTTTGCCTTCGTAGATGAAGTAAATGAGCCCCATATTCACCATTTCTCTCCTGTGGAACAAATGTACGGAAAGCAGATGTCCTGTTGGGTTTGGGTCGGTGTGCGTCTGGAGCAGCGGCAGCAGGAGATGGAGGGTTAGCCTGCGTTGGATAAGTGATGCAAGAAATGGCTCCATTTCTACACAGAGCGCAGCTTCACCACTAGATGTCACCAAGGATCCTTTCATACCCACCTCACCCCCAGGCGTCATTTGGAATCCTAGGATGTTCAAGGAAGATCCCGCCTTTCTCACCTCTGATTGGCTAGAAAGGCTCTACTACGATTGTCTGTTTCATTTAGCAGCAAACCGGCTGTCCTGCTACCAGCAGAAAGCTGTTTTTGGGGAGTTTAGTAAAGAAAATGTGAACTTAGCGTTATGATGACCATTCTGTCCTGTTTTGTTTTGTAAAAAACTGAAAAACGTAAAATGTGATTTATAATCTTGTTGCATGAATCAAACTGTTGGACTTTATATCTCTTGGCTCTGAAGCATCAGAGTACATAGAATAAACACATGTGCCTTACCTGGGTATGACATTTCATAAAACTGCCCTATTCTGCGCAGCTGTGTGCATCAGGTCTGTTTCTTTTATAGAATAATGGAAACTGGTGAGGCTGCACCGTGGTTAGAGCTGTTGTCTTGCAGCAGGAAGGTCCTGGGTTCGCTTCCCGGCCTGGGATCTTTCTGCATGGAGTTTGCATGTTCTCCCTGTGCATGCGTGGGCTCTTTCCGGGTTCTCCGGCTTCCTCCCACAGTCCAGAAACATGACTTTCAGGTTGATTGGTCTGTCTAAATTGTCCTTAGGTGTGTGTGTGTGTGTTTGTCCTGTGTGTCTCTGTGTTGTCCTGCAATGGACTGACACTCTGTCCAGGGTGTACCCCGCCTGATTGACCGCTGGAGATAGGCACCAGCCCCCCCACGACCCTATGGACAAGCAGGTTCAGAAGATGGATGAATGCAAACTGGTGAAAAATAGGTCCAAATCATAATCAGCCTGAACTTAATTTTTTATAAAATGATACACGTTTAATCTGAAAATGACAGATATGATCTAACGCATAAACAGCCCTAACCTAGGACAGCGTAATAATTAAGTAATAAGATAACCCCAAAAGAGCCAACAGATCAAGTCAGTCAGTGTGATAAAATGCAACAAGATTTATTACAAGTTCACATTTTCTTCAAAACTTCTCAAGATCTACACATAAAAACCTGCAGCGAGGGAACACAGCTTCCTCTTACATGAAATAACCATTCGTAGGGGAGCCCTTCCAGCCAATCAGAGGCGAGAAAGGCGGGACCTTCCTTGGACATGCTAGGATTCCAAATGACGCACCCCGCAGGTGTAACCAACTGTAGATAAATAACTGGCAGACACTTCAGAAGCCGACATGTCACTAGTGTGAGGGCTTAAAATCTGTACTTTGTAATATATTTGTGACCAGTTTTATCTGGTTTGCCCATGCGGGACATGACCTTTGACACCATATTAACTTGTTGAGGGTTTCCATGCTGCTACGCCTCGTCGCCCGTCAGCCTGATGTCCTTTCTTTAAACTGACCGACTCCAACTTTCCTCCCTGCAGGTTTCATCGGCCGTAAAACAGAACAGCTCCACCGCGGCCGTGTTTCCTACTGCGGCCTGCTGCTCTGGCCTCGGCAGCGGACGCTGGAGCCAGAAAACGGGAGAGAAACTTTCAGATGGGAAAGATGAACCCCGAACTGTTGTCTTCCCTCAGTGGGAATTTTAAAGACTTCTTGATATTCAAAAGCTTTTAATTGTAACTTTTATGATGAAGTTTTATTTACTTTGCAGCCTTTTTAATGTTGGGGGGGGGGGGGGGTCAACATGATCTGTGCTAAGGGGACGAAAATGGAAGGGATCATCCAATTTTGTTTGTTGTTAAACATAAATTCTGGCTTTTCACCGTCTGAGAGGCTCGTTTGTGTTGCTTGATCGGGACTTTGTCAGAACCCGGTACTCCCGATCTCTGAACACTTTCAAATCTTTTTTAGCAATAACTTCAGCTTGTCTTCACCCAGGAGTCCAAACATGTCTGGATCTAAAACAACTCGTCTCGTTGAGGACGGTGGACGCTCCTCGACCTGATGAGATCTCGGTGACCGGCCGTGGCGCCAGCCAGGCTCGTCTCGTTTACCCGTTTTTCGTTTTTCCTCCACAGAATTTCACCAGTAAACAATAAAATGTGACCGAACTCTCAGCCGACTTAAAACAGACGGGTTTTATACTTTTTATTGTTAGAAAACCTGCAGCCTTCTATTTTTGTTTACAGTTCATGAATTGGACACAGGCGACCTCCTGGGGGGGCGTGAGTGCCGCTAACGCTACGTTTTCAGAGGCTGAACATACGGACAGGTTTTCAGATCCGTTTTTGTAAACACGAAGCTGCATGTGTGTGTGTTATTTATTGTGAGTGTTCTATGATGTACACACTTTGTTAAAGAAAAGAAACTTCTTAAAAATCATGAGTTTGTGACTTCTGTGTGGTAGCTGGTCTGTGTGCCGCGTTCCTCGCTGGAAGCTGAAACGGGAACAAAAAGCAGCTCCGAGGTCCCTCGGCTCATTAGAAGTGAGCCGCTTATTTCCAGGTAGGCTCGCGGGGAGCTGGGGGACATCCTGGACGTCTCCAGTTGTCCCATGGTTGGTTACCAGAGGTCAGGCAGGAAGGACACCGGCAGAATGAGCTTGGGTTAAACCAGCAACCCTCCAAGTGCAGGACCAGGCGTTGTCCTGGTGGACTCAGAGAAAGCATCCAGATTTCTGCTTCCTAAACGGCGTGGTTGGGGTTGCCGCAATACTTCTGCCACAGATCGATGGCTTTAGTGACGATGGCGTCGGTGTTTTCCTGTGGGATCTAGAAGAGACGGGTCCTCAAAGCCGACAGACTCACCAAACGATGGATTTTACTCTCCGATCTGTCGTCATTTACTCACGTTACACAGAAACCTGACCACGCCGTCCGGCCGGTTGATGCCCATCAACATGATCTTGTAGCTGAGCAGGATCTCCAGGGCAACAAAGACTAAGATCTTACAGGAGCCGCTGATCACTTTATCCCAAACCCTAAAGAAAAGGTCAAAGGTCAACCACCGGTCTAAACCAGCAAACTTCATTGCAGAACTTTTTCTACACATTAAAGAGCAAGTCACCCCCAAATCAACTTTATCTAATCGTGCTGCAGACACGTGTAGTCAATAGTTTAGCACTTTAGTGTATTTTACTTAAAATGTTCATTTTCTGCCTAAAACTGTCAGTGTTGTGCTGTTGTCAGGTAAAAACTCTGCACTGCATTTGAATTTAAATCTGCCATTGCTATTGGCTAAGAGGTACCCTAGAACGTTGGCTGGTACCATATGATGTCACAATGTCACTGTGTGTGTGAGTGTGTGTGTGTGTATTTGTCAGCGGCTCCGCCCTCTCGATCTGCTAGGCAACAGCATTTGTTGCATTTTTCAAACAGGAAGTGGGAGTTTAGTAATACTCTGGTAGGGGGTGACTTGCTCTTTAAAGTTCCTCTTTATTGGAATTGATGTTCTTGCTTATTCCTACAAAAGCATTTAGAATTTACCGTCACTAGACGGGAACAGAGCCGTTTACGGAAATGAGAATTTTAAACACAAAGGAAGAGGAAGTCTTGTTAAATCCTCATAACTCAGGTAAACTCCGGTAAAGGGTCGACTTTTGGGTTGTACCCTAAACCAGGAACGTTGTGTTTTTTCCATTCAGAACATTTTAAATCAGCCTCAGCAGCACGACTAGCTGATCACACCGTGGAGGGTTCTGCAGAACCTCGGTTTCAGGTGGACCCACTGACCTCTGCAGGCTGGATTCGGGCAGGCAGCCAGCGAAGCAGCGTCTGAACCAGAGGCTGAACGGCAGCTGAGGCAGTGCTCCGGTGCTCTTCAGGTGAGTCAGCAGGCGAGGTTCTTCCTGACTCAGATAATGCTCCAGACTCTTCGGCTGCATCAGAACGAACCAAACGAGCCATTTAAACACCCACACGGCCCGTTTCACCAACAGCATCGAGCTCCGTTTGGATACGTACTAGGTGTGGTACTGAGTCTCCAAACTTCATGTGAAACTGATTAATGAAACATTTGATCAGCCAGTAGCAGTCGACTGGATCATCTACGATCTCTTCCATGGCTCGGCTGATGGAGAGGAAGTCTTCATTTTCTTCATCCTGACATAAAAAGTATCTCAAATGAAAGCAGACAGTGTCTGAAGTGTTGAACAAGAAAAGAACAAAATAATGAAAAACACTTCAGCTACATCTCAAAATTTAGAATATCATGAAAAAGATTTTAATCATTTTTTCCCTCCATGTCAGAAAGTAAAACTTATGTTACAGATTCATCATTTCTTTTAATAACAAAACGACCAAAAACCCATCCATCCATTTTCAGCCACTTATCAGGAGTCGCGTCGCGGGGGCAGCAGCCTAAGCAGGGAGGCCCAGACTTCCCTCTCCCCAGCCACTTGGGCCAGCTCCTCCGGGGGAATCCAAAGGCGTTCCCTGGCCAGGTGAGAGACATAGTCCCTCCACCGTGTCCTGGGTCTTCCTGTAGGTCTCCTCCTGGTTGGACGTGCCCGGAAAACCTCACCAGGGAGGCATCCTGACCAGATGCCCGAGCCACCTCAACTGGCTCCTCTCAATGTGGAGGAGCAGCGGGTCTACTCTGAGCCCCTCCCGGATGACCGAGCTTCTCACCCTATCTGTAAGGGAGAGCCCAGCCACCCTGTGGAGAAAACATATTTTGGCCGCTTGTATCCGTGATCTCGTTCTTTCGGTCACTACCCAAAGCTCGTGACCATAGGTGAGGGTAGGAACGTAGATCTACTGGTAAACTGAGAGCTTCCGCCTTCTGGCTCAGCTCTCTCTTCACCACGACAGACCGGTACAACGCCCGCATCACTGCAGCTTTCCTTCACTTGTGAACAAGATCTCGAGATACTTAAACTCCTCCACTTGGGGCAGGACCTCATCCCTGACCCGGAGAAGGCATTCTACCCTTTTCTGACCCAAGACCATGGTCTCAGATTTAGAGGAGCTGATTCTCATCCCAGCTGCTTCACACTCGGCTGTGAACCGCTCCACGTTCTGATGAAGCCAACAGGACCACATCATCTGCAAAAAGCAGAGACCCGATCCTCAGGCCACCAAAACGGATGGCCTCCATGCCTTGGCTGCACCTAGAATTCCTGTCCATAAAGGTTGTGAGCAGAATCGGTGACAGAGAGCAGCCTTGGCGGAGTCCAACTCTCACTGGGAACGAGCCCGACTTACTGCCAGCAATGCGGACCAAGCTCTGACACCGGTCCTACAGGGACCTAACAGCCCGTATCAGAGGGCCTGACACCCCATACTCCCCGAGTACCCCCCACAGGTTCATTACACAGAGCGGGATATACTTAAAACCTTTATTTCTTGTTATAATAAAATTACATGAAATTTGTCATAAATTCAGAATCTCAGAAAGTTTGAATAATTTGAAGAAGTAGAAAATATCCAATCCTAATCCGCTTACTAACTCAAAGGTTTCCTGAGCCTCTAAATGGTCTCAGTCTGGGTCAGTAGCCTACATAATCCCGGGGAAGACTGGTGCCTGGACACATGACCAGAAGACAGTCGTGGACACCGTCCACTAGGGAGGGAAACCACAAAAAGGGCACTGCTTGTTCCCAGAGTGCTGCATCCAAGCATGTTCATGGAAGACCGAGTGGAAAGGGGCTACAGCCACAAGGAAAACCACAGCCTTGATAGGATCATCAAGCTGAATCCGTTCTGGAATCTGGGAGAACTTGACATGTTGGGTGTGCTTTATGGGTTTCTGGACGGGACGTTCTTTTTCAGAGGGGAACATTTCCAATGCTGATCCTGTAAATGTGGACGAAGAGCCAAAAATCCAAGGAGTTTGTTGTTTGAATGAACTTGATGCTTGGCTGTGAAAATGGATTTCATCGGAGGCTGAAAACTCCCTCCTGACTAATCTAAACACCCACGGTTCCCACGTGCAGACATAAATGCATCTAATCAGTCTTAGTTCGAAAGGCCCGAGTTAATGTTGTGAAATAAATCTCTGAAATAACTTTGGCCCCGGCCGTCTAGAGCTCTGTACGCCACTAATGAGACACTTTTGCCTGTCTGGATGTGGGATCCGCTTTAATTACAGAAAACTTAACAAGGTCACTGCTGAGACATGATTTAAGGGTCATTTCCACCACTTAATATGCAGCCATTATCAATCAATCAATTAATCAATCAATCAGATTTTATTTATAAAGCGCTTTTCAAGCAAAGTGCGACTCAAAGGGCTTTACAGAATTAAAATGACCCCAAATTCCCATAACAGTTTAAAAACATCAACAGACATATGCGCACACACGCGCGCGCGCACACACACACACACACACACACACACGCGCGCACGCACGCACACAAGTAAAAATTTATATTCGGCTGAGTCCAGATGAGCCAAGTCAGGTAAGGCAAGGAAACGCCATCAGAGGAGCCGTCTGCCCCGGCAGCATCACGTCTTCCACACTAAAGCCCCCTTCAGACAGGCCATGAAAAACGGAAATGTTCCGGACTCTGTCCGTAAGACCTTTGTGTCTGAATACAAACATCCGGATAACGTGTTCCGGAAACCGGACCAAGCCCCTAGTAACAGGTCCGGACTTGTTACGGACAGGGTGGCTGCTTCAGACTGGTGAGGTAAAGTTCCGGACAAGGGGGAGGGGGAGGAGGAGGGGACCGGGGGACGCTGTGCGCACCTGGATAGCCCGCTGCTGTAGCATGCGGCGAACCACGGCAGCTCGCCTCCTACGGTACCGCCTAGACGCACGACGGAGCGCTTCACACCGCTTCAGTGATTCCTTTAACCATTGAGCTTCATCATCCAGGTCTCTTATGCGTCTTCGTGTGCGCAGAATTATGCTTAAGCGCCTTGTGATTTTTATCTTGAGAGGCGCTATAGAAATGATATTTTCTTCTTCTTCTTAACATAAGTCCGATCCACCCCCCCCCCCCCCCCCCCCCCCCACCCCCACCCCCAAGCCGCCGTCAGATATCTGGAACTTTTCCCTGCTGTATGAACGCAGCCGAAAGGACAAGTTCCGGTACAAAAGTGGTGTGTCTGAAAACACAGTTCCGGTTAAAAACCGGATTGAATTGTCCACAAATGTTCCTGAATGTCTGTCTGAAAAGTCAGGCCGCTCAGAGGAGGGGGAGCAGAGACCCCCACCTCCACTTAAACACTACCTGTAGAGCGCCCAGGAAGCTACAGTCGACCACCGCTCCCGGGGCAGAGGGCCCCTACATTACTCTATTAGCACATAAATAAACCACATTTTACCAAACCGGTCCTAATACATCCCATTTGCAGTTTTCCATTTATGCTCTCACTCCTCGTAAAAAGTCTGCTACGGGTTTTTTCCACATTTTTGATTTGGAAATGTTTTACACACGCACACCTCATTTCCTTTACAGCCTTTATTCTTCTCGTGAAGCTGATTTGCTACAGCGACTACAAAAAAATCCCCACAAACAAATGTTATATTCTAACACTGAGTGTGTCCGCTCGTGGGTCGGTGTTCCACAGCTGGAATCAAAAGCAGGGAGGCTAGAGCCCTCGGGAGTCACCTTACCGGCAGCTGGGTCTCGGAGCACCGTGGGAGGGCCTGGTTCTCCAGCTGGAACATACGCAGGTAGACGTGAGTGGAAGGCGTGGAGGAGTTAATGTACCTCATCACCTCCAGAGCCTCCATGATGTCCTGGTACTGCTCCTTCCTGTAGCCTCCAACCAAAGCATGAGAGTCGCTGTGGGGAGGGAGGATGCCTGAAGGAACCCGGAAGAGGACCAGAGTCAGACGGGTGGAACGGCTCAACGGAAGCAGGATTCATCTGTTCATGATAATTATTCAGATCCTTCCAGTCAGACACTTTTCTGAGTGGATTCAGTGTTTGTGCACTGCTCACCCAACAAAACCTTCCACACGTGAATCCGGTACATGGAGGGCAGCGGGAACCTCTGACTGAAGGTGCTCAGCTTTTCTAGATCTGCATCAAAGTAAAACAAGAAACATCCTAAAAGCCAGAAAACAGAATGTTAGCTGCATTTCCAGCTCAAGCTGATGTAAACCAAGAGGTGGTTACATTATTTTACTTAGGTGTGCTGGAGCAAGAGACGTGTAAATATTTCAGAAGACATCCCACAGGGACTGGAGTTGTGGCTCCAGCTCTGGTGGATGTTCAAGTCGCCAGAGACTTGTGAACAGGACCAGGTTCCTTCTGCTGCCACTTTTAAGAATGTGCAAATTTGAAGAAATCTGCTTATTTCTTTTGTTCGTTCTTGGCGTTTTTGTCTTACTGCAGAGGGACAACGCTAAAGTGAGACACCTTAAACATACAATCAAGGACGGCGGGACTGCATGGTCGGGTATGGAAAAGTAAGCATGTCCATTTAGCGTTAACCCTCCCACTGTCCTGATGGGGGTGACCCCGCGAGGAAAGTTGACCGTTGAGCAGGATTGATGCGGCAGCGGTGAGGAGTGAGCACCACCTCACCCCTGCCACGTGGACCTCAAGGGATAAACCATCCACCCTGCTCAACGGTCAACTTTCCTCGCGGGGTCACACCCATCAGGACAGTGGGAGGGTTAAACCAAATATAACCCACATAGGTTATGCATTATACATTATGAACATGTTTCTGGAATAAAGTAATCCCAGCATGTATGGATGTTGCCTACCTAGAGGATTCTCCTTGAGCAGTATTTCCAGTGACTTCTTCTCCTCCACTCCCCTGAAACCCACTTTTTCATAATACGCAGAGCGGAAGTTTCTCTGCGGGTCGTCAGCCATGGTTCGACCTGGGCACTGACCCGGGCACTGGGGCCTGACAATTTAAAAAACACGTTTATATTTTGCATTTTCACGTGACGGACACAGGTGTAATAATCCACACGTGGCGTTAGAAGGTAATTCTGCTGATAAAGGGCAGTCATCGCACAGTCAACGGCAACATGGAGAGGTTTGACGCACATTAAAAACGTCAATGAGGCATCGATGAAATAAGTTGAAAATTTTTTGCATAATCCTAATGTGGACCAAAAATGTTAGCTCTGATCTTCATTGAGGTTCATGAAATTAAACGGGCTAAACCCAAATTCAGCGTTTTAAGGAACGAGCTTCTAAAAGACAAATAGAAAAGGTTCAGTGTGTTTAAACGAGCTCTTGGTAATGTGCCTACGCTGAAATTCACAACAGAAAAGGGGAGTTGAAAGTTTTCTTGTACAAATATTTGCAATAGAGATCTGACAGCAGGTTGACAGTGATAACATAAATAGGTATCTTCTAGAAAAGGCTGTGATCTGTTTAGTAGAGCTAATAGTTCGATAGGTTGGCTTTTCCTTGGTTACACAAACTGAACCTTGTAGTCCAAATCCACCAGAAAAATTAACATTTTACACATCACCTTGACCTCCCACCTGATGAAGACCAGGGAGAGACTCCTCCTTACCCACCTACACTCTGTGGTGTGCCCAGAGATGGACTTACTGCAGTTTGCATACAAACCAAATGTGGGGTTTGTGGGTGCCATCATCTTCTTGCAGCACCGGGCGCTGACTCGCCTCGAGATGCAAAATAGCACTGTGAGAGTCATGTCCTTCGACTTCTCAAGTGCCTTCAACACCATCCAGCTGTGTCTACTGCAGCAGAAGATGAGGGGTGCAGGTGTGGATGAACATCTGACTACATGGACCATCAACTACCTCACCAAAAGGCCACAGTTCGTGAGGCTGCACAACTGTACGTCTGAGGTGGTTGTGTGCAGTACTGGAGCTCCACAGGGCACAGTGCTCTCACCCATTCTCTTCACCTTCTACACCTCAGACTTCACCTACAACACCAGCAGCTGTCACCTCCAGAAGTTCTCTAATGACTCGGCCATTGCCGGCTGTGTGTCTGAGGGGAATGACCTGGAGTGCAGGTCAGTCATCATGGACAACAGGGAGCAGATATTGAGCTGGTGGATACCTTTAAGTACCTGGGTGCTCACTTCAACAGTAAACTGAACTGGTCCAGAAACACAGATGCTCTGTATAAGAAGGGCCGAAGCCATCTCAACCCCCTGAAGGGGTCCTTCAGAGTCCTTCAGAGTTTATTCCCTGCTGCTAGAATCCTTTTATCACTCTGTGGTTGCATCTGTTATCCACTCTGCTGTGGTCTGTTGGGGCGCAGGAAGCTCTGACCGAGACAGGAAGAGACTGAACAAGTTAGTCAATAAAGCTAGCTCAGTTCTGAGCTGCCCACTGGATTCACTTGAGGAGATGTGTGAAAGGAGGATGTTGGGGAAGATGACCTCCATTTTGGAAGGCCCCTCCTTCCCACTGTGGAACCACGGACAGCTCCTTCAGAGGCAGATTGAGACATCCCAGATGTAAAACAGAACGCTACTGTAGGTCATTCATCCCCTCTGCAGTAAGAGTGTAGAACTCCTCAGTTTTACTGGTACTGGCATTATCCTGGTACACAATAACACCAATACGATACTCAGTATGCGTTCAATACCTGTGCAATACCAGATGTAATCAAAAAGGGTTCAAATAAAGGCGACTGAACTGCGTTGGTTTCTTGAAAACGTTTCACTTCTCATCTCAGCAACTTTGTCAGTTCTGGCTGGAATATGAGAGTCAGTTCAGTTCTTCTCAGATGAGAAGTGAAACATTTTCAAGACACAAAAGAAGTCCAGTTGCTTTCAATCGAACCCTTTTGGATTACCATGACCCGAATGACTGAGAATCTTAAGCTGCATAGTCCCGGAAACCCAATTTTCTTTTTATTTGTTGATTTTAGTGGTTGAAGGTTACAATAATAGCTCACTGCCCTTGTGTATTTACCTGTAGTCTTGTTATTTTTCTTCTTCTTCCTTCCCTCTAAGCGTATGTACTGCTGTAACGAGTGGATTTCCCAGCTGTGGGAATAACCAAGTCTTTTCTATTCCTTTTAAACTACAAGCTTTGAGCACTTTAGTTATTTTAATTATCAACAACCTGATTAATTTCTTCTTAATGTAATTTATGACTTTATTTATCTGTACCTAGTTGATTAATTTTACTGACAAACATCGTATTTGTTTATTTATGGTCTAGTAGATTTTGTGTCTATATTTTAACTACTGAGATGGCAATGATACCACATTCGGAGGTAAAGGTGGTCTGTGTCATTTTATCTTTCTTGAATAACAAAACCAGACGCTAATTAAAACTACTGCTCGCGTTTATATTCATAAAATAAACATTTTTAAAAATCGAGTTGCCCAACGATGTTTGGTAAGACTTCAGGTCGATCTTCACATTATCAGCTAAATGAAGAGTGGTATAACTGACATCACATAGAGATCTTTAATCCTGTATGGAGGCATTAAAAGCCACTAAAGGGGTAAAGCTTCTTACCTCGGTGCGTTTTACAGCGTCCCCAGTTTGTTTACGTGTATCATTAGCTGGCTGTGCTAGCTGGAAATGCTAGCTTAAACACGTAAACACGTAAAGCTTTATCTAGATTTTAAATGACCCAATAAACAACAATACGACAGCTAATCCAAAAGTGAAATGAAACTAAAATCACAAAATGTTGTACCAAAGACTTTTACGTCCAGTGACCCCACATGTCCGAACTGAACTACATGTTCCGGGTCACAATGTCAAAATAAAAGCGTTTTACAATGCTAATTTTCAGTACTGTTCCAGTATTTCTTACATCTGACTGACACTTTTAAGGCCATTAAACTAAGAAGATGGCTTATTCATAATGAAAGTTTACGTTGTCACGTTTGATGAACCATCCCCAACAGCACAACATCTTCTTTTGAAGCTTTTCGAGACAACTTTTCAACCATGGACATGCAGAACTAAACTGTCAAGTTTTAAATCCACTATTTTACTTTTTTGACTGGACTTGTCTGTAAGTAGTAACTCTCACTAAATCTGTTGAATTTGTTTTATAGATTCATGTAAATATAATCATGATCAAATAGTTCAATGTAACCCTAATTTTAATGCTTAGTCCTCGGTTTTAGTTCAGAAAGCTTTACTCCTAACTAAGGCTCTAAACGCCACAGGCGTATATCGTAAAGTTATTAAGCTTTGTTAATGACTATATCTCGTAATTTTTTTGAATGACTTTGTTTTCTTAGATTTAAAAAAATTGATCATTTTTGACTAGTAGCCAGTTTTACTTTGGCATAAATTAAAAAGTGAAAGTAAGTTTAGTTCAAGCTGCAAGCAGCGTCGTGCAACCCTCGCAGCTCTGATCGTTGACGCGCTCCAGACATCTGCGTCCTGAGCACCGCCAAATCAGGTGTCACCACCTCAAAAACAAATTAAACATGCAATCGTTCATGTCGGCTCATTTCCTTTAATGTTTTCTGTCTGTTATTTGTGCCTGATGTGTTTCGCTGCTGCGGAGCGAGGCGGTGTTTTGTCCTCCGGTGACGCACCCCCAAAATTCCACTATCTCCGCTCCGGCACGAACTCCGCAGCAAAAACAGTCCCATTGTAGTCGGCCGGCGAGCAGCGGCACTCCTCTGTTTTTGTGGTCGGTAGATCTTTTAGAACTGCAGTTCAAAGGTAACTCATGAGGTGATTATATATGAACCCAGGTAGCAGTTTTTCTTTAGGATTGAGAGGAGATGCAGGAAGATAATAAACAGGCAGGCCAGAAAAATAGTCAAATAAAAACAAGTTAGTTTTTGTACCTGGTGGTTGCAACAAACAGACACCATTGAAGGTAATCAGAAGTGAGGAACAGAAAATGAAATAAATATTTTAATGTTTAGAGCAGCAGGAAAGGCTGCAGGCGCATCAGTGAGTTTGCGGCTGCTGCGCAGGGGGAGGGGGGGGGGGTCTGAAGTAGGATGCAGACACTACCGTTGTTAAAAGAGATGTGTTACCTTAGAAAATGTGGGCGCAATTTAAATTGTCAAAAACTCCAGTGAACCTACCGACCCCCCCACCCCACAGTTTTTTCTGTTTGATCGCCCATCTCTTCTGAGCAATTTCCCACCATTTTCAAGACGATCGTGCGAAAAATGATCGAGTAAATCATTCAGAAGCGGACCCTAGAAACGGCCATTACGGGGTCAAAATCACCATTTCAAACCAAAATGGCCAACTTACTACAAGTGTGCAAAATTTCATAACTGTACGACAAACTAAGGTTTATGGAGGGGGGTATTTTTCACATTCTAGGGGGCGCTGTGGAGCTAGTTTTATTGCGAGTTTTTTGGGACGTTTAAAATACAAAATTTTACACCACGCCTGACATGTGTGCAAAGCTTCCTGAGTTTTCTGGTATGTTAAGGCCTCCAAAAAGCCAATTTACTTGGCGGAAGAAAAATAAACAGAGCAGATACATTAGGCCGTCGCAGCGCTTTCGTTGCTCGGGCCTAATAAAAGCATGTGCCTTACAAAATATAGGATTGTTATGGTTAGTTGAAGTTATAAATAATTTGTTTTTTGGAAACTTATTGCCACTGACAAAAAATAAATCAAATCCACATGAGAAAATGACTGATTTTATTCAATAAAGATGAAAAAGCATTACAAACCTTGCAGCGCATATCACAAGAGAAATTAACAGCTCAGTGAGTAAAAAAATCAATAACTTCACCAAACATTGTATTCTTTACCCCGGGAAGCAAGCATAGCACAGATCATGTGTTAAAATGCATGATAAGAATAGGGTTATGTTTTCAGTTCAAATGAAATAACATTTCATAGAGTTTTGAGAAAGTAATTTTGAAAAGGTATGCAAATAAGAATAAAAGCAATGCTAAACCTCTGTTACATCACATATGTTGTTATATAAACTTTATTTCCATTCCAAATACATTAAAGCCGCTTTTAGTATTTTCCTAATTCTTTTAAAAATATCTTGGGATTGTTCATTATAATAAAATGAAACTGGAGTTCCCAAAGCCCAGCAATACCAAAGCAAAATTGTAGAACATGCTAAAGAAAGAAAATATTTTCTCTGCAAGCAAATATAAAACATTTAGTACATTACTGCACATAAGAAAATTATGTTGTTGTTTTTTTCTGTTTGTTCATTGCTTGATTTATTTGGTTGATGAGAAGGCTGTAAAGCTACTGTAGTTTGGTAGTGAGGAACCTAAGTCCAAGCTGCCCCTACGGGAGCTCCGGCGTGAGCCACTCCTGGAGCCTGTGGAAGATCCTGGGGCAGAAGCCACATTATATGGACTGCTGATGCCTCTGGAAGACACAGATGATGCCTGGAGTATTTTCACCCCAGTGCCTTCTTCCACTAGACAGTTGTCAAGGGCTTCTTTGTAAGAGATTTTTAGTTTGCTTTTGGGGCATGTGAGCACTTTTGCATGCTGTTTGGCATCTTGGAGCTTCTGTGCTGTTCTCAAATCCAGCCAGCCCATCTTCAGAGAATCCTCCATGCTTCTTCTGCAGTCCATTTCTGGGTCGTAAAGCCCTCCCGTTACAACCTGGAATTCAATGAATCTCTGACCTGCGTCATGTGGGAGCCACCTTTCCTTCATGGCTTCAGCAACTGATAGCTTCTTCTTGCTTTTTACATCATCAAAACCAATATAGGCTTTCTGGGCAGGCTTGAGTTTATTGGCCATGTCTTCAGTTATTATGCCTATGCGGGTGGCTTCTTGGATGCTGATTCTTTGGCCATTTGTGGGATTGACAACTCCTCCAGTGCAAGCTTGGGCCTCAAGTAATCTCTGTGCAGTGATAGAATCCAGTAGACCACGATTTACAGCCTCTTTGATAGAGATCTTCTCTACAGTATCAGTGTCAAAAATTGCCCCCACAGGTTCCACTTCTTCAAAAACCCCGGCAGGAGTTATAGAGATGGATACATGGGATTTCTGTGTAAGAGATTCTGAAGAATTTTTAACAGTAGAGCTGGCTGTTGAGCTTTTTTCAGTGTACGTGGTTGTTCTTGTTGTGGTTGTTTTAGTAAATGTAGGCGATAAGGGTCCTGACACGATTGTTGATGTAGAAGATGACAATGAAGATGATGCTAATGATGGAGGAACAGCACCATCAGAGACAGTTTTCTTTTGATGTTCTCCTGATGTTTTTGAGATGGTTTTTGTCACAGATGTACTCAAAGATGTTGATGTTCGTGAACTGGATGTTGATGACGTCGATGATGATGATGACAGTGTGCCTGAGGTTTGTGCCGGTATTAAATTTGATGATGATGATGATGATGATGATGATAGTGAAAGATGTTTGGTCTTTTCAGTGACGATATCTGCTAACTGTGTGATGGTAATGGTTCGAGTGCGATACTGCTGAACAATTGATTCATTGATGACTCCTTTTTCAAGCAGGTCAGAGATGTCAAACTTTTTTCCAGATCGTCTGTCATTGATAAAAAAATGCATGGAACCATCTGGAGCAGTGATAGTAATCTCTTCCCATTCACACTCCTGCTCTGACAGCTCTATGTAGGTGTCATACTCAATATATCCTTTGTCATATGCTTCACGGATTGTCATCTCTTTACCAGTGTCTGGATCCACAATTATCACTCTTCTCTTCCTTACGGTGTTCTTTTTGGTTGATTCTTGTTTTTTCTTGTCAGTGATGGGCAACAGTGTTAGACCTGTCTTTTTGTCTATGATACAGCGTTTCTTAAGGTCCAGATAGGTTAGGTTCTCCTCAGTGTTTGGGTCAAAGAAACCTTTAGTGTCATCACTTTCATCAGTCAAGATCTTGTTCATTTCTTCATCAAAGTAACCTCTCTTGTAGGCAACATTCACTTCAATGCGGTGGCTATGTTTAGGGTCAATGATGCCACCACTGGCAATTTGGGCCTCTAAAAGACGAATGCCGTGACCTTTTTCTACTAAACCTTTCTCAATGGCCTGAAAGAGGGAAATTATCGTGTCTGTTCCAGGCATTTTGTAACCAGTTACAGCCTTTTCTGCTGATAGCAATTTGTCCTTGAATTCTGGCCCAAAAAGCCTTCTATTGTAGGCTTCGGCAACAGTCAAAAATAAATTATTGACTGGATCAATAACAAAACCTGAGGCAGCTTGGGCTTCAAGTAATTCAAGAGTAGTTCCACATCGCAACAGTCCATCTTTCATGGCTTGATAGATTGTCATCACTTTATCATGGGCCTCATCATAAACTCCTGCTATGCAGGTGGAACCTCTCAGATATGAACGAAGACGGTCTTCAATGTCTTTGCTTGTCAGTTTACCTTGATTCAGTTGGTCCACATCAGATTTGCTTATCAGGTTTGCTTCAACAAGCTCTGTGACAGACACCTGATTTCGAAGTCCCTGTATAGTCATTGGCTGTTTAGGTTTAGGGAGAAGCAAAAGACCTGTGCTTAGATCAGATTTACATTTCTTCTTAAGTGACATGTATGTAGTTGGTTGTTGAGTATCTGGGTCCAAAAAACACGCAGGCAACTGATTCAAGGCCTGGCATAGGTCCTCATCAATCAGGTCCTGTTTCCTTGCAATGTTTTTGGGTAGGAATACACTAAGGTTAGGGTCCAAAATTCCACCAACAGACTCTTGAGCTTGAAGTACTTGCAAAGCTGTGTTCTTGTCAAGTAACCCCTTTTTCATTGCCTGGCCTGCTGACAAAAGTTTGGCTGAATCTGGATCTTTGAAACCTGTGGCAGCAGCCTCAGCTGCAGACAACACTGATTCATCCTCTTTGTCCACTACTCCTCTGGCACATGCTTCTTTTACAGAAAGTTTTTGGTTAGTCCTAGGGTCAATAATGTGTCCTGTGGCAGCTTGTGCTAGAAGAAGCATATTGGCACTGTCAGATGACATAATTTTTTGTTTCTTTGCCTCAGTGAATGACATTTTCCCTAAAGGTCCAGCAGCAACACCAGCAATTGATCCTGTTCCCTTCAGAAAGACCTTTTTCTCAACAGTAACTTCTGAAATAGTTTTCTCCCCTTTCATCAGTTGATTAAATGCTCGGTTATCCAGAATTCCACAATCAAGAAGTTGCTGTGCTGTGACTGTCTTGCACACACCTTCAAAAATTAATTTGGAAGAGTCAAACTTCTCTGACACTGGCAAAACATGTTGTCCTGTTTGACTGTTTGTGTTACACCTTGCCTTCAAGGTCCCATAACTGACATTGCGCTCATTCTCTGGATCAATGTAACATGCAGGATTTTGTTTTAATGACTGGTAAAGCTTTTCATCTAAAAGGTTCTGCTTAACAGCTTTCTCTTTTGGTAGGAATATACCAAGATTAGGATCTACAATTCCTCCCACTGAGTCTTGGGCCTGTAAAAGACGTAGCCCAGTCTTGTCATCAAGAATTCCTTTCGTCATAGCCTGAAACACTGCAATTGGCTTTCTAGAAGAAGGATCCTTATAGCCAACAACCGCACCTTCAGCAGCCAACAATCTGTTTTTGTCTTTGAAATCCACAACTCCTTTGGCACATGCTTCTTCTACTGTTAATTTCTTATCAGTGTTTGGGTCAATGATGTAACCTGTAGCAGCTTGCGCTTCCAAAAGTAAATCTGCGCTGGATTCTGATATGATCTTCCGCTTTTTGGCTTCTGACAATGACATTTTACCTTGCTTGGCAAGTACAATCCCGGCAATAGGCCCAGTTCCTTTTAGATAGACCTTCTGATCCACTGCCACATCAAGAGGAGTTTTTTGCCCATTGACAAGCCTAGTAAATGTTGATTTGTCTAGAACACCACATTCGAGCAGTTGCTGTGCTGAGACAGTCTTGCGAATCCCTTCAAACATAATGTTTGAAGGGTCTTTTCTTTCAGCAATTGGCAGAAGAGCCAGACCTGTGTGGGGCTCTGTTTTGCATTTCTTCTTGAGAGTCTCATAACTGGTGACACGTTCAGTGTCTGGATCAAGGAAGCACTCAGGATTTTGACTCAATGAACGACTGAGGTCTTGATCCAAAAGGTTGCGCTTAATGGCTGTGTCTTTAGGGAGGAAAACGCTGAGGTTTGGGTCAAGAATACCTCCTGCAGACTCCTGAGCTTGTAGCAAACGCACTGCGGTCTTTTTGTCAATTAGCCCCTTCTTCATTGCCTCAAAAACTGATAGAGATTGACCTGTGCGAGGGTCTTTATATCCTACAGCAGCAGCTTCAGCTACTAAGAGTTTATCTTTATCACCTTTGTCCACCACTCCTCTTGTACACGCTTCCTCTACTGTTAGCTTCTTATTGGACATGGGGTCAATGATGTGTCCTGTGGCAGCTTGCGCTTCTAGTAGCAAATCTGCAATATCGGGGGAAATGAGCAGCTGTTTCTTGGCCTCTGATAAAGACATTTTGCCTAAAGGTCCAACCGACAATCCAGCAATTGGCTCAGTCCCTTTTAGAACGTCCTTTTTATCCACAGATATTTCTGTGACGGTTTTCTCTCCCTTCATCAGTTGGTTAAAGGTTGGTTTGTCAAGGATACCACATTCCAGCAACTGCTGTGCTGAGACTGACTTGCGAACACCGTCAAACATAAGCTTGGACGGGTCTTTCCTTTCTGCAATTGGTAAAAGAATCAGGTCTGTAAGAGGGTCTTTTTTGCATTTTTTCTTCAAAGAACCATAGCTTGTGTTGCGTTCAGTGTCTGGATCAAGGAAGCAGTCTGGATTTTGGCTCAATGAACGGCTGAGGTCTTGATTCAAAAGGTTGCGCTTAATGGCTGTGTCTTTAGCGAGGAAAACGCTGAGGTTTGGGTCAAGAATACCTCCTGAAGACTCTTGAGCTTGTAGCAAACGCACTGCTGTCTTTTTGTCAATTAGCCCCTTCTTCATTGCCTCAAAAACTGATAGAGATTGACCTGTGCGACGGTCTTTAAATCCCACAGCAGCAGCCTCAGCTGCTAAGAGTTTATCTTTATCACGTTTATCCACCACTCCCCTTGTACATGCCTCTTCTACTGTCAACTTTTGATTTGACATGGGGTCAATGATGTGTCCTGTGGCAGCTTGGGCTTCTAGCAGTAAATCTGCACTATCTGCGGGGATGAGCATCTGTTTCTTGGCCTCTGATAAAGACATTTTGCCTAAAGGTCCAACCGACAATCCAGCAATTGGCTCAGTCCCTTTTAGAACGTCCTTTTTATCCACAGAAATTTCTGTGACGGTTTTCTCTCCCTTCATCAGTTGGTTAAAGGTTGGTTTGTCAAGGATACCACATTCCAGCAACTGCTGTGCTGAGACTGACTTGCGAACACCGTCAAACATAAGCTTGGACGGGTCTTTCCTTTCTGCAATTGGTAAAAGAATCAGGTCTGAGAGAGGGTCTTTTTTGCTTTTTTTCTTCAAAGCCCCATAGCTTGTGTTGCGTTCAGTGTCTGGATCAAAGAAGCACTCAGGATTTTGGCTCAGTGAACGGCTGAGGTCTTGATCCAAAAGGTTGCGCTTAATGGCTGTGTCTTTAGGGAGGAAAACGCTGAGGTTTGGGTCAAGAATACCTCCTGCAGACTCCTGAGCTTGTAGCAAACGCACTGCGGTCTTTTTGTCAATTAGCCCCTTCTTCATTGCCTCAAAAACTGATAGAGATTGACCTGTGCGATGGTCTTTATATCCTACAGCAGCAGCTTCAGCTGCTAAGAGTTTATCTTTATCACCTTTGTCCACCACTCCTCTTGTACACGCTTCCTCTACTGTTAGCTTCTTATTGGACATGGGGTCAATGATGTGTCCTGTGGCAGCTTGGGCTTCTAGCAGTAAATCTGCACTATCTGCGGGGATGAGCAGCTGTTTCTTGGCCTCTGATAAAGACATTTTGCCTAAAGGTCCAACCGACAATCCAGCAATTGGCTCAGTCCCTTTTAGAACGTCCTTTTTATCCACAGATATTTCTGTGACGGTTTTCTCTCCCTTCATCAGTTGGTTAAAGGTTGGTTTGTCAAGGATACCACATTCCAGCAACTGCTGTGCTGAGACTGGCTTGCGAACACCGTCAAACATCAGTTTAGAGGGGTCTTTCCTTTCTGCAATTGGCAAAAGGATCAGGTCTGTAAGAGGGTCTTTTTTGCATTTTTTCTTCAAAGTCCCATAGCATGTGGTGCTTTCAGTGTCTGGATCAAGGAAGCAGTCTGGATTTTGGTTCAGTGCATGACTGAGGTCTTGATCCAAAAGGTTGCGCTTAATAGCTGTGTCTTTAGGGAAAAAAATGCTAAGGTTTGGATCGAGAATACCTCCTGCAGACTCCTGGGCTTGTAGCAAACGCACTGCGGTCTTTTTGTCAATTATTCCCTTTTTCATTGCCTCAGAAACTGACAGAGATTGACCTGTGCGACGGTCTTTAAATCCCACAGCAGCAGCCTCAGCTGCTAAAAGTTTTTCTTTATCACCTTTGTCCACCAGTCCCCTTGTACATGCTTCAACTACTGTCAGCTTTTGATTTGACATGGGGTCAATGATGTGTCCTGTGGCAGCCTGGGCTTCTAATAGTAAATCTGCACTATCTGGAGGCATGAGCATCTGTTTCTTGGCCTCTGATAAAGACATTTTACCTAGAGGTCCAGCTGCCACTCCTGCAATTGGTCCAGTCCCTTTTAGAATGACTTTTATATCCACAGATACCTCAGAGACAGTTTTCTCTTTTTTTATCAACTTGTCAAATGTTGGTTTGTCAAGGACGCCACATTCTAGCAACTCTTGTGCTGACACAGGTTTGCGAACACCATCAAACAACAGCTTTGAAGGGTCTAATCTTTCAGCAATTGGGAGAAGAGCCAGACCAGTGTGGGGCTCTGTAGTGCATTTTTTCTTCAAAGTCTCATAGCTGGTACCAACATCAGTGTCTGGATCAAGGAAGCACTCAGGATTTTGGTTCAGTGCGCGACTGAGATCTTGATCTAAAAGGCTTCGCTTAACAGCCGTGTCTCTAGGGAGGAAAACACTGAGGTTTGGATCGAGAATACCTCCTACAGATTCCTGGGCTTGTAGCAAACGTACTGCAGTCTTTTTGTCAAATAGTCCCTTTTGCATTGCCTCATATACTGATAGAGATTTACCTGTGTGAGGATCTTTATATCCCACAGCAGCAGCTTCAGCTGCTAAGAGTTTATCTTTATCACCTTTGTCCACCACTCCCCTTGTACATGCTTCAACTACTGTCAGTTTTTGATTTGACATGGGGTCAATGATGTGTCCTGTGGCAGCTTGAGCTTCTAGTAGTAAATCTGCACTACCTGGAGGAATAAGCATCTTTTTCTTGGCCTCTGATAAAGACATTTTTCCTAAGGGTCCAGCCACCACTCCAGCAATTGGGCCTGTGCCCTTTAGAATAACTTTTTTATCCACAGACACCTCAGGGACAGTTTTCTCTCCTTTTATCAACTTGTCAAATGTTGGTTTGTCAAGCACGCCACAGTCCAGCAACTGCTGTGCAGAGACTGGTTTGCGAACACCATCAAACATCAGATTGGAGGGGTCTTTCCTTTCTGCAATTGGCAAAAGAATCAGACCTGTATGAGGCTCGGTTCTGCATTTTCTCTTCAAACCATCATAACTACTATCACATTGAGTGTCTGGATCAAGGAAGCACTCAGGATTTTGGTTCAATGCACGACTGAGATCTTGATCCATAAGGTTGAACTTAATGGCAATGTTTTTAGGGAGGAAAACGCTGAGGTTTGGATCAAGAATACCTCCAGCAGATTCCTGGGCTTGTAGCAAACGCACTGCAGTCTTTTTGTCAATTATTCCCTTCTTCATTGCCTCAAATGCTGATAGAGATTGACCTGTACGAGGGTCTTTATATCCTACAGCAGCAGCTTCAGCTGCTAAGAGTTTATCTTTATCACCTTTGTCCACCAGTCCCCTTGTACACGCTTCAACTACTGCCAGTTTTTGATTGGACATGGGGTCAATGATGTGTCCTGTGGCAGCCTGAGCTTCTAGTAGTAAATCTGCACTATCTGGAGGCATGAGCATCTGTTTCTTGGCCTCTGACAAAGACATTTTTCCTAATGGTCCAGCCACCACTCCAGCAATTGGTCCTGTCCCCTTTAGAATAACTTTTTTATCTACAGACACCTCAGGGACAGTTTTCTCCCCTTTTATCAACTTGTCAAATGTTGGTTTGTCAAGCACGCCACATTCCAGCAATTGCTGTGCAGAGACTGGCTTTCGAACACCATCAAACATTAGTTTAGAGGGGTCTTTTCTTGCTGCAATTGGTAAAAGAATCAGGTCTGAGAGAGGGTCTTTTTTGCATTTTTTCTTCAAAGCCCCATAGCTTGTGTTGCGTTCAGTGTCTGGATCAAGGAAGCATTCAGGATTTTGGCTCAGTGCACGGCTGAGGTCTTGATCCAAAAGGTTGCGCTTCATGGCTGTGTCTTTAGGGAGGAAAACGCTGAGGTTTGGGTCAAGAATACCTCCTGCAGACTCCTGAGCTTGTAGCAAACGCACTGCCGTCTTTTTGTCAATTATCCCCTTCTTCATTGCCTCAAAAACTGACAGAGATTGACCTGTGCGAGGGTCTTTAAATCCTACAGCAGCAGCTTCAGCTGCTAAGAGTTTATCTTTATCACCTTTGTCCACCACTCCCCTTGTACAGGCTTCAACTACTGTCAGCTTTTGATTTGACATGGGGTCAATGATGTGTCCTATTGCAGCCTGAGCTTCTAGTAGTAAATCTGCACTATCTGGAGGCAAAAGCATGTGTTTCTTGGCCTCTGACAAAGACATTTTTCCTAATGGTCCAGCTGCCACTCCAGCAATTGGCCCTGTCCCCTTAAGAGATACTTTTTTATCCACAGACACCTCAGGGACAGTTTTCTCTCCTTTTATCAACTTGTCAAATGTTGGTTTGTCAAGGACGCCACATTCTAGCAATTGCTGTGCTGATACGGGCTTGCGAACGCCATCAAACAACAGTTTTGAGGGATCTTTTCTTTCAGTAATTGGGAGAAGAGCCATGCCAGTGTGGGGCTCTGTCTTGCATTTTTTCTTTAAAGTTCCATAGTTGGCATCACTTTCAGTGTCTGGATCAAGGAAGCACTTGGGATTTTGGTTCAGTGCGCGACTGAGATCTTGATCTAAAAGGCGTCGCTTAACAGCCGTGTCTCTAGGGAGGAACACACTGAGGTTTGGATCGAGGATACCTCCTACACAATCCTGGGCTTGTAGCAAACGCACTGCAGTCTTTTTGTCAATTATTCCCTTCTTCATGGCTTCAAAAACTGAAAGATTTTTACCTGTGAGAGGATCTGGATATCCCACAGCAGCAGCTTCAGCTGCCAAGAGTTTATCTTTATCACTTTTGTCCATGACTCCCTTTGTACATGCTTCCTCTACTGTCAGCTTTTGATTTGACATGGGGTCAATGATGTGTCCTGTGGCAGCCTGGGCTTCTAGTAGTAAATCTGCACTATCGGGAGACATGAGCATCTGTTTCTTGGCCTCTGACAAAGACATTTTTCCTAATGGTCCAGCCACCACTCCAGCAATTGGGCCTGTCCCCTTTAGAATAACTTTTTTATCTACAGACACCTCAGGGACAGTTTTCTCCCCTTTTATCAACTTGTCAAATGTTGGTTTGTCAAGCACGCCACATTCTAGCAACTGCTGTGCAGAGACTGGCCTTCGAACACCATCAAACATTAGTTTAGAGGGGTCTTTCCTTTCTGCAATTGGTAAAAGAATCAGGCCTGAGAGAGGGTCTTTTTTGCATTTTTTCTTCAAAGCCCCATAGCTTGTGTTGCGTTCAGTGTCTGGATCAAGGAAGCACTCAGGATTTTGGCTCAGTGAACGGCTGAGGTCTTGATCCAAAAGGTTGCACTTAATGGCCGTGTCTTTAGGGAGGAAAACGCTGAGGTTTGGGTCAAGAATACCTCCTGCAGACTCCTGAGCTTGTAGCAAGCGCACTGCAGTTTTTCTGTCAATTAGCCCCTTCTTCATTGCTTCAAACACGGAGAGAGATTGACCAGTTCTGGGATCTTTATATCCCACAGCAGCAGCTTCAGCTTCTAGGAGTTTATCTTTATCACCTTTATCCACCACTCCCCTTGTACATGCCTCTTCTACTGTCAGCTTTTGATTGGACATGGGGTCAATGATGTGTCCTGTGGCAGCCTGAGCTTCTAGTAGTAAATCTGCACTATCTGGAGGCATGAGCATCTGTTTCTTGGCCTCTGAAAAAGACATTTTGCCCAAAGGTCCAGCTGCCACTCCAGCAATTGGCCCTGTCCCCTTAAGAGATACTTTTTTATCCACAGACACCTCAGGGACAGTTTTCTCTCCTTTTATCAACTTGTCTAATGTTGGTTTGTCAAGGACACCACATTCTAGCAATTGCTGTGCTGATACGGGCTTGCGAACGCCATCAAACAACAACTTTGAGGGGTCTTTTCTTTCAGCAATTGGGAGAAGAGACATACCAGTGTGGGGCTCTGTCTTGCATTTTTTCTTTAAAGTTCCATAGTTGGCATCACTTTCAGTGTCTGGATCAAGGAAGCACTCAGGATTTTGGTTCAGTGCGCGACTCAGATCTTGATCTAAAAGGCTTCGCTTAACAGCCGTGTCTCTAGGGAGGAAAACACTGAGGTTTGGATCGAGGATACCTCCTACACACTCCTGGGCTTGTAGCAAACGCACTGCAGTCTTTTTGTCAATTATTCCCTTCTTCATGGCTTCAAAAACTGAAATATTTTTACCCGTGAGAGGATCTGGATAACCCACAGCAGCAGCTTCAGCTGCCAAGAGTTTATCTTTATCACTTTTGTCCACGACTCCCTTTGTACATGCTTCCTCTACTGTCAATTTTTTGTTGGACATGGGGTCAATGATGTGTCCTGTGGCAGCCTGGGCTTCTAGTAGTAAATCTGCACTATCTGGAGGCATGAGCATCTGTTTCTTGGCCTCTGACAAAGACATTTTTCCTAATGGTCCAGCCACCACTCCAGCAATTGGTCCTGTCCCCTTTAGAATAACTTTTTTATCTACAGACACCTCAGGGACAGTTTTCTCCCCTTTTATCAACTTGTCAAATGTTGGTTTGTCAAGCACGCCACATTCCAGCAACTGCTGTGCAGAGACTGGCTTTCGAACACCATCAAACATTAGTTTAGAGGGGTCTTTCCTTTCTGCAATTGGTAAAAGAATCAGGTCTGTGAGAGCGTCTTTTTTGCATTTTCTCTTCAAAGTCCCATAGCTTGTGTTGCGTTCAGTGTCTGGATCAAGGAAGCAGTCTGGATTTTGGTTGAGTGCACGGCTGAGGTCTTGATCCAAAAGGTTGCGCTTAATAGCTGTGTCTTTGGGAAGAAAAACGCTAAGGTTGGGATCAAGAATACCTCCTGCAGACTCCTGGGCTTGTAGCAAACGCACTGTAGTTTTTCTGTCAATTAGCCCCTTCTTCATTGCTTCAAACACTGACAGAGATTGACCAGTTCTGGGATCTTTATATCCCACAGCAGCAGCTTCAGCTTCTAGGAGTTTATCTTGATCACCTTTATCCACCACTCCCCTTGTACATGCCTCTTCTACTGTCAGCTTTTGAATGGACATGGGGTCAATGATGTGTCCTGTGGCAGCCTGAGCTTCTAGTAGTAAATCTGCGCTATCTGGAGGCATGAGCATCTGTTTCTTGGCCTCTGATAAAGACATTTTGCCCAAAGGTCCAGCTTCCACTCCAGCAATTGGCCCTGTCCCCTTAAGAGATACTTTTTTATCCACAGACACCTCAGGGACAGTTTTCTCTCCTTTTATCAACTTGTCAAATGTTGGTTTGTCAAGGACACCGCATTCTAGCAATTGCTGTGCTGATACGGGCTTGCGAACGCCATCAAACAACAACTTTGAGGGGTCTTTTCTTTCAGCAATTGGGAGAAGAGCCATGCCAGTGTGGGGCTCTGTCTTGCATTTTTTCTTTAAAGTTCCATAGTTGGCATCACTTTCAGTGTCTGGATCAAGGAAGCACTCAGGATTTTGGTTCAGTGCGCGACTCAGATCTTGATCTAAAAGGCTTCGCTTAACAGCCGTGTCTCTAGGGAGGAACACACTGAGGTTTGGATCAAGGATACCTCCTACACACTCCTGGGCTTGTAGCAAATGCACTGCAGTCTTTTTGTCAATTATTCCCTTCTTCATGGCTTCAAAAACTGAAAGATTTTTACCCGTGAGAGGATCTGGATAACCCACAGCAGCAGCTTCAGCTGCCAAGAGTTTATCTTTATCACTTTTGTCCACGACTCCCTTTGTACATGCTTCCTCTACTGTCAATTTTTTGTTGGACATGGGGTCAATGATGTGTCCTGTGGCAGCCTGGGCTTCTAGTAGTAAATCTGCACTATCTGGAGACATGAGCATCTGTTTCTTGGCCTCTGACAAAGACATTTTTCCTAATGGTCCAGCCACCACTCCAGCAATTGGTCCCGTCCCCTTTAGAATAACTTTTTTATCTACAGATACCTCAGGGACAGTTTTCTCCCCTTTTATCAACTTGTCAAATGTTGGTTTGTCAAGCAAGCCACATTCTAGCAACTGCTGTGCAGAGACTGGCTTTCGAACACCATCAAACATTAGTTTAGAGGGGTCTTTCCTTTCTGCAATTGGTAAAAGAATCAGGTCTGTGAGAGCGTCTTTTTTGCATTTTTTCTTCAAAGTCCCATAGCTTGTGTTGCGTTCAGTGTCTGGATCAAGGAAGCAGTCTGGATTTTGGTTGAGTGCACGGCTGAGGTCTTGATCCAAAAGGTTGCGCTCAATAGCTGTGTCTTTGGGAAGAAAAACGCTAAGGTTGGGATCAAGAATACCTCCTGCAGACTCCTGGGCTTGTAGCAAGCGCACTGCAGTTTTTCTGTCAATTAGCCCCTTCTTCATTGCTTCAAACACTGACAGAGATTCACCAGTTCTGGGATCTTTATATCCCACAGCAGCAGCTTCAGCTTCTAGGAGTTTATCTTTATCACCTTTATCCACCACTCCCCTTGTACATGCCTCTTCTACTGTCAGCTTTTGATTGGACATGGGGTCAATGATGTGTCCTGTGGCAGCCTGAGCTTCTAGTAGTAAATCTGCGCTATCTGGAGGCATGAGCATCTGTTTCTTGGCCTCTGATAAAGACATTTTGCCCAAAGGTCCAGCTGCCACTCCAGCAATTGGCCCTGTCCCCTTAAGAGATACTTTTTTATCCACAGACACCTCAGGGACAGTTTTCTCTCCTTTTATCAACTTGTCAAATGTTGGTTTGTCAAGGACACCGCATTCTAGCAATTGCTGTGCTGATACGGGCTTGCGAACACCATCAAACAACAACTTTGAGGGGTCTTTTCTTTCAGCAATTGGGAGAAGAGCCATACCAGTGTGGGGCTCTGTCTTGCATTTTTTCTTTAAAGTTCCATAGTTGGCATCACTTTCAGTGTCTGGATCAAGGAAGCACTCAGGATTTTGGTTCAGTGCGCGACTGAGATCTTGATCTAAAAGGCTTCGCTTAACAGCAGTGTCTCTAGGGAGGAACACACTGAGGTTTGGATCGAGGATACCTCCTACACACTCCTGGGCTTGTAGCAAACGCACTGCAGTCTTTTTGTCAATTATTCCCTTCTTCATGGCTTCAAAAACTGAAAGATTTTTACCCGTGAGAGGATCTGGATATCCCACAGCAGCAGCTTCAGCTGCCAAGAGCTTATCTTTATCACTTTTGTCCACGACTCCCTTTGTACATGCTTCCTCTACTGTCAATTTTTTGTTGGACATGGGGTCAATGATGTGTCCTGTGGCAGCCTGGGCTTCTAGTAGTAAATCTGCACTATCTGGAGACATGAGCATCTGTTTCTTGGCCTCTGACAAAGACATTTTTCCTAATGGTCCAGCCACCACTCCAGCAATTGGTCCTGTCCCCTTTAGAATAACTTTTTTATCTACAGACACCTCAGGGACAGTTTTCTCCCCTTTTATCAACTTGTCAAATGTTGGTTTGTCAAGCACGCCACATTCCAGCAACTGCTGTGCAGAGACTGGCTTTCGAACACCATCAAACATCAGTTTAGAGGGGTCTTTCCTTTCTTCAATTGGTAAAAGAATCAGGTCTGTGAGAGCGTCTTTTTTGCATTTTTTCTTCAAAGTCCCATAGCTTGTGTTGCGTTCAGTGTCTGGATCAAGGAAGCAGTCTGGATTTTGGTTGAGTGCACGGCTGAGGTCTTGATCCAAAAGGCTGCGCTCAATAGCTGTGTCTTTGGGAAGAAAAACGCTAAGGTTGGGATCAAGAATACCTCCTGCAGACTCCTGGGCTTGTAGCAAGCGCACTGCAGTTTTTTTGTCAATTAGCCCCTTCTTCATTGCTTCAAACACTGAGACAGATTGACCAGTTCTGGGATCTTTATATCCCACAGCAGCAGCTTCAGCTTCTAGGAGTTTATCTTTATCACCTTTATCCACCAGTCCCCTTGTACATGCCTCTTCTACTGTCAGCTTTTGATTTGACATGGGGTCAATGATGTGTCCTGTGGCAGCCTGAGCTTCTAGTAGTAAATCTGCGCTATCTGGAGGCATGAGCATCTGTTTCTTGGCCTCTGATAAAGACATTTTGCCCAAAGGTCCAGCTGCCACTCCAGCAATTGGCCCTGTCCCCTTAAGAGATACTTTTTTATCCACAGACACCTCAGGGACAGTTTTCTCTCCTTTTATCAACTTGTCAAATGTTGGTTTGTCAAGGACACCGCATTCTAGCAATTGCTGTGCTGATACGGGCTTGCGAACACCATCAAACAACAACTTTGAAGGGTCTTTTCTTTCAGCAATTGGGAGAAGAGACATACCAGTGTGGGGCTCTGTCTTGCATTTTTTCTTTAAAGTTCCATAGTTGGCATCACTTTCAGTGTCTGGATCAAGGAAGCACTCAGGATTTTGGTTCAGTGCGCGACTGAGATCTTGATCTAAAAGGCTTCGCTTAACAGCCGTGTCTCTAGGGAGGAAAACACTGAGGTTTGGATCGAGGATACCTCCTACACACTCCTGGGCTTGTAGCAAACGCACTGCAGTCTTTTTGTCAATTATTCCCTTCTTCATGGCTTCAAAAACTGAAAGATTTTTACCCGTGAGAGGATCTGGATATCCCACAGCAGCAGCTTCAGCTGCCAAGAGCTTATCTTTATCACTTTTGTCCACGACTCCCTTTGTACATGCTTCCTCTACTGTCAATTTTTTGTTGGACATGGGGTCAATGATGTGTCCTGTGGCAGCCTGGGCTTCTAGTAGAAAATCTGCACTATCTGGAGGCATGAGCATCTGTTTCTTGGCCTCTGACAAAGACATTTTTCCTAAGGGTCCAGCCACCACTCCAGCAATTGGGCCTGTCCCCTTTAGAATAACTTTTTTATCTACAGACACCTCAGGGACAGTTTTCTCCCCTTTTATCAACTTGTCAAATGTTGGTTTGTCAAGCACGCCACATTCCAGCAACTGCTGTGCAGAGACTGGCTTTCGAACACCATCAAACATTAGTTTGGCGGGGTCTTTCCTTTCTGCAATTGGTAAAAGAATCAGACCTGTTCCTTGCTCTATTTTGCATTTTTTCTTCAATGTCTCATAGCTAGTGTTATTTTCAGTGTCTGGATCAAGGAAGCAGTCTGGATTTTGGTTCAGTGCACGGCTTAGGTCATGATCCAAAAGGTTGCGTTTAATGGCTGTGTCTTTGGGAAGGAAAACACTGAGGTTTGGATCGAGAATACCTCCTGTAGACTCCTGAGCTTGTAGCAAGCGCACTGCAGTCGGTTTGTCAACTAGTCCTTTCTTCATTGCCTCAAACACTGAAAGAGATTTACCTGTCTGTGGATCTTTATATCCCACAGCAGCAGCTTCATCTGCCAATAGTTTATCTTTATCAACTTTGTCCACCACTCCCCTTGCACATGCTTCTTCTACTGTCAGCTTTTGATTAGTCATGGGGTCAATGATGTGTCCTGTGGCAGCCTGAGCTGCTAATAATAAATCAGCACTGTCCGGAGGCATGAGCATCTGTTTCTTGGCCTCTGAAAAAGACATTTTGCCTAAAGGTCCAGCCACCACTCCAGCAATTGGGCCTGTCCCTTTTAAAATGACCTTTTTATCCACAGACACCTCAGGGACAGAGTTTTCTCCTTTAATCAGCTTGTTAAAAGTTGGTTTGTCTAGGACATTGCATTCCAGCAGCTGCTTTGCCGAAACCTGCTTGCGGACACCGTCAAACATCAGTTTTGAGGGATCTTTCCTCTCTGCAATTTGCAAAAGAATCAGACCTGTTTCTGGCTCTGTTTTGCATTTTTTCTTCATTGTCCCATAGCTAGTGTTATCTTCATTTTCTGGATCAAGGAAGCACTCTGGATTTTTGTTCAGTGCACGGCTGAGGTCTTGATCCAAAAGGTTGCGCCTAATAGCTGTTTCTTTGGGGAGGAACACACTGAGGTTTGGATCAAGGATACCTCCTACACAATCCTGGGCTTGTAGCAAACGCACTGCAGTCTTTTTGTCAATTATTCCCTTCTTCATGGCTTCAAAAACTGAAAGATTTTTACCTGTGAGAGGATCTGGATATCCCACAGCAGCAGCTTCAGCTGCCAAGAGTTTATCTTTATCACCTTTGTCCACGACTCCCTTTGTACACGCTTCCTCTACTGTCAGCTTTTTGTTGGACATGGGGTCAATGATGTGTCCTGTGGCAGCCTGGGCTTCTAGTAGCAAATCTGCACTATCTGGAGACATGAGCATCTGTTTCTTGGCCTCTGTTAAAGACATTTTTCCTAATGGTCCAACTGTCAATCCAGCAATTGGTCCTGTCCCTTTTAGAGGTATCTTTTTATCCACAGACACCTCAGGGACAGTTTTTTCCCCTTTCAGAAGTTTGTTAAAGGTTGGTTTGTCCAGGACACCACAGTCAAGTAGTTGCTTTGCTGTTACAGGTTTACGTACACCGTCAAATATCAGATCAGAGGGATCCAACTTATCAGTGATTGGTAAAAGCAGCAAGCCTGTATGAGGTTCTATTTTACATTTTTCCTTCAGAGCTTCATAACTCACATTTTGCTCTGTTTCTGGCTCAATATAACATGCAGGATTCTGTTTTAGAGCTTGACAGAGATTTCTATCTATCAGGTTTCGTTTAATAGCTGTGTCTTTTGGTAGAAATACACTAAGATTGGGATCTAGAATTCCTCCCACTGATTCCTGTGCTTGCAGCAGACGTATCCCAGTCTCCTCGTCAATCATTCCCTTCTTGATGGCTTTAAACACAGAGATGGGCTTTGCAGCAGTAGGATCTTTGTAACCTACAGCTGCTGCTTCCGCTGCCATCAATCTGTCCAGGTCATTAATATCGATGACAGATCTTGCACAGGCCTCCTCTACTGTGAACTTCTTGTTGGCTTTTGGATCAATGATGTGTCCAGTAGCAGCCTGAGCTTCCAGTAGCAAATCTGCACTTTCCTCAGGAAGTAGCATTTTTTTCTTGGCATCAGTCAAAGACATTTTTCCTCGTTTTCCTACTATAACACCAGCAATTGGCCCTGTTCCTTTCAGATTAACATTTTTATCAACAGATACTTCAGGGACAGACTTTTTTCCATTTTCCAGCTCTTTAAATGTTGGCTTGTCAAGGACATCGCAATCAAGCAGCTGTTTGGCATTGACAGGTTTACGAACACCGTCAAAGACAAGTTCAGACGGATCCACCTTTTGAGGCACTGGAAGAAGAAGAAGGCCTGTATTTGGCTCTATCTTACATCTCCTCTTCATTGACATATATGTCACACCTTCCTCTGTTTCTGGGTCTAGATATAGTTCAGGTCTCTGGTTCAACGCAGAACAAATGTTATCATCAATTAGGCTACGTTCAGTAGCTGAGTCTCTGGGAAGGAACACACTCAATACGGGATCTAAAACCCCACCCACTGACTCTTGGGCCTGTAAAAGACGCAGGGTTGTGTTCTTGTCAATAAGTCCCTTCTTCATTGCCTGAAACACTGAGAGTGGTTTGTTTGTGCCAGGTCCACTGAATCCCACTGCCGCTGCTTCTGCTGCTAGCAACCTTTCTCTGTCTTCATAATAAATAACTCCTTGATTACATGCTTCCTCTACTGTTAACTTCTGATTAGTTCTAGGGTCAATTATGTGGCCTGTAGCTGCTTGGGCATCTAGTAGTAAATCAATGCTGTCTGGTGGAAGGAGGTTTTCTTTCTTGGCTTCTGTGAATGTCAGTTTGCAATTAGGGAACATGCTGGACCCTGGAGCTTTTGAACCTTCAATTATCACCCCAGCTATTGGGCCTGTGCCTTTTAGACTGACTTTTTTGTCACTGGCCACTTCAGGAACAGTTTTGTGTCCCTTCACAAGCAGGCTAAATGTGGGTGGGTCTAATACACCGCAGTCAACTAATTGCTTTGCTGTGACTGGTTTACGAACTCCATCAAATACTAAAGAGGAAGTATCAGGGGGCGGCGGCTCCCTGGTACTTTTCAGCTCAGTCCCCACGGTTTGTGTAACCAGTCTGCTTTGATACGTCTCCCTCTCAACAATATTCTTTTCTGTGTCATATTGTCTTGTCATGCTCTGCTTACCATCACATTGTTCCTTCCAGTAACTTAAATCTCTTTTCATTCTGTCATTTTCCTCTTGTAGACGTTGCCTGTTGCGAAGCTCAGAATCAAAAGACAATCTAATGCGACTGAGTTCTTCCTCTAGCCTTTGGCTTTGTTCTTTGTCCATTTCCAACCGCTGCAATTTCAGTAGCAAGGTGTCTCTCTCATTTACAATATCGTTATACTGGGACTGAATGGATTGCATTGTTGTTTTTGCCTGCAGAAAAAAAAGAACAGGAGAAAATGTTAGTAAACTCAAACATGTTTGTCATTTTGCATTGTAGAAAATACTCTTTCTTTACATTTTGAATACAATTAAAAATCACACAGTGACACTGGAGGTATGTCATGAAGAACACACAAATTAGCTGTTTAGGCATTTTTCAGCAAAAAACTACAAAGTCTAATGTTGTCGTTTTTTTTCTTCCAGTTTTCTGATTTTCATTAAAAACGTCCAAAACACTGTGTACATTAGAAAAATCTTAATCTTGCGCCAAAATAAGAAAAGAAGAAAGAAAAAAGCGTGATAAGCAAATATGTGTGTTCCTCAACTGTATAACTTGATTTGACTAGATTTGCTATCTAAAGGTAAAATCAATACTGCAGATATTTACAGAACATGAGATTAAAACAAAATCAAGCAAGACTGGGATTTAAAAGTTGCCATAGTAGTTGATTTTTCCATTTTCAAGCTTCACTAAAGTAATCATTAAAGCTTCTAAAGCATGCACCACATAAGGAGGAGACTGGCAGTCAGAAAGGCTCAGATTGCTTTCATGCTAATGCCAGTTATTCAAACACACTCATAAGTGTTTGAATCATGGTGATCAGGCATTTAAAAAAGCATGGGGGAGTTCAGCATGCAAGAAAAGCTAAGCTACATCGGTAGTGAGGTGAATATTCCAGGTCAGAATTGGATAGTCCAGAACTAAAAGGCAAGCGCCCGTGTACCTCTGTGACCTGCTTTAGCATTTTCTCTGCCTCCAGCTTCAGTTTCTCCCGCTCAGAGGAGAATTCTGAGACCAGGTTGCTGTGGTCTAGATTGCTTCGCTCACTGGCTTGCAGCTGCAGTTCCAGGGCAGTAATCTGTGAGGAGAGCTCATCATCCATTCCTTTTTTAGATTTCAAGAGTTCTTCTTTAGCTTGTCGTGCTGACCTCAGCTCTTCGTCTAACCTCATCCTTTCTTTAGTCTGGGTTTCTATCATTTCTTTCAGCCTTTGAAGCTCCACAAAGTTCTCATTAATTATCTCATTCTTCTCTTCAATAGTCTTGTTGAGATCCTCATTTCTGAGGTTTGCGTCTTTAACCCGGACTTCCTCCTGCAGAAGCTGCTGCTTCAGAGATTTTAGCTCATCGCTGAGCTGAGTTTTGAGCTCTGCAGAACTCTGATTTTGTCTCAAGGTTTTCTCAAGGTCCTCCTTCAGCCTGAGACGCTCTTCTTCACCTCTTTTTTCTGATGTGCATGTTTGTTCATGGCTCTGGCGCAGTTCAGAAATGGTGCTGATGTACTCTGCCACGGTCAAGGTGGTCTTCTCCAGTTCCACTTCCACCTGCATCCTTTTACTCACTTCTTCTTGGTGAGCTTTCCTCAGATTCTCCACCTGACTCTCAAGCCCATCTCTCACAGCCTGCAGGTCTTTAATTCGTCCCTGTAACCTGCTCAGTTTTTGTTCTACTCTGTATCTCTCTTTGTTTTCTCTTTCCAGCTCTAAACGTGTCTGCTGCAGCTCCTGGTCACACTCTCTCAGCTGTGTCGTAGCCACCGACGAGTTGGTTATTTTCAGTTGCAGCTCGACCAAAGACTGCTCAAGAACAGCCTGCCCTTCTTCTGTGGTTTTCCTCCTCCGGGTCTCCTCCTGTAGGCTGTGAGTTACATAAACTAGTTGGTCGCTCTTCTCCTGCAGGGTATTCATCACCTCAGCTAGCTCCTCTCTGTACTGGTTTCTTTCCTCATCTTTCTGCCTCATTAGTAGCTCCACTCGACTTTCCATTTCTCTCCTCTTGCACCCTTCCTCCATCAGCGTGGCCCGTTGACGGCAGGTCTCATACTCTGCCCTCTCTTTTTCCTCCTCAGCCTGGCTGACAGAAATCCTGAGTCGCCTGAGTTCCTCCTCCAGATCCCTCCTGTCTGCCTCCATCCTGTCATACTGCAGCTGGAGCTTTGCTGTAACATCAGCCCTCTGGGCCTCCAGCGTTTCAATCTCTGTGCGACTTAGCTGGATTTGGTATTCATAGCCGAGCTTTAATTTATTGATGTTCGTACAGATTTGGCTCCTTACCTTTGACATGTCTTTTTGTAGCTCCATGACCTTTGCTGACTCTTCAGCCAGCTGCCGTCTCAGCAGCTCGATCTCACGTTCTTTGATTGTCACACTTTTCTCTACCTCCACCTTAGACCAGCTGACGGTCTCCAGCTCTTTCTGCCTCTTCTTCAGAACTAAATCATACTCTTCTTGCTGCTGAACGTAGCGCTCCTCTGCTAGCTTCGTCTTCCTTTTTTCTTCACTCAGTTGGTACTTCAGACGTTCTACCTCATCGTTGAGCTCTGCCACCTTGCTTTGAGTGGAGTCTAGACTGTCCTTGGTGACACTGCACTGTAGCACTGTAGTTCTCTTCACCTCCTCCAGCGACAGCACCTGGTCCTTGAATTGAGACAGTTCCAGCTGGTATCGAGCAACAGCATCTTCCAGTGATTTGTTCTTGGAGTTACGATCTTTCATTTCGTCCTTCAGCTGGCGAAGTTCTTCTTGAAGCAGGTCAATCTGAGTGTTGCGCATCTAGAAGTGGGAATGAGTAAGAAGGAATGCTTATTTTAGATTTGTAAATAATAGAATCTGAACAAATTGAATAACCATTTGGTTTAACCGATTTAAGAATTTGAGGAAACCCTATTTTTTTACTTCAAGGGTAATAAACAATTTATTCTCTGGGTACATCATTCAAAATCTAACTGCTTTTTGTGTTTCATCCATATCAGGGCTGTGCAGTATATATGTCGCACGTGCAATGAAAAAAACTCTGTGTGATAAACAATTTTTAGATATAGCACTCGTGCTTCTTCCCGTTGCACAGCAGGTCTTGATGGACACTTCAAATCTCATCCCACTAACGGCACTTTTAGTTTATGAATGCTGTAACGAGTGCAGGACCTTGGTTGTGAGTCAGAATTATCTTAAGAAGACACAAAAGCTTTTGTATTTATAGAGCGGGGGCAAAGGTTTGTTTGTGTGTCTGGAACTCATCAGGCTAGCTAGCAACAGCTGCGCAAGATAGCTTCCACTGCCCGCTGCTGGGCGGAGGTCCACCTCCCAAACAATTCAAAGGACTCACTCACCTCTCACCCAGCACTCAATCATCGTGTGATTTTCATGCATGATCTCCTGATCCATGTTACATGTGTCAGCTTCCCAATTAGTCCTAACACAGGTGCCTACAGAGCTAACTCCACGACCGCTCCGGTCAACTCCTTTCTCGCGTCTCATCAATGCCATCACTTCCTGCAACCGCTGTTAACCCGGACACCGCTTTCCTTCAACTCTAGTCAGTCCTCTTCCACGTGTGGAACGCTACCACCCTTGTTCCCCACCATGCTTCGCCCGTCGATGCTGACAGTGTGTTTGCGCACGCGTGTGTGTGTGTGTGTGGTTTTGAGGGATGGAGGGGGAGTTTACAGTTTGCAGAATATTAACCGTTAAGGGCTTCAATAACTGGTTAAACAAATTTTGAAAAGTGTGCATCCCTAAAATGTGTGTGTGTGTGTGTGTGTGTGTGTGTGTGTGTGTGTGTGTGTGTGTGTGTGTGTGTGTGTGTGTGTGTGTGTGTGTGTTCACTAGTTAATTTTTCTGATACAAAATCAAACTTCAACACAACCACAAAAAAATACCTTGAGCTCCTCCAAATTTTTGAGTAGCTGTCCCAAGAACTTATAGTGATCACCGGACAGTGTAAGCAGCTCCATGTAACGAGTTTGAAGTTGTATGACCTTAGACAAAAACAAAGTCCGATGTAAGATTACTCTGTTCACCGAAAGGAGACTTTTCTTCGAAGCCATGGAAGTGAAACGTTACCTCTTGGTTGAGATCCATCGATGGGGACTTCAGCATTGTCCTCTTGATGGGAATGTTGAGCAGTGTTTCTAAGCCAGATGTGTACGAGGCAAGGTCAGTCTCATAGTCCTGCAGGACAGCCAGCCATGAGTGCACAAAACAATCACCATTCATAATTTTGTTCAGTTCACCTACCTTAATAGTATTCACACAAGCCTCGTTGTCTCTCAGCACACTCTCTATCGTCTCCCTCTTCGCTTTGATTTCTGAGTTCAAGGCCTTGAAAAGAGCAACAGAAGAGGCATCAGTGATGGAACATGGGTATGCGGACAGCAAGTGCAATAATTACAACAGAAGGCCAAACAGAAAACCTTTTGATTGTTGATGTGGTCTTTGAGTGCTTGGACGGTTTCCACCTTCGTGGCCTGCAAGGTGTCCTGTTTTTTCCGAGTGACATCAATCCATTCACTGATGGAGGTACTGGTTTGTTTGTAGTGCTGCAGCTGAGGCATGTACACTTGCAGGTCCTGCAGTCTGAACAAGAACATTTCAGATGTAAAATGGCATCACAATTGTCTTTTTACCCACAACTGTAGATGATGGTATTTTCCGCTCAAACAGATATCTTAGACTACTCTTGCCATTATTGTAAGTAATGAGAGTTTTTGTGACATTAAAGAAATTCAAGTTTATTTTTAGAAGCTGCCTTAGATGTTATTTGTATGGGGAACAAGGCATTACTTAGAAAAAATGTGTTACAAAATTTAAGTAGTAGATAAAAAAAGAAAGATACCTGGTGTCAATCTGGTCATGGATTCGTCTCCACCTGTCGGACAGCATGCCCACCTGCTCTGTGTTTCTTGACTGCATCAAGTCACACCTGTGAGAGGAGCTTCCCACCTGGCTGTTCCAGTAGTTTGCCTTTGTCAATGCCGCTTCCATGGCGGTAAAAATGTCTTTCTTTTGATCCAACTCTGCTTTGATACTCTAAAAACACATGGTCCAAAATTGGATTTATGTGTTATAAAACAGCATCAATTTTAAAACATAAATTTAAGTTAAACATCCAGAGCGCAGCAGCATGGAAGAATTGGTCTTTGCCACACTGGCAAATCTGCAAAACAAGCTACCTTAAAATATTTCTTTCATCCTTCTTAACAATGTTCTAATACGGTATAGCTATAAAATATGGTGGAGATAAAAAAAAATAAATAAAGAAAAAAATCAATAAAATGGTTCTCTCAAATTTGTCTAAAACCCTCGCCAAGAACATGGCTCTGACCAAAAGCAACTAGTCGACCATTCGTTTGTCTGTCTCGCCAAACCGGTGAACTTCCCTGGGTCCTCCACTCATTATGTGCTTTTGTATTTTTCAACAGAACACCACTGGTGTGAAAGGTTCTCTGCTCAATAATATGAGAAACAGCCGGCTGCTACCACTTCAACCTAAAGACTAACTACCAGAGTCCCAAAAAGAAAGCACCATTTGAAGTCACGGACAACAAAAGACATATGGACGTAGAAAACTGAAAATGCTGTTTAGTCTTTGGGCAAGACACCTAACCCATTTTGACTGCTGGTGGTGGTCGGAAGGACTGATGGTGCCTGCGCTAGAGAGCCTTGCCTATGACAGTGTGTCAGCTGTGGCTACAACGAGAACGAATGAATAATAAAGTGTAGTGTAAAGTTGGAGTCCTCTGACTCTGAAAGGTACTATACAAGTGTGGGTCGATTATTATTTATTTAGCCCTCTCTTGTTTACTCCTTGAACCGTCACCTTATCGTGGTGGAGGAGTTTGAGTGCCCTAATGATCCTAGGAGCTATGTTGTCTGGGGCACTTTGTGCCCCTGGTAGGGTCTCCCATGACAAATTGGTCTTAGGTGAAGGGTGAGACAAAGAACTGTTCACAGGATCTTTCATGGATGTGAATTCAAAGAGTAAGAGTACATGGCCCGGAAGGTTACCGGGGTCCCACCCTGGAGCCAGACCTGGGGTTGGGGCCCGTGAGCAAGTGCCTGGTGGCCGGGCTTTCGCCCATGGGGCCCGGCCGGACCCAGCCCAAACCGGATACATGGGCTCATCCAACTGTGGACCCAACACCCGCAGGAGGAACATGACGGGTCCGGTGCAGTGTGGATCGGGTGGCAGAATGAGGCGGGAGCCTTGGCGGTCCGATCCCCGGACAAGGAAACTGGTTTTTGGGACATGGAACATCACCTCGCTGGTGGGGAAGGAGCAGGAGCTTGTGGCACAGGTTGAGCGGTACCGGCTAGATATAGTCGGACTCACCTCAACACATAGTTTTGGCTCCTGAACCCAAGTCCTTGAGAGGGGGTGGACACTCTCCTTTGCTGGAGTTGCTCCGGGTGAGAGGTGGAGGACTGGGGTTGGCTTTTTGTTAGCCCCAAGACTCTCTGCCTGTGTGTTGGGGTTTACCCCGGGGGACGAGAGGGTAGCTTCCCTGCGCCTTCGGGTCGGGGAACGGGTCCTGACTGTTGTTTGTGCTTATGGGCCAAATATCAGTTCAGAATACCTACCCTTTTTGGAGTCCCTGGGATGAGTGCTAGATAGTGATCCATCAGGGGACTCCACTGTCCTGCTGGGGGACTTCAATGCTCACGTGGGCAATGACAGCTTGACCTGGAGGGGTGTGATTGGGAGGAACGGCCCGCCTGATCTGAACTCGAGTGGTGTTTCGTTATTGGACTTCTGTGCAAGCCGCAGTTTGACCATAACAAACACCATGTTCGAACATAAGGATGCCCATTGGTACACTTGGTACCAGGGCAGCCTAGGTTGCAGGTCGATGATAGACTTTGTAGTTGTATCATCTGACCTGCGGCCGTATGTTTTGGACACCCGAGTGAAGAGCGGAGCGGAGCTGTCAACTGATCACCACCTGGTGGTGAGTTGGATCAGATGGCAGGGGAAGATGCCGCGTAGACCTGACAGACCCAAACACATAGTGAGGGTCTACTGGGAACGCCTGGCAGAAGAACCTGTCAAGACAGTCTTCAACTCCCACCTCCGGCAGAACATTGACTGTGTCCCGAGAGCAGTGGGGGGCATTGACTCCGAGTGGGCCTTGTTCCACTCTGCAATTGGTGAGGCGGCTGTTGCTAGCTGTGGTCGCAAGGTGGCTGGTGCCAGTCGTGGTGGCAACCTCTGTACCCGCTGGTGGACACCAGAGTTCGGGGAGCCGTCAGGCTGAAGAAGGAGGCCTACAGGGCGTGGCTGGTCTGTGGGTCTCCGGAGGCAGCAGACAGGTACCGGATAGCCAATCGGGGTGCAGCAGTGGCAGTTGCAGAGGCTAAATCTCGGTCATGGGAGGAGTTTGGTGAGGCCATAGAGAAGGACTATCGATCGGCTCCAAAGAGGTTCTGGCAAACTGTCTGGCGCCTCAGGAGAGGAAGGCAGCAACTCGCTCACACTGTTTACAGTAGGGATGGGGAGCTGCTTACATCAACTGGGGCTATAGTCGGACGGTGGAAGGAATACTTTGAGAAGCTCCTCAATACCACCTATGCGCATTCTGAGGAGGAACCAGAGCCGGGAGACCTGGGGATGGACTGTCCAATCTCGGGGGCAGAAGTTGCTGAGGTAGTCAAACAACCACACAGCGGCGGAGCCCCGGGGGTGGATGAGATTCATCCTGGGTATCTCAAGGCTATGGATGTTGTAGGGCTGTCATGGTTGACACATCTCTGCAACATTGCGTGGTCATCGGGGGCAGTTCCTGTGGAGTGGCAGACCAGGGTGGTGGTCCCCATCTTTAAGAAGGGTGGCCTGAGGGTGTGTTCTAACTATAGGGGGATCACACTCCTCAGCCTCCCTGGAAAGGTCTACTCCAAGCTACTGGAGAGGAGGGTCCGATCGATAGTTGAATCTCAGATTGAGGAGGAGCAATGTGGTTTTCGTCCTGGCCGTGGAACTGTGGACCAGCTCTATACCCTTGCAAGGGTGATGGAGGGGGCATGGGAAGTTGCCCAACCAATCCACATGTGTTTTGTGGATTTGGAGAAGGCTTATGACCATGTCCCCAGGGGCACCCTGTGGGGAACGCTCCAGGAGTATGGGGTGGGTGGCTTTCTGTTAAGCGCCACTCAGTCCCTTTACCAGAGGAGCGTGAGTTTGGTCCGCATAGCTGGTAGTAAGTCGGACCTGTTCCCAGTGAGGGTTGGACTCCGCCAGGGCTGCCCTTTGTCTCCGGTTCTGTTCATTACCTTTATCGACAGAATTTCTAGGTGCAGTCGTGGTGTGGATTCTGTCGAGTTTGGTGGCAGGAGAATCTCGTCTCTGCTTTTTGCGGATGAGGCGGTCCTCCTAGCTTCATCCAGCTCTGACCTTCAGCTCTTGCTGGGTAGGTTTGCGGTCGAGTGTGAAGCGGCTGGGATGAGGATCAGCACCTCCAAATCTGAGACCATGGTTCTCGACCGGAAAAGGGTGGCTTGCCAACTCCGGCAAGGAGGTCCTACCTCAAGTGGAGGAGTTTAAGTATATCAGGGTCTTGTTCATGAGTGAGGGTAGGAGGGATCGGGAGATCAACAGGCGAATTGGTTAAGCGTCTGCGGACGCTGAGCCAATCTGTCGTGGTGAAGAGGGAGCTGAGCCAGAAAGCCAGGCTCTCAATTTTCCGGTCGATCATGGTCATGAGCTTTGGGTAATGACCGAAAGAACGAGATTGCGGATACAAGCAGCCAAAATGAGTTTCCTCCGTAGGGTGGCCGTGCTCAGCCTTAGATATAGGGTGAGGAGCTCGGACATTCGGGAGGGACTCAGAGTAGAACCGCTGCTCCTCCGGATCGAAAGGAGTCAGTTGAGGTGGTTTGGGCATCTGGTCAGGATGCCTCCTGGACGCCTCCCTGGGGACGTGTTTTGGGCATGTCCTGCCGGCAAGAGGCCCCCGGGTTGTCATGTTGGAGAGGTTACATCTCCAGTCTGGTCCGGGAATGCCTGGTCCTGCCGGAGGAGCTGGTGGAGGTGGCCGGGGAGAGGACGGTCTGAAGCTCCCTAGTTGGGATGCTGCCCCCGCGACCCAGACCCGGATAAGTGGAGGAAGATGACGACGACGATGTGTAACAAAGTTCTAAATGTAATTGGAGATATTTATATATTATTTTGTATTTTATTTTATAAGTGAGTTTTATCTTTTTTTTATTTTTTATTTATTTTTTTAGTTTAAAAACCACATCTCGCATTGTTTGCGTCTTTCGGCCACGGTAGCTTCCAGTTTCTCACAAGGCAGTCTTGTACAGTGAGGGATCTGCAGATGTTGTATGGTGCCAGAAGGCAAATTCAAGTGACTTTTATGTTTTCTGCAGGTATGAGGGAAGAATAAACTCTGGAGAATCAACTTTCTGAGCATCTGACTTCTATGCTACGTAGAGTGTTACAAATGCACGTTCCGATAACAGGGGACGTTGCCTAGGGATGATAGCCAACAGGAGGGGTGAGAGTCCTGTGACTGTTTCTGTTTAAAGGTTAGCATGTTTGCATATTTGCCCAAATAAAATATTTAATAAAAGAAAAAATATCTAAATATTTGCAGAATTTTTTTGTATTCATTGAACAGAATACCTTCAGGGTCGCCATGTATTCGCTGACTTCAGCTGGAGACAGGGACGTGGTCTCTTTTTCTGTCAGTCGAGCTTCGTGAACTTTCACAATGTCTTCAGCTCGTGCAATGTTCTCCAGCATGTCTCTTAAAGCCCGCAGCCTGATAAACAAATGAAAGCTTCAGCACAACCTTTTAAATATTCTTTAAGGTGTCCCAACCAAGAATTAGCATTGAGTCATTTGCCTTCAAATGCATTTTTTGAACAGAAATGCATGTTTTAAACAAAAAATAAAATCAAACAAGCTAAAATTGGCAATTTCTTTTGAGCATCCAGCCCCTTAACTTTTGATTTGAGACAGACTGTATTACCCGATAAAACGTGAGAGTAAAGAGAGCTTAATGAGAGAGGTTTGTGCTGTGTACCGTTGTACATAAGCGGATGAGCTGCTCTCCAGATTGCCCAGTCTCTGGTTGATCATTCCAATCTCGTTGCGGAGGAACTGAGCTTTATCTGAATCACTCATATCGTCTAGCTCCCTCAAAATACGTTCTCTCAAACGTAGATACTCCTCACGCATCAAGTCCACGTCATGCTGCACGGACTAAAGTTCACAAGTACAAACACACAGTATTAGTACAGAGAGTTGTGTGAGGAAACTGCGGTTTTTCCGAGTTTGTGTTTACCTCCAGCTGATTAATCTTAAAGCTACAGTCTCGCGCTCCATCATCTCCAAAGCAGATGTGAACATGCTGGCTTAGGGCACCTTCAGCACTCTCCATCCTTAATCTGAGTGAATGCAGCTCGGATAAGATACGAGAAGATGAGGAAGTAAAAGAGCTAGATGAGGAGGTCTTCCTCTTTTGTTCTGTCTTGGTCAACTTCAACACATCCCTCTTGATTGGTTGTTCTACTACCTCTTTCTTTGCTTCTATTTTTCTCTCCATCTGTTTTTTAAGCTCTGCTCGCCGTCGTTCTTCCAACCTCCTGGCCTCTTCCAACCTCCTGACCTCTTCCAACCTCCTGGCCTCATCCAACCTTCTGGCCTCTTCCAACCTCCTGGCCTCTTCCAACCTCCTGGCTTCATCCAACCTTCTGGCCTCTTCCAACCTTCTGGCTTCATCCAACCTTCTGGCTTCTTCCAACCTTCTGGCTTCTTCCAACCTTCTGGCCTCTTCCACCTTCCTGGCCTCTTCCACCTTCCTTGCCTCTTCAAGCTTCCTTTCCTCCTCCAGCTTCCTGGCTTCTTCCAGCTTCCTGGCCTCTTCCTCAGCAGCAATTTTTTGTTGTTGCAGTTGCAGCTGCTGTTGTTGTAGCTGCAGCTGCAGTTGGTGCTGTTGTTGCAGCTGCAGTTGTTGGAATTGCAGTTGTGGCTGCTGTATAAGAATTAGGTGCTGCTGGGGTTGTTGCATGGAAATTTGTTGTTGCACGGGGATTTGTTGTTGCACGGGGATTTGTTGTTGTTGTTGTACTTCTACGTGACTTGAAGAAGCACCTGCAGAGGAGCAGAAATTAGCATGTTTGTAAAAAGTGTTAGGGGATTATTTGTTTGTCAAAGTATAATAAATGAAGGTTAGTTAAAAAGTAACATTTTAAAATGCCAGATACTAGTTGTTCTTAAAGTGAGTCATCACAATAAATGATCGTCATTTAATTTTTCTCATTATTGGGGCCTACCTTTGAAATTTTTTGGGTTAGTGCATTTCATTGACCCAATGTATTTCAGCTGAGTACCCTTTGGTTATACACCTCTAAAGCGATCTTTATGGAAGTGTGCACCCGACGGTGGGGCGACAGAGTCGCAGGAGTTAAGTGCTCTCCCTGTAATCAGAAGGCTACAGGTTCAAGCCCTATCGCTGCTGTTGTGTCCTTGGGCAGGACACTTAACCCACCTTGCCTGGTGGTGGTCGGAGGGACCGGTGGTGCTTGTGTACGGCATACTCGCCACTGTCAGTGTGCCCCAGGCCAGCTGTGGCTACAGTGTAGTTCATCACCACTAGGGTGTGAATGGGTGAATGATTGTGTTGTAAAGCGCCTTGGGGGGTTCCAGGACTCTAGAAAGCGCTGTATCAAATACAGGCCATTTACCATTACCCAACCCTGTCATACATCAAATCAGCTGGCTCAGTCTGAGGAGATGGCAGTTACTCGAGTTACCATCACAACATAATCCCTGGCAAAAAGCACATCATAGAAATGGAACTGGTCAATTCCTCCATGAACTTTGTGCTCTTTAAGAGCCTAGTGTAGCTATACACGTTGACAATGGTTTCTAATATAAGGAAGCACCTGTTGTATTAAAGCCATCATAACCCTGACATAAAAGAATGAATTTTTACACATCGACTGTTTGAGCATACCATTTGTAATGTCCAGAAAGGGTCATTTTACAGCTACAGTTTGACCGCTTCAGTATCCGGTCATATAGAGACATAATTCTGACTCTGTGTGCACTATCTAATATTCCAAGCTGCAGGAAAGATTCTGCAAGTGCATGTTGACATCCCGGGATCACGATATTGTCAACATGCTCCCTTCCCAAGGTTCTTCTCTGCCAAACTGCTGCTTTTCTTCACAAAGGACGAACTTTTATAATAATGATGAAATGAAATGAACAATATGGTTAAATGAAATACTTAAATAAACATATAATGAATGGACAAGGTGTTAAATGAAATGTTTTGATTAATCTGTGCCTAAATTAATACGGCTGAAATGAATGTGTCCTTGCAATATCCATTTGATAATCAGCGTACGTGACTTGACAAGTTCACACACTCATACACACGTGCATATCACAAGGCTAAAGATAACTTCACTGCACATAAACTTTTCTTATCCACAAATCAGAGCATCTTTTATCTGAAGGAGTGTTCTGAGGTTTGTTTGGTAAAACCCTCTTAACATGGCAAGTTGTGATTTGCCAGAAATCGTAACATAGGAATAATAAAACTTAGATCACGTCCTGAGTTATTCAGTTCGTTGAAGTTCATCGAGCCGAGTTGAGTTTGTTTCCAGCTGAAACTCTGGAGTGGCCAATCTGGGACCAACCTCTTTGAAACTTCTCCCTGACATACAGTCAAAACCTTTTTTTTTTTTGCACGCAGCAAAGCTGACACAGCAAGACTCCTTAAGAGTCAGTTTGAGACACAAAAAAAGTCCACCTGTTGTTGTGACCTGGAGACATCTCTAGACTGGACTTGGACATGCTGCGGTTATCCTGCGAACCTCAGTGCCTTGAGGTCCTCCGGACTTCCTGACCTTCCGGATCTACCACGGGGGTCTCCGATAAGGGTACGTGGGCACAGCAAGATTGCGTCTGATGTTGTTTTATTAATAAATAAACTCTCTGTTATAGCAGACTAAATTTTTTACACCCAGAACACAGTTTCTTTCAGATACAAGGTTCTGATAAAAATCGCTTTCCATCCACACATATTCATCCATTTGACATCGTTTTCATAACTCGTCATGTTTATAATTAGTCTAGAAATAAAGTTTATTTTAATTATATACTTGAATCTGTCTGAATAAATACGACGTGTGTTTATGGTCACTGATTAAGCAAAGAATCCTAAAGTATTTTGGTTAACATTCATACCATACCACCTTTATTTATGTAGCACTTACGTGAGCACCACCTCACCCCTGCCACGTGGACCTCAAGGGATAAGCCATCAACCCTGTTCAATGGTCAACTTTCCTCGCAGAGTCACCCATAAAGGCAGTGGGAGGGTTAAATTATTAAAACTTCAGAGACTTTAAAGGGACATTATGGAAGTCTGACAGCCAAAACATGTGTAGAAATAATAAATGTCTTCTTCATACATTCTCCTGCAATGCCCTGGTCCTGTAGAATGAGCCCTGGCATTTTTACTGTGATTGCCTGTTTTTCTGTAAAATCACAGAAAAAGAGAGATGCTCGGGTCGAGCAGGCTGCTTCATGCGCGTTCACGCTCAGGCATCGCCCGTAGCATTTGCTATCCGTAGCTTTAGCAGCAGAGAGAGAGGCAGTGCCACTTTGTCGCTGTTCCTAACGCCTAGTGACAAAGCTAGCTACATTTCTGAGGACCCTTAGCTACTTTCTGTAGAACTTTCTTCTAGATATTTCCTGCTAATTAGCAACAAAATAGCCATTTTCACTCCGAACCGTTCTTTGGTTTGTCGTTGTTTCAGCTGTCATCAAGGATATAAAAGTTACAGATACAAGAGGACGTCACTGGTGCTTTAGCTCACCTAGTAAGATGTCTGACTCTCATGTAGGAGACCTGGTTTCGATTCTGGGTGTGAACATAGTTTGTCATTTAGAGTTTATTTTTTACATTAATGGTATATTTTTTTACAGTAAGATGCCCACATTTCTATTTGAGACTCGCCGAACGGCATTGAATTCACAGATAAAAAAGATGTGGGTTCAACTTTCATTTTGGAAAAATTTTTCAAGCAAGGGAAGGGAATGATCTGAGCATGCAGGAGGACTGACCCATCATAAACCTTTGTCGGCTGTGCTGAAGAGAAAGGTACAGAACCACATTATTTCATTAATTAGCTGCACGTTCTCCTGTCCTCTGTCCTCCGGGCCACACACACACACACACACACACACACACACACACACACACACACACACACACACACACACACACTGCACGTTTGGCTGGCCGACGAGAAAGTGCAGCTGCAGAGACAGAGGGACATTATTTTTATTAATTTGCTGTGTTCTTCTGTCCTCCGGGCCACACACACACACACACACACACACACACACACACACACACACACACACACACACACACACACACACACGGGACTGTCTCAGCTGTTATTTTCATTAAGGAGTGTGCACGTACAGCATGCGCGCCTCGTGCACGAGCCTACTATTGAAGCTGCCGTTATGCTTTTGGCCTGAGGGGGCAATCGCGAGCATAAAAATTCAAAAGTCCGAAAAGTCCCTTTAAAGAAGCAGAATGTAACAATAATTAAATGCACAATATTTCACTTGATTAAGAACAGCTCTAAAGAAATGAATGCAACACACCCTGTACAATACAAAGAAGAACAAACTGCAGGCAGAAGATAACCAAAGAGTGTTTGTTAATATTAATATGATAGCTTTAATATACTGACTGTAAGTCGGCAGCTCGACCACCAGTTTGTCATAATGGTTTTGTGCTTCAACAAACTGGTTTTCGATGATCATCTTGTCTTCTTCAGCAAAGAGGTTGGTTTCATGGCTGGTTGCTTTGAAATCCTCGTAATGAGACTCCAGGTTCTTGATGATTTGTCGATATTCCTCAGGTCGCATCTCAGACAACTGAAAGCACAGACAAAATCATTTCAGATGATAAATAAATGCAAAAGTATTGATTACACATGAATGATTGGTGCCTGCACTTCCTAAAATGCACAAATGTTAACATTTATGTTAGCCTAACAACAAAAGGTCCATCAACGATGCAACTGTTACCATGGAGATAGTGAGGGAGCGGATGTATTTGATGTCCTGCAGACAGTAGTTCCAGGCCATGAGACTCTTAACATTGATGTACAGCTGATTCCAGAGGTTTAGGAAGGCTTCATAAAACTGCTCATTCCTATAAAAAACAAAATCTATATTTTTACACCCAGTTAAAAATATGTGTACACTAAAAACACAATCCCATGTTTATTTTAGGAAATTGTGTGCTGAACAGTCCCTCCATAACTTTTCACCAATTCTAAGAAAACGTGAAATAATACAACTAATAATAAGAAAATGTGACCAATAAACTTCTAACAACTATTTCAAAACTACAATTTCGACTTACAAGAACCTTCTGAAAGATTCACTAATGAAAATAAGTATTGAGAAGAAAAGACAAATTATTATTATTTCCGGCATAAAGTCGACAAATTCCAGGTAGTAGTCACAAGGAAAAAATAATGAGATGTTTCAATGACACCTGCAACCTCAGAACACCTTTTATTCCTTCACAATAAGAGTCTCAAACATAAACACATACTTCAAAACACCTGAAGTGCATGAACCTCAGAGGACAGTATTAATAAACTTAAAATGCTTTGAGGCATGTTTGAGACTTTTATGTTGAAAGTGTAAATGAAGTTCTGATTTCCTGTGAAGATGCTGCTGTGAAAGCTGCCAACAGAGGAACAAAATGCTGCAGTATTTATCATTTTATAGAACACACCCAGGTAACTTTTGACAGCAAATGTGATTCTGGTGTTTGATTTGATCACGTCTTACAGCCTGGGGCCTCATTTATCAAAACGTTCGTACGAACGTTCCTATATTCCTTCCTACAAATGAAATTTAGGCTACGTGTACTCCTGATTTATGAAACATGTGGTGGCCTCTCATACACATGTTCCTCCGCGATCGTCTGATGATAACTCCCACCTGTGCGTACCCAGGTGTTCATGTCCGTTCACCGTCATTTACATACAGAAACGCCCTCAATTAACCATATATGGTCAAGCTACTTCCTCAGAACAAGAGAATTCCCTGGTTTTCTCCCCAGAGTAAGTAGGAAAACTTTATTGACAGCGAGATCGATACACTGGCTGCCGAAGCGCAAAAAACCAAACAAGTTACAGAGGTTATAGAGAGGTCGGGACAGAGGAGAAGTTCATGTCAGATATAAATAAAATTATGAATTTGATCAATCGTAGAGTAACGGGTTCTCATTTACATGTAAGGAGTCGTTCTGTTTGGAGTTAGTTTCATTTGGAAACGTCTGAGAGCGCAGCCTCAGCTGTCATCCAGTCTGGTATGATCGGGGAGCAGGAGGTGGTACTGGAGAGTTCTCGTAGTTGTAAACAAAATATGAACTGGAATCGGATTCGCGAGGTTTGTCTGTCGCACCACAAAGCAGAAGGATTTCTTCCTCACGGAGAACGCATTCCCTCCAGTGAGCACGCTCTGTTAAATCTTCAAATAACACAGATTAGTCATGATATAATGTCAGATGCCCGTTGGTTACATGTGTCTTTTATTGGTTTTAGCACCAATAATGCTCAAAAGCCCTTTTTGCACCGACATACTGGGTAAATGTAATGTGTGGATGAGGAACACGCGTGGATGACTGGGACCTTCAGTACTGCTGTTACCCCGTTCTACCACCAAATGCTGTTCCTACGCATGGTCAGAGCTTTCCTTATATTTAGGGACATATTCACACAAAAGTACAAATTGGTAAACACCACACAATGTGTAAATTCATGCCAACGCACGAAATACGCATAGATCTGTGCGTAAGTAAGGTTGATAAATGAGAGCCCTGGAGTTTAGGTCCAGGTGATCAGTCAAAACTAAACGTCTATGTAATATCAAGGGATGTAAGAAAATATCAGTATATTGTGATATTTTGTTATGTGATATTATATCGATAATCAAAAGCATGTATCTAATTTTTGGAAGAGTTCACATGCAAACATTTGTGTATTTTCTTTTCTTTTGGTGCAATTCAAACCCCGACTGCTAGATGGCAGCAGTGTGCAATGGGTTTTGTTTCCACCATTGAAATGTAAATCCCTCTATTAAGATGTTAAACATGTTAAGTATCAGTTTGGACTGTTTATGGAATATTCCTACAATAAATGCAGTAAAAAAATAGCTAATAACGTCTGACTGAGGCCCTGTCCACACGTAGCCGGAGATCTGCCAAATCGTAGATATTTTTCTTCGTTTTGGCCTGTCATCCACACGAAAACGGAGTTTTTTCACACGAAAACGGATCTTTTTAAAAACTCCGGCCAAAGTGAAGATGTGCGTTTTCTCCGTTTTGGGGGTTCTGCGTGTGGACGGACAAAACCGGAGATTTAAGGTCCGCAACGTCACTTTCCGCGACAAAAAAATGCTGACATCACGTGTGCGACCTGTGTTTACACTAGCCGGCATCATGGAAGCCCTCAGAGCTGCGCTCTGTCACTACCCGATCCATCAATTGTCCAAGCGCTTTCTGCTTGTTTGTTTTTGCAAGCGGAATTACTGCTCCTTGCGGAAGACCACAGACGAAGGACGAGGTTAAGAACGGGGGAAGTACTGCCGCCTACAGGTCTGGCATGTCCCTAACAACGTATTTATCCGGGTACGTATGGACAGAGTTTTTTTTTTTTTACGCGGTGGTGTGGATGCAAGTTTTTGGAGGGGCGGATATTCGTTTTTAAAAAACCCGGCTACGTGTGGACTAGGCCTCAATGTATCGCAATATATCGTGAAACATTGTATAGTCTCCCCTGTATCGTATCACCAGAATTTCACCAATACACATACCTAGTAGCATCTGTGTATTGGCTTCCTCTTGCATTGTCTAGCTAAAAAAGAGGTGTTATTTGCGTTTCCTACTTGTTGGCAAGGCTGATGCTCAGTGGATTAGGAGGTGGCACGATCAGACACACAGACGGCACTATCATATCCAGACCTCCAGGACCGATGATGAGCCATTTACTGCGCTGGCTGTTGTCCTTCAGGATGGCTTCGTTGTCTTTACAGATCACCTTCTAAAGCGCCCAACACAAATGGTTTTAATTAATAAAAACAATTTACAAAACTTAGTGTACAGTGATGCCTCTTCTTGTTAAAGGTCTCCTTCACTTGTTCCGTCAATAAATCTGCTGTGGTCTATAGTGCGAATGAATCATTGAGTCTTTTTCTGTTGGAAAACAAGCTCTGGTGCTCCTGCTTCAGGCAGTGGGGGCAGAAGCTGACAGGATTTCTATTTAGTCTTCATGATATGCAAATGCATCGCTACTGATTGGCCAACAGCAATGCAACTTTTCTGCTGCCTCGTTTAATCGTCTTTCTTGGGAAAAAGTGCAACATTTATGTTTTATCTCCACAAATAATAAAAGCCCGAAGGAGTTCTGGCATGTTGTGGAGTTGTTAATGCTAATAGTTAGCTTCTACTAGCCAAAACGAGTTTGTTGCTGTTTCTCAAATACATACTCATCTGAACGTTTGTACTCACGTCTTTGTGAAATGTCATCAATGCAGGGTATCTGCGGGTCCTTAAAAAGTCTTAAATTAGCTTCTCCGAATTGAAGGCCTTAAAAATGACAAATAATCCTTAAGTACAGTTTCCAAAGTTCTTAAATTACCAAAGACCCAATAAACAAGATTCTTTTATTTCTATAAAATCTTTGTGAATTTCTAGTTGGTGTTCAGCATTTTTTGTGTACGATGTTGGCGTAAGCGGAACCGTACACATTCAGTTGGTTGTGAAAGGGGGCTATTTTTAGATGAGCACATTAGCTGGTTAAGCTAGCGGGAGCTTGCGCCATGGGCAAGTGCAAGTTTAATGTTAACTGGATGGCTAATCCCACATTCGCGACGTGGTTAGCACCGGTTCCAGGCAATAGCCGGAAATGATAGCTTCAAAGCTAGTCAAAGTGGCCTCAACAAAGGTATTAAAAGGTCTTGAATTTGGCTCTCCTAAACCTGCAGATACCCTGTCAATGGTACTGATGTATTGTTCCAATCCTAAGTATGCATCACGGCAAGCATGCGGAAGGATGCACAGCTTTTAAATGTTTCTAGCGGGCCAGGGGAGCTTCCACCTGGGTCGGACCCAGGCGTCTCTCTCTCTCTCTCTCTCTCTCTCTCTCTCTCTCTCTCTCTCTCTCTCCCTCTCTCTCTCCCTCTCCCTCTCCCTCTCCCTCTCCCTCTCCCTCTCCCTCTCTCTCTCTCTCTCTCTCTCTCTCTCTCTCTAAAGTCCTAAACTACATGAACGGATATTAACGAGTATGGAAGAGCTGACAAACGCTCATTATAGCTTATTATTGTCAAGAATCAAAATTATATTAAATGACCAATAATATTTTAAGTGTCTGGTGAGGTACATGACAGTAATCTGCAGTGGCGTGTCCAGATCTTCTAAAATGGGGTGGCCCAGGTGAGGCATAGCTTTGTGCATGGGTGGCACCAATGGTTATGCTTTTTTTGTTTTACCCCCAAGCCTTTTGTGGACAATGAAAAGCCTATTTAAAGTAAATTAGTGTGGTGGCACCTGGGGTGGCCAATCAGATTCCAAGGGTGGCATGTGCTACCCCAGGCCACTCCCTGGACACGCCCCTGGTAATCTGTACAATACTGTGATGTTAGCACACGGGTTTAAGCTAGCTAGCTAGCATCATTAACTCACCGAGACGCCTGCTCCTCCTCCTGACACCACAGCTAAATCTCTCTACTTTGGCCATCTTTTCTCCCTCTGGCTGGTCTCTGCTCTCTGGGGCGTGCAGCAGGCTCCTAACTGTATGGTTGTGGTTCACCATAAGTATAATTATAAACATTTAAAGTTTCCTTTGTGAACCGGCATTAAAATTCGTTTTATTCTGTGGATCAAGCTAACAGGACTCCCTCTGTCTGCTTCACATCTGGTTTGGCTGGAAAAAAAAATCTAACAAAAACAACCCCCAAAGCCTAAATAATTAATTAATGTGTAAATGTTTATTTAGAACAAATTCCTATTATGTTTCTCTAAACATTTGTTCAAAGGAGGCTCTAACCTGCAATAGCTCTCCTTTAATGATAAATACACTTTCTTCTTCATTTAGCAATGGTACATGCTGGTATTTTATCAACTTTGATCAAACGTGAACCAAATATTATACAAATATAATGTAATAAATGTTATTTTGATATTTAAGTGACAAACTAGAATTTTATTTTTATGTCAGATTGTTTGTTTGATCGCATCAAAAAGCAGTGTTTGTTGCTATGACATGATGACATACGGTTCTGTTCCAAATGTTGTCCTCGTCCTCCCACACTCGCTAGAACGGACTTCCTGGTGTACGTGTCAAGGACGTGCTTGACAAGTATACAACATACTTGGGTATTGCCCAGCTCTCTCCGTCCTCTGGGGCGGGTCACATCCTAAGGTGGGCGGAGCCATATTCTCAGTGACATAGAAGATACTGGTTTTCACTGAACCGGTCGTTTTCCCATCTTTTTCTTTTCTGCAGCTGATGCAGACAACGCGGGTGAAGAAAATGTTTACCTCCTGCATGAATGTGCAGCTCAGGGTGACTGGTCGTATTTCAAACAAGTGTGACGTCACTTCTCAGTGAACAAGACCTTTAACACTTAAAATAAAATACGTGTTTTAAAGCTTGACCTGCTCTTGTTGGAAGTCACACAGAGCCCTGACGATGGTGCCACTGCTGCCCTTCTCCTCTGGGTTTCTGGGTTTCAGCCTCACAATGCTCTTGGATTTACTGACCACGTGTTGCACCTGTCGCTTGAAATCCATCAGCCTTTCCCTCTCACTCTGTTGATCAAATTTTAAATAATCAAACACATTGAACTTTATTAATGAAGAACTCTTCTACATCTTTCATTTTATATTTAATATGACATCATCAAGTCGTTCTGCACTCAGATATTGTTCTTGTTACCATTTACCATTAATTGCTATGAGAAGTTCTCATACCTCCAGGCCTTTGAGGATTTCCGTTAGCTCCTCCAGGCTGGTGTCCTTGTCGCATTTGAAGGTGTCTCGAAGCTTCTGATGTTCCTGTTGGAGAGCCTTGAAGGTGCCATTAGCCTCTTTGAAGAACTATAAAAAACACAACCCTGAATAAGCGTCTGGAAGTAACGCGGTCATGCCTGTGTTATACAAGCAACTGTGGTCTTGTCTACTCTTGAAAAAACAAATTTTATGCAACATTTTTGTTAAAGTAACTTAAAGTGACCGGCCCACATTGGCTAGCAGCCTATGGGACGGGCCCGCTATGCCAGATAGCCTGCCCACCTCTGGCCATTATGCGTCTTTAGTTGAGCTGCTTTAAAGTTGGGGATATCCGTGGGCAGCTCAGTGCTGCTGCCAAATTTTATTTGAAAGTATATTTACATTCCTGAGCAACATCTGCTTTTGAAATCCATCCATCCAGTTTTTTCCGCTTATCTGGAGTAGGCTTAAGTCGAGAGGCCCAGACTTCCCTTTCCTGAGCCAATTGGGCCAGCTCCTCCGGCGAGATCCTAAGGCATTCCCTGTTTCTGGCCAGCCGAGAGACATAGTCCCTCCAGCGTGTCCTGGGTCTCCCTTTAGGTCTCCTCCCGGTTGGACGTGCCCAGAAAACCTCACCAGGGAGGCGTCCAGGAGGCATCCTGACTACATGACCAAGCCACCTCAACTGGCTTCTCTCGATGTGGAGAAGCAGCGAATCTACTCCAAGCTCCTCCCGGATGACTGAGCTTCTCACCCTATCTCTAACCCCCAAATTCCACTACCTGCGCTCCGGTCCGCCCCCGCCTTCCGCAGCCGCTCGCTTCCGAACTCAATTTTTACTGGTACCCGCTCTACATCGGCTCTGCTCCGGTGCGGAGACCTGAGGTGGGCAAACAGGCATGCGCGGGATTTTCGAGATCTTGCGATACAGTCCGAGCAATAAACGCGGAAGTTAGATCCAAACACCCGTTGTGTGGGAGAAGCATCGGTGTGAACTGTTTAATCTGCCCATCATTTGTGTAGAGAGATCAGCAGTGTTTGGATCAACAAAGGGTGACTACTTTGATAGTGGAAACTGTATTTATGGCTTACTTTTGTGCATTTAAAGTTCAGCCGCCATTGATAGTTGTTAAAAGTTGTTAAATCTGTGCATATGAAACAAAAAACGCCTTTTGTTTATCGATTTATTGTGAAAAACGGAAGTTGTGCTTGCTCCTTTTCCTGTTGGGCAGTTGTGATTCCTGTCCATTTACTGCGGAGGTGCTTCGGCGTCCGGCGAAAATAGGATCGATTCTATTTTTGCCGGACGCCGGAACAGAGGGTGGCGCACGGCGCCGCACTGCCGGAGCACGGCCGCAGTAGTGGAATTGCTCTGATTGACTACAACGGGACCGATTTTGCTCCGGCGTTCGTGTCGGAGCGGAGCGGAGGTAGTGGAATTTGGGGGTAAGGGAGAGCCCAGCCACCCTGTGGAGAAAACTCATTTCTGCTGCTTGTATCCGTGAGCTCGTTTTTTTGGTCACTACCCAAAGCTCGTGACCATAGGTGAGGGTAGGAACGTAGATCGACTGGTAAATCCAGAGCTCCAGCTCAGCTCTCTCTTCACCACGACAGACCGGTACAATGCCCGCATCACTGCAGATGCAGCACCAATCCGCCTGTCGATCTCACGCTCCATCTTTCCCTCACTCGTGAACAAGACCCCGAGATACTTAAACTCCTCCACTTGGGGCAGGACCTCGTCCCTGACCCGGAGAAGGCTTTCTACCCTTTTCTGACCCAAGACCATCTCAGCTGCAAACCGCACCAGCAAAATCTTGTTTTGTTTAATTTGTTGTTAGTTTATCGATATGTTTGAATAACTTTAGTTAAATATTTTATTTTAATACTGTGCCACGAACAAAATTAGGATTTAACAGTTGTTTAGGTTCATAACAGTTGTGGGCCTGCTGTTATTATTGCAACATTCAGCATACAAATAAAGACAAAAACATCTGTTTTAAAACAATCAGCAGCATGTATTGGCCCTTGACTGGCCATGGTCTATACACTGGCACAAAAAAAAATCCATATTGGTCGATCTCTACTTCTCAGTAAACGACCAACATGGGGCAGCCCACACAAAGCCCCTCTGGTGTTGTGGTTTCTACACTAACCAAAGAGGTGTGTGTGACAGGATAATTCCAGATAATTAAAATAATAAAACCTCAGAAATCCTCATGGACATGGGTGGACATGAGCCTTAGCAAGGCTTAACAAAGGTTTCTGGTTGGTTCCTGCTATAGTTGGACATAGTTTTATAATCATTTAAACATATAAAAGCCAGAAAAGCAGTTAAAGCTTAACCTGTGTCGTTATTACAAACTGACCCGTTTTCCTACAGTTTTATGTGAGAAAAGTTCTGTAAAAACAAAACAAAGTTGTTAGGAGAGCAGCTTCGGGTCACCTGGCTGTACGCCGCGTTCTCCTTCAGGTGGGTATCGATGCATTTGGTAATCTGGAGAATCCAAAGCCACTGAGTCTGCAAAGTGTCCCTGTAAGCCTGGAGAAGGTCCACAAACACGGGAGAGCAGAGCTGTAAAAAGGACCTGGGCTGTGTGACGGGTGATGTGAGAATCAGTTTAAACCTCTATCTTGTCCGAGGCCGGGTGGTCGGTGGAGAGCAACTCGTCCACTCTGAGTTTGAGTTTGTACAGGTGCTGCTCTTTCACCTCCAGGTCACTCATCAGTTTCTGCCACACGGGGAAAAGGTGTAAGAATCACAGAGCTGCGGCTGCATGAAGGACAGGTGGCTTTACTAACCGAGTAGCCCTCCTGCTTCTTGGGAATGTAGCTGTCAACGTTTTTATCTCCCCAGTCAAACATCAGCTCCTCTTCCTCCCTCTCGTTCACCCACATGATCTCTGAGGAAATGTCCTGGAGGATCTGCTGGAGGTCTTTTAGCTGCTGGGTCCGAGTGTTTGACATTCTCTACAAATCAAATCAAATCGTAAAATAGCTAGCATATAGCACCCATCCCAGGAAAGTGAGAGGGTTTCTCGTCTTTTACCAGAAGATTCTCCATCTCCTGCTCCAGACCTTTAAGAGATCCTTTGTCTCCTTTCTTCACCTGGGAGAAGGAAAGGAATCATTTAAGCTTCACAATCATTAATAATTAAAACCCGTGTGTGCTCCTGGCGAAGCTAAACACTTAATAAATACAATGAAAGTTAATAAGTGCTCCTCGTGAGTCTGAATAAACATGGAGAATTAGAAAAAGTCTAATTAAAAGGTCTTAATAAACATTTCTACATGTAATCCAAATTTGAAGAAAGTATTTTAAAAGCTCAGAATGTTTTATGGTTTCTAATGCATTTTAGACTCTTATTTTGAAGGAATTTCATTTGAGTTCTGTTGCAGAAAAACCCAAAAGTCACCACCTCATAAAAACCTCATTAATTATAGTTAACTCAGCCACATCGTTACATAATAATTATAATAATTAAAGCTATAAAAACAAACGGCGTCTAAACCGTTTTCTGTTTTTAGTATTTTTACTTTTTCCCTGAAAATATTCCAACTTTTGATCAAAAAAGCATTTTAACATCCTTAACATTTTGTCTTTATTTAGGAAATATTTCAACCTATTTTTTGACATTTAAACTTTAATCTCAACAACTTTTTATTTGTTGTGTTTTTACTATATATTTCTGTAATGAGTTGATCTTGTTTTATTTTTTCCAATTGCTGTTAAGTGTCCTAGGGTGTCAAAAAAGGTGCTTTTAAATAAATTGTATTATTATTATTATTATTTTTTTTTTTTAGCGTTGCAGCAGCACAAATCACAGTTAACCTTTTCCACATCTATGACACTTATTATGTACAGGAATAGTAATAATCATATTTTCTATCTAATTGCTGTTTAAGGATAATAAAAATGTGGAGGTCTGCTTTAACAATCTGCTCCTCCCCACGGAGCTCCAGCACCGTGTCTGAACCCACCAGGTCATTCCTGGCCTGTTCCACCTCTGGAGAACTCTGGATGGAGCTGTGAAACTTCTGGTGGTTTCTGAGCTGTTCCTCGATGGCGCTCGGCTCATCGCCCCAGGGGGCGGTTTCAATCAGACGCTGGAAAACAAAACATCAACATTGCTGAGTACAATCAGCACTAAAATATGACTTCAGGCACAAATCAAAGCCCTCTGCAGCAGATCTGCAGGCAGACCAACAAATCTTTCAATTCAATTCAAAAATCCTTTATTAATCCCAGAGGGAACTTGATTAATGATTCTGGATTCTGTCTCTTTTCTGGTGGTCCAGCTTCTCAGGAATTCAACATAAAATAATGATTGAGCATCAGAATGCAGCTTGTTGGGGAAAGAAGGATGTTTTATAGTGCGTTCGATTTGTCCTCGGAACTCGGAAATCCCCACCTCCGAGTAGGAAAAATCGAATGACCCCCATCCCCCCCCACCCCAAGTCGGATCTCCCAGTCGGAGACTCGAAAATTTTCACAGCCCCAACATCAAGATCCAAAATGGCAGCTCTCCGTATCAACAACAGTAGTTTTGATTGAAATGTGTTTATTTTAAGCCGGGCGGACACTGTGCGACTTTTCCACTCGTAGCACTCAGCTTCAGCTCAAACTGTACGACTTCCTGGCAGGGCAGATCTCACGAGTCATGTGCTCACACTGCACGACCCAGTTCTCGGATGCGACCTGACTGCTCACACTGTACGTCTGGTAGCAACACGTCGGCCCTAAAAATATGCTAAAAATAGCAGTTTTTACTCAACACGTCAGACTTTTTTGTTTTGCCTGTTGTCCTTCGGGAGTGCTGCAGGAGGACACACAGGGATTTATGGGGGTTGGATGAGGAAAACGAAATAAAGAAAGTAAATATGTGTTTTGTGATCAGTTTAATTTGACACGAACACGACAAACACGCTTTCTTGACAATCTTTGTGAGTAAAAAAACGTGTAGAAACAAAAACGAACAGCGTGTGTTATTAGGGAAATAGTGGGCGAGCGGTGTTGATGCAGGATTGCGCATGCGCCGTGAGTGGTTCTGATACTTTTTGGGTCGCAGCTGCTCGCAGCGCCGCTTCAACAGTGCGATACCCTCACGAGGGACGAGCGAAATATCAAACACGCCAGAAGTTTGTGCGAGCTCACGATTGCTGATCGGTAGGTGGTCACGTGGTGTTACACGACGCTCAGCGCAAAACTCGCCCCATCTCGTGGATTCTTGCACGAGTGGAAAATCGGCTCAAAAAAGTGAAAAAGTCGCACAGTGTACTTTACAAGACACACTTATAAGAGTGCGTCTAAATCAATGTTATATGTAGCGCCTGCAACTCCAAGCTGAACAATTTAAAAGTGTTGTTTTAGATCGTCTTTGTCTCTCTTCGAATATCTTTTGAAGATGAGCTTTAGGTGTGTTTATGAGTCGTCTGTGTTCGTTGAGAGCTAAGTTTTCGAGGGCGTCGCCATATTGGAATCCCGACTTCTCCGTCTCCGGCAACCAGAACGCCGTTAACTCGGGTGTGACTTCATTCCTAGTTCCGAGTTCCGACTTCGGAGGAAACTCGAACTCACCCTTAGTCTCTAACTTTGAGGTCAGTTCTGCTGGTTGACTAAAAAAAAGTCACGTGTAACGTCTGTTTTCTGTCACTTTCTTTACTTTTGGAATCTTACGGTTTGATCTCATCTGAGTTTGTTACAGAAAATTTTAAAACAAGAATCTATATCTCAAGCACAACGGAGCTAAGAGAGCTACTCACAATTGATTTGGGTCAATTCAAAAATCACAATTATTAAAAACAGCTTCTGCATAAACGGGGCGACGTCTATCCAGAGCACATTTTGTATCGCCTATGGAACTCGCCTCTGTCAGTGCGCCCCACGGCAGCTGTGGCTTCAATGTAGCTCATCATCATCAGTGTTTTGAATGGATGAATGAATGAATGAATGAATGAATGAATGAATGAATGAATGAATGAAAACAAACAAACACTGTAGTGTAAAGCACTTTGGAGTCCTCTGATGCAGATAGGTGCTATACTAGTGCGGGTCTTTCATCATGACTATAAAAACGTATGTCCCCTTTACTGCAGTCACTGATCTCTGTCAGCAGGTGGCAGCACTGTGCTGTTTAGTGGCGATTGCATTTATTACATTTGTGCATTTGGCAGACGCTTTTATCCAAAGCATCTTCCACCGAGGTACGCCAGCAATGTCAATGAAGTGTCTTGCCCAAGGACACAACAGCAGACTGACAGCAACCTGGACAACGCGCTCCTGAGCCAATTGCTGCACAGATGTTTAAACTTGTGAAACAAAATTAATTTACTTGTAATGAAATCATAATAAAGATGTAAATAAAGAATAAAGCTGAAAAGAGCTGCTACAGAAGCCTGGAGGTTCAATCAGAGAGTCGCCATGAATAAAAATGTTTGAGTTTTTTTATTCTGCAGCACAAATAGAAGTGTGTTGGTCGAAGGTGCACTACAGAGTGTGTGGGTGTTGTGGATAAAGATAATCAGGATTATGTTTTTGACACACTGCCTGTGTGATCGGCCATCTTTAATGATGCTGTTGTTTTCAAAACCCTGAGTTTTGACCTTGGAAGGAAACCTTAACTACAGCAAAAATTATCTGATCAAGAATGATTTTCTGATGACTGTGTTGTTTTTGTGATGGATTGGAGCTCAAATTGTAAATAAAATACAAAATTGTTTAATTACATTGTCCTACCAGATAAGAGGTGTTTCTCAATGTCAAGGCGTCTGGCCTTGCGAGGTGATGTCTTGCGAGGCCAGGCGCCTTGCTTACGAGGACACGGTCCTTCCTTGGTCAAAGAAACTGTTAAATGGAACAGACTTGCATCACGTTACCGCGGCTTTCACAGCGGTCACGTAACATCACGTGACACGGGAGATAACGTTATATTTTATATGTACAAGATTCAATATAAATATATAACGAGCCTTTTACTTTTTGAATTGTGTTTATGTTTATTAAATTAAAAATATAAGCGAGTTACTACCCGCTAGCCACTGAAGCTGCAACTACTAAACAACTAGCCAACCATAGATAACTTCTTTGGATCTAAAATAAACATTTTAAATTAGCTGACTTACTTTTAAACTTGAAAATCGTCGCCGACGTAGCTGCCGGCTTCTGATCCGCCATCTTTTTGACAATACCGCGGTGTATTCTGGGTAATTTTTGACCAAGGCTAGGCTACAAGACACCTCCCGTGTATCCTTGCTCAGCTAGCTAAACGGCTAACAAACGGAGAACACACGCCTCGGTAGAACATGAGCATTGGAACACGTCTTGGTGGCTCCCGATGACGTATCTCCTAGGCAACCGGAGCGGAGCCAAGACATCAAGGCAATGTTCCTTGGCATTGAGAAACACCCAGGGTCTCATGCACACTGGATACCATCAGGTGTATTTGTACCTTCTGCTGTGCAATCCAAGCCAAAGCATCGTGGAACTTCCTTCCAGGATCCTCCCAAGGCCCAGAACCTCCTCTGGTGCTCTTCTTCCTCTTTGAGGTTCCTGTCAGGGCCATGTGGACCCCGTTCAGCTGGTCGCTGTAAACCTCCACGCTGTCGGTTAAGAACAGACATGAAAGTCACATTCAACAGGAAAATGGAAAAAAATGAGGAGGATTTAGGGGGAAGACATGCTTACCTCCTGGCTATGTAGTCAGTCGGCTGTCCTATTTGTTTCATGTCCATGGCATGATGCTTTAGCTTCACAATGGCGTCTTTTGCCATCCCCATGTAGTATTCTGCATCAGCCGGAGCTTTGCCCTGCAGGGTAAAACAGCTACTTTTCAGATGCTGCATTGCTTCGTTTTATTAAACTGAAAAAATAAAAAAAAATATTAAAAATGAATCACATTCAATAAATTGAAATAAAGATTTACAATATTAACTATTTCAGCCTTAAGAACTGTTTACAAGTTTGAATTTAAACATCTTTTCATGCACAATTCAATTTCAATGTGCATTAATTATTTCAATAGAAAATAATTGTATAACTTTGTCACAGATGACTTTAAATCTCATTTAAAACAGATTTCACAAACTCATAACTGTTTTAGGTTAGGTGATATGGCGCCTTCTAGAGTCCTAGAGCCCCCTAAGGCACTTTACAACGCAGTCATTCACCCATGCACACACACACATGCACACCCTGGTGGTGATTAGCTACATAGTAGCCACAACGGCTCTGAGGCGCAGACAGAGGCGAGGCTACCGGTCCCCCCGACCACCACCAGGAGGCAAGGTGTCTTACCCAAGAACACAACAGAAACAGACTGAGTGGGAATCGAACCTGCAACCTTCCGATTACGAGGTGGACACTTAATTCTTTTGCCACCATAAAAGTAAAGAAACTTAGTTGAAACCGAACCAATGTTGAATCAATTTGTTTCTAGAAGGTGAACCAAACAGAATCAACTTGAGTCATTCCTTCTGGTTGTTTCCTCCCACCACCAGAGGTGCCTCGTCAAAATAAAACGCTCTGGCTTGTTTTATTGAGCACGTCTGCGGAGAAAGGGCTGAACTCACGGACTGGATGCAGAACTCGGCCCTACTCAGGAAGTCCTGGCACTCGGCCTGCAGGGCTGAAACCTTCTGGTACGTGCTGGATCCACCACTGCAGGGGGCAGCAGAGTCCACTCATCATCATCATCATCATCGTCATCATCATCATCATCATCATCATCATCGTCAAGACAGATTATAAGTACTTGTACTATTTTAGAGGCAAATTTCACCAAATTGTAATACATTAAAATGTAAGGATTAAACATTAAACAACATTGTTAAATATCTAATGTCTGAGCATAAAGAGAAAAACATGTTTATTATTACTGATAAAGGCTTGAATGGCTGAAATGTTGGCATTTACTGTTTCAGACAGTAAGCTGGAGTTAGCTAAACCACATTTATTTATAGATTTGAAAACATTTTCATTAAATAATTTCATTGAAATATTTAATTTTAAAAGGAAGTAAAATAAATTAAACATTTTATCATATTTATTTTACCAGTTTTTGAATGTTTTCATGTCTTAATTATTACTAAACATCAGTTACAAAATATGTCAAAAACACTTAAAAGCAGCTTTCCGGAGTTTTCTACTTTCAGAAATGATGTATGGTTTTTCAGAAATGCATAAAAGTGATTATCTTATCATGGATTGTGATATAATGTAAGAAATGCATCTTCTTTTTTTTTTGGTGCTAAGCACACCCTCTGCCCCGCAGAGATTTGTGCAATAGGAAACTGAGCGCCGACCAGAACTAACCAACAGCGTTAGACTACCACTTAGACGCTTGAAATTTAAGGAATACCTCAGCTGATGCAGAGTTGATGAACTTTTCACGGACAAGTAAGTCTTTAAAATATAAATATATGAGAACACAACATGACATGAGAATAATACTCGTAAAAAAACGTGTTTTAGCCGTTTGTCGGCTACAGAAGCACATTTATAAACAAGAAATGTTAAAAAAAACAGAGCGTATGTGTGTGTGTGTGTTTGTGCAGCATTTTTATTTTAAAGAATTAAACTAACTATTCAAGCATTTATGGTAAACTTTACATAATAAATATTCTAATATTTGTGCAAGTACATTTATTTTAGCATTCATTAGACTATTCATTCGTGTTTTTGTGGAGTGTTTGAATTAATATATATATATTAGTAAACACTCAAGTATTGAAAATGTACTTTTAGTTATGTCATTTCTTTATTTTCGATACAGTATTTTTAAATTTTCTAATAAAGATTTTTGTAAAGCGGCTTTTGATTTCTCCGGCCGCTAACATTATTTCAATTTTCACTTTTTATTAATTTAACAAAAGTAAATGAATCCTGTTATTTCACGAGTCTTTTATCGGTTCACATTCAGAAAAAACACAGAAGATTATCAGAACTAAATCATTTTGAATCGTTTTTAGCGCCCTGCATCCGCCGTGACCAGTGAGGGAAGTCAAACTTTTCAAAAGGAAATCAACGAGCAAATGTTCTTACACGGTGGCTGATCTTTGCAGGGACTTAGTAACCGAGTAGGTTCTGTAGTCATCCATGCCAGAGTCAAACTCAGCACTGCGTCCGTGCATCATCTCGCCCCTGCCACTGGGAAAAACCACAAAGAGAACTCGGTTTAGAGGTTTTGCTGCAGTTTGTTCTTATTTACTCGTGGATAAGATCTATCAGACCTAACGTTCCATCTGCAGCACATGAACAGTTTCTGCCTTCAAGAAAAGGATTGTTAAAGTCACCCAGAACTTTACCTGAGAGATGCATCCACAACACCCTGTGTCCCATTGCACTGGGGTGTCCCGCAGGGCTCTGTCCCGGGACCTCTACTTTTCTGTATTTATCTTCTACCTTTGGGTAACATTCTGAAACGCTTTGGTCTCAACTACCACATATATGCTGATGACTGCCAGCTGTGTGTAGCAGTGGACAAACCCAATGCTTCCTCCATGCTTTCGGAGTATTTGACTGGTCAGCTGCCGACTTTTTGCAGCTCAATGAGGCTACAACTGAGGCAATCCTATTTGATCCACATAATGTCTCCCATCCCCGTCCCTCACAGAACTCTCCTCACATCGATTTTAAAGACTGTGCAACTAGCTTTGGGATCACCTGGATCTCTCAATGGTTCCACAAATAAACGTTGTGGTAAAATCATACTTCTACCAGTTGTGTCGACTAACACGTCTGAAACCAATACTGAAGAGGAGGCACTTAGAATCAGTGATTTGCACGTTTATAACCCCCCGCCTTGAATATGCCAATGCTCTCCTGTTCGGCACCCCTGCCTCGGCTCTTAATCGTCTTCAGGCGGTTCAGAATGCTGCTGCCAGGTTTCTGACAATACCAGCTGCCGTAGTCATGTTACTCCTGTCCTTGCACAGCTTCACTGGCTTCCCGTTGCTTTTAGAGTTCCTTTAAAGGTTTTGAATTTCACGTTTAAAGCCCTCAAAGACCTGGCACCCCTTTATCTCTCTGAGTTGCTTGCTCCCCATGTCCCTGGGGGAGCACTGCGGTCTGCTGATTGCTTATTGCTTTCCACGATGATGAGATACAAAAGCATGAGGGGAGCGGGCCTTTACGTGTGCTGCCCCTGCCCTTTGGAATGCACTTCCACTGTTGGTCGGACAGACTCCATCTCTTGCCTCTTTTAAAACTCGTTTAAAAACTCGTCTTTATGATTTGGCCTTTGATTTTATGACCATGTCTGTGTTGATATTTATTTGTTGATCTTACTGTTTGTTTATCAGCTTTTACTTTATTGTGTTGCAACATATTTTATGAGAAGCACTTTGGTCAGCTCTCATGCTGTGTGTAAATGTGCTATACAGATAAACTGGTATGGTGTGGTACAAGTAAAAAATAAAACGGCTGTTAAAAAGATTAACTTTTGCACAAACAGCACACGCTGCCATCAGACCTGCCACAAAACCAAAGACTGAACATTATTCCTCAGTAAGGTCCCAGGGAGCTGGAGACTAACTCCAGCTGTCATCAGGAGACAGGAGGAGGACACCCTGGACATTTCCCTGGGAAACAACTAACTCACACACATCTAGGGACAGAGTGGAGACTAACCTAATAGATTTAGGCTTAGAGTTCAACCTTACATGCACGTCTTTGTTCTGTAGACAACATGCATGGTGAGAACATCCTAACTCCGCTCAGAAAGGCTGCAGCCAGGATTCAAACTTGCAACCTTTGTGCTACGAAGCAACAGTGCTACCATCTGCTCCACCACCCCAGATCAAAGACAACAAACCCCAAACCTCTCTAGAAATCTGCTTATCTTGCATGATTCTCGTAAAGAGCAAACACACAAAAGCCTAAATCTTCTAAACACGTTTACTGTCAGTCTGGGAGAAATGAGGACAGGATGGGTTGGTTAAACTCAGACTCAAGCTAATTTAAGTATTTAATTAGTTTCAAGGTGACAGAAGGCTGCTGCTGGAAATAAGTACTTTCATACCTATGAAAAGGTCGAACCTGATTATGAAACGGAAAGGTGTGTGCCCAAACGTCTGACGTTTCTGTGTCAGCAGCTGACTTCTACTCTATGGGGCGCCAATTGGAAAACAATAACATCCATAAAAACGTCAACATTTTCTGTCATATTTAATATATCACCACACGTCATTAAAAACTGCATATTTTTTAAATCACCACAATTATTTGAGGAATGGCAAAGTCATAAAGTTCAAACATAAATCAAGAAATAGTTTATTTATATTCAATGATTGAGTTTAGAACAGTGAAATCTAAATGACAGCTTAAAATAATTTTGTAGCTACAGAACAGATTCAGACTGCTGTGAAATAAATCAGCCATGGTGAGCTTTTTGACTTTTATGACAGTTTTAAAATGTGAGTTGATTAAAAATGTAGTTCAAAATGCCACAATCATAGATTTAGATTTCAATACTTAAATATAATTTTACATGTCTGGATAATGTTCTCAATGTTTAATTCAAAGTTAGATATTTTTATCATATTTTAAATATTTCATTGAGTTTTTTAAATTTACCTCATTTTTAAAGTTTAAATGTATGAATTTAAATTTGATTGAACACATTTTGAACTTATTTATTTGAATAGAATCTAAATATAGCTTAACTTTAAATATTTAGCTTTCATTCTAACCTTTTGTTTAGACTTTATTAATTTAGAATTTATTCCTATTATTTTAATTAACTGTATATTTCAATAATTTCTGAATTTGTAACTTTAACTTTATAAAATTTGAAGACATTTAAATATGTAACAAATTTAAATGTATTTATGAAATACTGTAAAGTTGTGTTTCATGTTTAACGATAAATTAAATACTAAACGTGACAAACTTGTTAAAAATTAAACAACAACTTGTTTTATTCAGTGGCGGTTTTACCATTAGACATAGGTCGGTGGCCGCCTGGGGCCCCTTATGCTGGGGGGCCCCCTAGCCCTGACTGCTGGCAACCCTCTGTTAATGCCACATTGGACTATTCCTTTAAGACGCCGATGCACAAACAGGAAGTGATTGGTAGTCATTCCACTCCAATCCAGTTGGTGGCGGTAATGCACCAAAATGTTGTTTGCCAAGTGGCATAAGACCACAAATAAGAAGAAGAAGAGAAAGCAGAAGAAGAAGAAGAAGAAGAAGAAGAAGAAGAAGAAGAGGCGGGAGCGTTCGTAACAAACTCGAAACGCGCGGATTCTTCCTGATGTAAGAGGTGAGTCTCCTCTTTGTTTTGGTTGCTTTGGCATAGACATCATCCTAGCGCGCAACGTTCTGTGACTTTTAAAAAAAACAGTAAAAACGGTGAGAAACGCTGGCAGCGAAGGGCTTTACCGATCAGGAAACGGCTGGCAGCGAATGAGTTAAGCATGAAATGGAGTTATCCTAGTGGCTCCAGTAAGAGACAGAAGCGGCTTGCTTTAGAAAAGCTTTTATCTTCACTTCCGACAGTTACATCGTTTTCAATGTAAACATCAAAGGAAGCAGAAGGGAAAGACAATGGAAGATGTCTAAAGGGAGGAAAACATAGACCCAAATGTAAAATAGAAAAAAAAGGCAAAAGCACAGGAACACTGACAGGAGGAAGAGAGCAGAGCAAATACTGAAGCACTCAAATGGAGAGAAAGACAGGAAAAAAGAGGAGGACTAATAAAAAGTGAAAATAACTCGTGTCAGAAGAGGGGAGAGTTTCGCAAATCCAGTTAAAGAGAAGATTGTTGAAAATTTAGTGCAAGGGGCCCCATGTCTGTGTTCACCTTGGGCCCCCAAATTTCTAAATCCGCCACTGGTTTTATTATCAAACATTCTGTCACCTCATTGCTCTTAATGCTAATGTGCAGGCTCTTTCTTTTTGTTTGTTTGTTTCTTGGAAGCCCTAAAACTGACGACAGCATCTCTGGAATGAAAAGTGGTTGTTCCAGTTGTTGCAAAGTTTGGAGCTCATAAGTTCGTGTGTGTCATAAATCAAACGTGTCTCCAGGAGAAGAGCTGCTGCAGAAGAACTTGATTTATTATCGACAGTAAGTCATTGTTAGGAGAAGCCGTTTGCTGCTCTGCAGCTTTTCTGCAGCTCCAGTCAATAATTCAGGATTTGTGAGAAAATTCTTTGCAAACAGAACCTGAACTCTCTCAGCAGCACGTTCACCTGTTTCTGTTGGACTTGATGAACTTGCAGCTTTAAAGGGGATTTCTTCGGACACGCTTTAAAGCACAAAACACCAGAAAACAAACAGAAGCTCCTTCAGAGATCAGAGTTGATCTGCTCATCCACCCACAGAATAAATATATTATGGCTCGTGACGGGCGACCATTGTAAATGCGCAACAGGCGCAACAGAAAGAAGATAAGATATAATGTGTTACCCCATCATGGCCTCCTTGGGTAAGGTCTTTGAAGTGGAGTAGGCTCTCTGTCCCTCTGCTACGGGGTATCCGTAACCCCCTCCGTGCACCACCTCGCTGCGTGCGTAAAAAGACCCTCCGCCACCGCCGGCCAGATCGCCCCTGGAGCCCATCCTCCGGCTCATGTTGAGCTTCTGCTGCGACCCGTACGCGCTCATTGTGGGTGAGAGGGGAGCCCGAGTGTGGCAGACTGGAGAAATCAGTGGAGGACGAGCTGCCTCCACCTGACCCTCCGCTGCGCACTGCGGCCCGCGCGCAAAGGGAGCTGCGCTTTAGGGGGAGCTGGCCACACCTCTCCGTCTCCACGCAGCCAAAGAGTTTGGACTTGACATCTGCCACTCCCTCCGAACCCAGCTGGAGGCAGAACTGTGTGTGAAACCTGCGAACTGTTGTCTCCGGAGAGGAGAAAAGCGACTTTCCCAAACGGCTCATGGCTGCTGGGAACGTGAAGGAAAATCAGAATATGATGGAAACCACCAGAGCTCTGATTAAAATATTTAATATCTAAAGAAAAAGAAAAACACAACTCAACATCTATTTGAGTCTTTTTTATTATCCAACCAAAAAGGAAGCGAACGCGTATTTCTAAAATAAAAACAATGAGGAATTTTAAGTTTCGTTTTCACTGAAACTTTTAGCTTTTCATCTCGGTGCAAAAACAGAACACATAGGATGAATTATTCCCACCAAACCATTCATTTATTAACAACTTAATGATCTTAAATTGTGATATTTGCTCAATTAATATCAATGTACTAAAAACTACAAAAAATAAACAAAATAACCCCACGCATCTGTTGCTTTTACATCTAGAATAAATATTACATAAATACACATATCTTATTGTATGATTTTAATATTTAAATCAATTTTCTTTCATATATTTAATGTGCAGCCCTGCATAGATTTGTGTGCTTTAATTTTAAATGCTCTTTATGCTTCAAGCTCTGAAAAACAATTAAACATTAAAATAAAGGTCACCCTTTCATGCATGAATTATGAAACTTCAATCAGGATTTGTTTTACTAATTTTTATTCGTCTTATAAATGAAACAAACTTCAACTGATTTTTTAAACATTTGATTTTCTAATATTAAATATCCAGTTCAGTTGACACTATGCGCTCTGAACATGAAACATGTTGGCTCGACGCAGGGGGGCTGCCAGAGATTTTGGGCCCCATGAAAAAATATCAAGTTGGGCCCCCTGGGGGCTCGTCCATAGCTGGAGCTGGGGTTCCACCCTCCCAGATTCGAAGGGAGAAAAAAATATAATATATATATATATACTTCATTTCATTTATTTATTTATAAAGCCCCTTCTGCGGCCAATGCAGACACCCAAGGTGCTGAACACAACACAATAAAAACACGAAACCATCAGAACAAAATATAATAATCGTAAAACCAGCATAAAATCAATTAAAAGAGGAGAGTAAAAGCAAAAAATTAAATCCAGAAAAAGATTAAGAGGCCGGGGCATCGAAACTGGGTAAAATTAGCTAAACGTGAAAAGCCTAGATAAAAAAATGGGTCTTAAGATGAGTCTTAAAAACCCCCAATGAGGGTGACTGACGCACCACCAAAGGCAACTGGTTCCAAAGTGCAGGTGCCAACACCGAGAACGCACGGTCCCCCCTTGACCTGCACTTAGTGCGTGGAACGATCAGCAGCTCCCTGCCGGCTGAGCGAAGAGCCCGCGAGGGGGCGTGTGCAGGGTCCGAAATTAAAATTTTTACTCACCGGCCAAGTTGGCTGGTAGATGATGAAAATCTACCGGCCAAGCATATTTTTTACCGGCCAAAATCCTAAATGATTTAGATCTACCTAAAGCATGTTATTCTATATTATGTTGATTCCAAACAGAGTGACAAAATAATTAAAACATCAATTAATAAGAAAAACAACTCTTTTGTCATTTTTACTATTTATTTATTTATTTTTAGAGATGTTTTTATGAACTCTTTCATTGAAATCTAGTCAGACTCCTTGTTTTCTCTGTCCAGGAAGTCTGGCCTCCTGCTTCTGACACCGTCTTTGTGCCAAAGCATTACAGCCTCATTTGGGTCCTAGTCCTTGATCTCTGGAGAACACAGCTGCACCATGAGAATATCTGAAAGTGTGTCAGGGCTTGGGTTGTCACGGTAACCGGTGTAGCGGTAAACCCCGGTTAAAAAGTTGACAATAATAATAACCGTCTTGTTTTTTAAAACTATATTATCTCGGTGGATTACCGTGGCTGCGGTGTAGGCGCGGTGACCCTTACCAGCCACCGTATCATCTGCTGAAGTTGCCGGCGGCACATGCGCACTTTGTTGTTTATGACCAAAACTTTCTGGAAGCTAAAGCTGAAATAATGGCAGGAGGAGACGGCAGCACTCAGGACATTTATTATCCCTCAAAGAAGACAAAGTGGGAAGTGCGGGCATCTTTTGGATATCTGAAGAATGCCGAGGGACAGTTGATAGAAGACGGCTATCCTGTTTGCAGCACGTGCAGAAAAAGTGTCTGTGAAAGGCAGCAACGCTTCAAATCTCATGACACATCTGCGTGGCCATCATAATGTAGCCAGTGTCTCACGACTCCGCCATCTCCAGTTCGCCACTTTTCACAAAATCTTCTGGTTGCCACTGGTCCTGGTGGTTTTTCTTCCAGTTCGACGAGTTTTCTTTTGGAAGGCTGGCTGACTCCAGTTAAAAACCGCCACATTTCACCGCTAGTTTTAACACGAAGCTAACTGCTAACTTGATAAACTGATTGAATGGGATAGGTGGAAATGACGTTGGATGCGGCGCTCACGTTTCGCGTACGTTTGTGTACGTTGCATGCAGGCGGGAGGAGTATCAGAAATCCATGGAAGATGACTGATAAACATAACTCATTTGGCGCAAACATTTACTCGCCATGTGGCAGATAGAGCTCAAAAATTTACTCGCCAAATGGAGCAATTTGCTCGCATTTGGCGAGTGGCGAGTGTTAATTTCGGACCCTGGAAAGGTTTCCAAGATATGCTGGAGCAGTTCCTTGTAAGGCCTTGTATGCCAGTACCAAGACCTTGAATTTTGCCCTGTATTGCACAGGCAGCCAATCCCTGTACAATACAATACTTTATATTAGTGTTTCAGTTTTGCTCAATTATGTAGGTCTACATGCATTCTTACTTATTTACATATCATTTTCACCAGCTGTCTCTCATTAAACAGTGAATTTCCTTCAACAGAAGCTATATCACTGCTGGAAAAAGCAGGAAATGCACATGCTGAAAGGTGTTAATCTCCTTTTCCCTATTACTCCCTTAAAATGTGTTTATTTATTCTAAGATTGTATTTGATGATAAAATTCAAATTTGGATATCTAATTAAATTTCCATGTTGTGTCAAAGCTTTACATAACTACATGTTCAGCTGTCTTTCCTCTTGAAATCAAGTATTTCTGTATGACTGACAAAAATTAAGGATTCACTGCTCACAAGGTGACTTCTTTATTAAGTCTCCATGACTTCATCACAGACACAAAAGGAATAAGCACACAGTTCAAACTGGAATCAGTTAGGGTTACATAAAATTTTAAAGTTGGACGACTTTGCATGAACACATATACACTTTGTCCTGACCCAACCTGACATTGGGAGGGTCCAGGCTTTGTACATAATGACATTGATATATGTGTAACAATATAGGCTATCATTGGTGACAAAATCTTTATCCAAGTTACAACAGTCTTTAAAATTAATGCACAACAGGGAAAATGCAGCAGAGACTCCTGCAGGATGTTAGCTGTAGTTCTCCATCATCCGTACTAGATTTCATATTTTATTGTGTTCAGTGTTATATTAAGTTTATTTATTACAATTATTAATAGCTTTTGTTTCAGTTTTGCTCTCTGATGAATTATTAAATTACTGACTTTTTGGTTTGTGACCTAAAAGCTACATGAACAAATTCCACCTTGTAAAACCTCCCATAATTCAATCAGATTTGAAACATTTCATTTCAAGATGTTTAGTAGATGAAGAGGGTTTTTTTCTTGTATGGTCCCTTCAAAAAGGTGCTTCTCAGTAATAATCTCACATGTTGCATTAACAGACTACAATGCTTCAACCTGCCCAGCATCCAAAACAATCTATACATGTTTACTGATTGATATTTATAATTATCATTTTGTGGAAAAACAATGTGTTTATCACCAAAAATAGCCTTTTTATATTCCTTTGTAATAGTACTGGTAGAGAAGAGAGCCTTAAGTGATTCCCACAGACCCCCTTAAATGAGGCTGCTAGCTAGCATGCTACATTGCTCACCTTCTTGGGGTTCGTTGGGTTGTGAGGGGACACCTGCTGACACATCATCAGCTGCTGATTCTGGTAGGGACAAGGACAACAACCCATTTACCATAATTAGATGAAACATAGTTCCTCTCACTGAGGATATCAGAGCTAGCAAACAAGTTGTATTTAACCACTCACTAACTAAACCCACCTTTCTTTGAGAAAAACTGTGTGACATACTGAAACCCTCTCTTCTGCCTGTCCTCTTTCTCCTTTCTTTCTTTCCTTTTCTGTGACCCAGACCTTGTTTTTGCAGACATACTTTTACTGCAGCCTTGACGCACTCTGCTGGCCTCGCCTCACCTGCTACGCGCCCCCCGGCCAGGTGGACTATACCATTTTATGCCGGGGGGGGGGTTTCAAATTAATTAGTCAAAATAAAGTAGGGACCGCTGAATAAATATACATTTCATAAAGACTAACAGACTGTTTAATGTCTTAAATGAGAAAAAATACTTCAAAGTAAAGTACTTGTGATTTTTAAACTTTATTTTTTTTATTCAACAGCTGTGGGCCCTTAGAATCTTCCTAATCTTTCACCGCTTTACGGCGCCCCTGGCTCGATGTACTGTTGAGGCTCAAATGCAACAACAGCTTCAACAGTAAATAAATAAATAATAATTTCGGGTGGCTGTGTCCACCGGAGTGAACAGCATGCATGACCTTTTTAAACAGTTGTCTTCTTTAGCAGAAAAACGTTTTTTCTCATCCAAACCACATTGAAATAAAGGAAGACTGCATTATTCTCCTAACTGGGAGTCCTTTAGGTGCAAATGTGATGGATGTACTCAAATGCATTCATAAGGGGGAAAAGACGAAAGAGAAGTTGCTTTGTTTGTTAAATCTGCTGAAATCGGGCCAGTTTCTGTGATCTGAAGCAGATTCACTTCTTGGGACTGTAGTTAATGTGAAAGAGCTTGGAGGCAAACTGCTAAAACACACAC